GAAAGACATACGTGTCACAAAGAGACAGTCACATCATAGTCATAACATGGAGTCCTTGTAGAGTCCTTGTACAGTCCTGCACGTAGGCCATATTGCTATCTAATACTAACAGAACTTTTAGTGTGTATGTGTGTGTGCGTGCCTGTGTGCGTGCCTGTATGCGCGCCTGTGTGCGTGTGTCAGCGTGCCATTGTGTCTGCGTGTGTGTGCGTGCCTGTGTGTGCCAGTGTGGGTCTGCGTGTGTGTGCGTGCCTGTGTGGGTCTGCGTGCCTGTGTGCGTGCCTGTGTGCGTGCGGGTGTGCATGCGTGTTTATTTTCCATTATTAATTGCCCATCGTATCATCGCCCTCTTCCCTTTTGTGTAAACATGAAAAGAAAAGGAGGAAACTTTGCCTACATGCCTTTTTTTGTAAAGAAAAGGCCTGTAGATCAGGATGAAGAAACCTGAAGGTCAGACTCGGAGGCAGTATGTTTTGAGATGATGAGGAATTTGTTGTGTTGTATTAAAATATAGCTTATATAATTGAGTTTCAGAGAATGAGAGGGTGTCGCAGATAGGTGCAGGATTGTCTATTGGCAGAAGGCGTTTTTTCACACACAAAAAAAGAAACAAAATAGCTAAGATTATGGATGATGTGCAGTCGCTTGACCCCAAACATTTTTTGAAAGAAGAACCTCTGTTTTCATTTGGCAGAACCTTTGAGTCAGATATAGAGGACCTTAAGCATGAGGTCAAACTAGGCGGCTTCTTGGGAGGAAAAAATGGATTAGAGAGTCTCTATTGGACTTCCTTGTCCTTTTGGAACGTTTGGAAAGTGTTTCATGAGCTTTTGAGGCTTGCAAAGATCTTTTTAATACCTGTCAGTACTGCGTCTTGTGAAATAAGTTTCTCTGTCCTAAAACTTATTAAAAACCATCTCAGAACTACCATGGCAGATGATTGAGTCATCTTGGTATCCTCAGTGTAGGGTAAAGGAGGCTCAGGGCTGAATATGGATGAGTTTGTCAACATCTTTGCTGCTTTACACCAGAACCGTAGGAATTTGCTAAATTTGTGAAAAGAAAAATGTAATGCAATGTTTGAATGATGTTATTTTGCACTTTTTTGTTCAGACTACTATTTAAATACACTTTTTTGCTTTGTAGTTTCCAAGTGTGCTCTCAGTTCACTTTATATTAAAAATAATGACAAGATTAAGATTAAAATTTATCGTTTAGCCAGTTTTTGTGCGAAATAAAATTTCGGAATAGTATAAATGTGGACCCCTCAAAAAAAACCTTGCCACCCCCTGGCCACCCTCTGTTTAAAAGTCTGGCTCCGCCACTGGACTCATCAGGGACAATACTGTGCATAATGACAGCATAACAAGCCGTGGAGCTGTGTTTGGGTGAATGAAGCTTTGATCTCAGAGTTTGGGCTATTGCACGTTCTGCTCTTTCCTTTAGAAAGTTGTCCTTTTGAAAATTATGTTGAAACAGTCCACAAGGCTCTCTGGTCTCACGGTCTCTCTAAACTAAAGTCTTTATTCAGGTCTTTCTTTTCTGACCTCTTACTGGTCTCTCCCAGGTTTTTATGGTCTCTTTCTCTGTCTCTGGTCTCTCTCCAGTCACTCTTGTCTCTCTCTCTAGTCTCTCTCGACAAGAAAACTTGTAATTGTACAATTTCCCTTAACCATCAGTTTGTTGTTGTTTTTAGGGGAAAAAATACCAATTAAAGCTGTAATCTACAACGAAAGCCCTCGACACTCTTGCAATCATCTACCAGGCGTCAGCGTCATGCGATTTACTTGCCAATACATTTGCAGCTTGAAATTGAAATTCACTGCTGCCTGGCATGAAAACTGTGATGAAATTATTTAAAAAAAAAATTTTTAAGGAATGACATGGTAGAAGTACTCCCCAAAAAACTACTGGGGCATGCTTTCAGAGCTATATAAATTCTCTGGAACTTGTGATACAATTCCTGACTTAGTATATGAGGGGAAATCATACGTGAATAATGCTGAAAAAGCAGACATGTTAAATCACCTTTATTCCACTAGTGGTTATGATGAACAGCAACTGTTTGACAGCCCTTTAACTCAAACCCAGAATGGTATATTGACTGATGTACAGATATCCCCTGAATGTGTGTACAGCAAGTTAATGAAGCTTGATGTTAACAAAGCGAGTGGGCCTGATGGTGTCCCAAATGTTTTCCTTAAAAACTGTGCTGCTGAATTAACACCTGTACTCGCTCACCTTTTTAAGCTTTCGTTTTTCTCATCAAAACTGCCCCAAATATGGAAATCTGCTTATGTGACACCAGTCTACAAGAGTAAAGGCGAGAGATCAAGCCCGTTCAGCTACAGACCAATATCTTTGACCTCGTGCATTGTGAAAATCCTAGAGAGCATTATAAATGACAAGCTGATGGCATTCTGCTTGGACAATGGATTAATATCAAAGCACCAATTTGGGTTCCTGCCAAAACACTCTACACTGGACCAACTGGCATTGGACTACCACACTTGGTTAAACGCTGCTGAAAAAAAGGACACCTGCCTTGCAGCTTTCCTAGACCTAAGTAATGCATTCACATCGGTTCCACACAAGGCTATCTTACACAAACTTCCAGCATTTGGAGTCCAAGGAAAAATGCTTGCCTGGATACGCGACTATCTAAGTATTCGCCAGCAACAAACAAGAGTTGGGTCTTTATTTTCCTCACCTCTTCAAGTGCAGTCTGTAGTACCCCAGGGCAGTGTTATTGCTCCAACACTGTTTATTATCTTCTTAAATGATTTATTAAATGCATTGGAGGAGCTTTCTGGGCTGTTACCAGACAGTATAAGAGTTACACCAGCTGCATATGCGGACGACACTTTACTAACTGTCACTAGTGCATATCCAGCCCTCGCGGCTGCAGGTTTGAACTGTGCATTGGCTGCTGCAAGCAGTTGGGCCAACACCTGGGGTATGAAATTCAACCCTTCAAAAACTGTATGCTTGTGTTTTGCTAAAGCGCCAGTTAATAAACAAATAGATGGTCAAGTCATGTTTGAGGGCCACAACATCTCCTTCTCAAGTGAGACAAAGCACTTGGGGATAACAATCAGCAGTGATTTGAAATTGAAGCGATATGTTGAGGACTTGTGTAAAGGGGCTAGAAAGGAAATGTTTGTGTTGAGGCTCTTAAAATCAAAGCTACCACCACAAAGTAAAGAAATCCTGCTTCGGATCTATAAAGCATACATTAGATCCCGACTAGAGTACTGCTCAGTGCTGATCTGTGTAATAGGAAAGACTCTGATAAACTGTTTAGAGAGCATCCAACGAAGATGCATGCGCATTATTCTAAATCTGCCATATCGTGCCCAGTTGACAGCAGAGCATTACAGAGCGCTCGGACTAACAACCTTGCAAACAAGGCGGAACTTTGCTCTTGCATGTTTTGGTTTTAAACTGTTCCATGGACTCTCGCCTGCGCCTGCGGCGCTGGGACCATACCGACCCACACAAAGGGTCCTGCAATACCATGTGCGCTGGGTCAGCTGTGCTTTTCCGGACGGGACACTGCCCAGCGCCCATATCATGCAGAGATCGTGTCTCACTCTGGCCACCAGAATGTGGAACATGCTGGACTCTGACTGTGTCGTGAAACTTTGGGTGAATTCAAGGAGCACCTCAGGGTGAGGCTCAGGGATGAACTGTTTGAAAACTTTCCTCATAATTAGACTCTGGGGTGGGAGGGGGCATTTAATTCCAACGGTCATGTGACCATGGAAATGTAACGGGTTTCTTTTCAATTCAATCTTTGTAAGGTTTTAATGTTTTGTAAATGTATTAAAGATTATTAAAAAAAATAATAAAAAAAAATAAAGTATGTGTGATGAAAAGCAAGGGACGAGTATGAATCAAAAAACACAGCAAACTGCCTGAAGGTGGCGCTGTTGTACTCACAGTCGTGTTGCATACTGTTGTGTTCAGCGTCATACGCTGTATTTGTGAATTCATTTCTAGCCTTAATGAACAAACATTTTTCCCCAAAAATCTCCTTCAAAAAATTCAGGGCTCCCCAAGTGGTCAGGTGTGGGACTTACAACTTTTACATGCGGTGTAATGTTTTGCTCATCTCGGTTCAGAGATTATTCTCAGCAATTTTTGGGTCAATCGGAGCACTTGTGTCCTATTACTTTGAGACAGATAGCGCTGTAGAGTTTGTATTGAACTTATGATTTTGATTTATGTGTATTTGGCAGATTTTTCCTGTTGGTCCCAAACAGTGGGGGCGGGTCCCGGCTCAAAAGCATAGACTGTAAATATTAACGGACATAGTCACACCTATCTCCTCCGTTCTAACTAATGTGCCACAACCAGTGGGGGAGGGTCCCAGCTCAAAAGTGGCCAAAATGACGTGCGCTGACATGCTTGCAATACCACCCCGGGCCGTTGGGGGTGGACCCAGAAGTAGAATTAGCCAATGCTAACATATAGCATTGGCAGACCTCTCAAAACCGTCTTTACAGGATGGACCAAAAGTTGGCTCTTGGCCCAAAGCTCCGTTCCACATGTGTGTCAATGCTGAGGAGGCGCCCAAAAATAAAATGTATTATTATTATTACTTTGTGAAGATTTGAAACTGTGTCTCTGATCATATGGCCCTGACCTGTGGAGTACCACAGGGGTCGATCCAGGGAACAGATTCCGTTCAGTCTCTACATGCTGCCGTTAGGTTAATTCACAGTAACAATGTGTCCTTTACAACAACATTGACGACACAATGGACCAGTGAACTCACTACTTCATCCAACAGATCAGAGATCAGAGGGAGAACAGAGAGAGACCAGAGGGAGACCAAGGGTGACCAGAGGGAGATCAGAGGTAGACCGGAGAGAGACCAGAAAGATCAGAGCTAGAGATGGACTAGCTTTTCCTTGTGCTGTTAAATGCATCTGCTGGCCATGTCTCAGTAGGAGAGAGATCCTGTTTTATAAGCGCTTTGGAAACAAGTCAGATGTTCAAAGACGAACCGTATCAGAGGAGAAGAAGGAGCTGTCAGAGCCGTATGCAGCGTTGTTTACATCCTCCTCTCCGATCTACAAACCAGCGAGACCAGAGGGAAATTAGAGAGCGACCAGAGCGAGAGAGAGAGAGAGAACAAGGGAGAGATCAGGGGGAGTAGAGAAACAACAACACAAGAAATTACAATAACAATGTTTCAAATACACGTTACAGAAGAATAAAAGGAGAAAACCGAACACTCACAGATTTACTGTTGCTGCCGTGGAGGTAGTCGTTCAGCGCGTCTACATCTCTGTCACAAACGAACACACAAATCAGGAATTAGAAGCGCCTTCTAGTGGCAGAAGAGGGACATGACACTGGTGTTTAGACTGATGATTCTTAAAAGAGGATTAAGCATGGATGAAGCTAAGCACAGCTGCAGATCTGTGACTGGTATTGAACAGTGTTGGGACATGATTATGCATAATATGTCTTTTTGACCAGAGAGACACACCGGAGAGAGACCAGAGAGAGGCCAGAGAGAGAGAGAGAGAGACCAGAGGGAGACCAGAGGGAGACCAAAGAGAGAGAGACAAGAGACACAGACCAGACACCAGAGGGACCAAAAAAGGTCTGGAGGTGAAATCCAGGATCAGCAGTGGTTGTCGTACAAACGCTACCCACTGCATGACCACCAATAAGTGTCTTGTATTCTTCTTGATCCGTATCGTATGGAGTTTAAGTCCCCAGTATCAGCTCTGACAAAAAATCTCCACTATTTAAAACATTAATAACGTGTTTATTAAACTTATTTTACCCCAAAATATCGAGCAGCTGGCGATCGTCCTCATCATCCATGACATCTGCAGGAACAAAGGGGAACTTTAACCACAATGAAAACAGAAAACTGTTTATGTCCGAAAAGTCACCAACGTCTAGTCTCTCTCTCTTTCTCTGGACACTCTCTTTTGTCTCTTTCGCTCTTTCTGGACAAAAAAACAAACAAGTTCTATCCACTATTGCAAAGAATATAGCCTAAAATATCATGTTTGGACCATTAGTTATTGAACCATGATCTGATATAGTAACACAAATGATAAGCGATAAAAGATAATCAAAATTCATGGATGAGTTCCATCCATCCATCCATTTTCTTCCCCTTAATCCATGTCTGGGTTGGGGGGGGGGGGGGGGGGGGGTACATGCACCCAGTACACAGAGCACCAGCCCCTCACTGATCCTCCTGCAAGTGGTGCGTCCACAGAAGTCTTGATCTTTCAAACTAGAGACCAGAGTGAGACCAGAGAGAGATGAGAGAGACCAGCAAGAATCAGAGAAGTACCAGTGAGAGAGACCAAAGAGACATAAACCATGTGAAATGGACAAGTTTATATAAAACAGCTCTTTTTAACACTAGGGGCATGGCACTGCACATTCAAATGTTGCCTATCTGTATCCGTCCAGCTCCATAATACACCATGTGACATCACCACAGAGCCTCTTCAACCCTTTCAAATGCATGTAGGATGGGCCTCTTCCCTCTTCAGACTGTCACGCTGCAGATCCCCACCCAACCACCCATGTGACTGTCCTGCTATTGTATTTCTGATTTTTTCTGAGCACACACACTTGACAGATTTGGGGGAATTTTGAGAAAACACAGAGGCATTTTAATCGATGTAGGCCATGTTCTTACACACAACTGGATAATTTCTTAAATGCATAGCTTGGTACCATTTGGCAGAACTGCTGAAACTGAACGTGTACAAATAATAAAATACATTAGGCCGTTTGATGTGTTTATTTGAGAATTCTTGCCTCTATACTGAGATATCTGTGGGATATGGGCCTACGAGCACAGGCTGGCTGCTGCTGCTTCACTTCTTGTTTGTTCTTTATTGAGTAATATGAGGAAACGTGGGTGGAATATCTCTAATTCCTGACAGTGCAACTTGTTTTACAGCTGCATTGCTTACAAAATGGAGGTTTCAAGCCACATAGGCTGTTCTTTGGAGCCTGTCACGTCCAGCCTCCATGTTTGCCTCTGTGAGAACAAAGAAGGACAACGACTGCAGCCTCCGAGGCGCACTTTACACAGAAAGCAGTTGGATTTAAAAGCGTTTCAAGACAAACTCAAGCAGAAATCTTGTTGGAGCTAAATGTTTTGGCGTTTTAAGTGGTGTCTATCTTTCTAAACAATGGCATTCGGGGGCAGACCAGCAAAAAAACGTGGTAAAAGGACAAATATAGTGCTTATTTTTTACTACAAAACATCCACTCAACACAAAGCCGTTGGTGAATGATGATTTTGACGACGTCGTGTTAAGTTATTTAATGTCAAATTTGAAAAACACGTTAAAACCACAGAATATACGACGGTTTTCGTAAATAAACTGCAATGTGGGAACACTAACCGAACCGTAGATTTTAAATTATAGTTATCGTTAGTTTTATGGCTTTATCAGCGACCTAGCATAAACGCATATAAAAAACGTTAGCTTATCCCTTCAAACGTCACTATTAATTCGGTATTCAACACAAAACTACTTAAAACGCCATTAGCGATAGATTTATTCGACACATACATACAATCAGAAGGGTAATTTAATGTTGTACTCATTATGGGGCGTAAAAAAGCCTGCTTCGTGGTTCGTAAAACAGCGGGGAGAGTATCGACAGAAAGGTAGTTTGGGCGGTTAACGTCTTCTATTTAACATTTTCTCCTTTTAGTGCCTTAACATCCACGAGTGATTGTGGGGGCATTGCGCTTAACGTGTATCCGCTTTGCTTGAACATAACTCGGGATAGTTCCTTCGCCACACTCGGCCGGGTGTTGTTTTTCCGTTAGCCCGCGATAGCCTCTCATTGTAACTACAAATCACGTTCGCAGCGTTTTGCTCCGACAGCCTATGTTTATTCGAGGGGTAAATCTGAGCGTTTAAGCCAGTTTTGCTTCGTTACAAGTCGGGGTAAATGCCACCGTAACGCCCGGCCTGGTGTTTCGTTAGCAGCAACAGCGTCCATGTTACTGCACTATTGGTGACGACGGTAAGGATTGCGGGGGGGAAAAAGCGAGCTAAAAATACGGTTTAGCGTGGAGGCAGAAAACGAGCGAAAAGAGTCTTGTCTTGTGTGTCTGCGAGCGCCTTTGAAACTCAATATCTGCTGCATTTGGCAACTTTATAATTCGCTCGATCCCCCTCCTCCCGGGCAATACCCCACTCCTCCTTCCCTTCCCTCTCCCACACACTCTGGGCTCTGTCGTGCCCGCTCCCGCACGGCTCTACAGTGGCTTTCTGCTCTGCTTTCCCTCCCTGAAGGAATGGCGAGGAAGGGAGGCAGGAGCGACTCGTGTTTTTCCTGTCAAAATTTTATCGCTAAATTAGAATTCAGTCGCAGCGGAACTCACCGTCTGAAAAAGCGCTGCTGCGTCCAACGGGGTTCCCCAGCCATCGGTGCACGGGCGGGCTGGCGGCCGCGGGGGAACGAGAGGAGAGGGGGGGGAAAAAGCCGACAGCGATCCCAAACACGTTAAAGTTAATCAAAACACCACACACACGTGTCAAATCGTAGTTTTATTCACATATTTCACAGTTGGGTTTAATTCTTAAATTTTCAGACGCCATATTGGAAGCTTTGTCGCCTTATCTCGTCTCCAACAGTAGAGGGCGGAGCTTACTTTTACGCCACGCCCTTAACTCAGGTATGAAAATCATGTGGTGGACAAGACTAACATAATAGACTGTATACATAGTTCCCACAGACCAATGAATGTCACATGACCTCCTCGGAGACGCCATCTTTGATGGCACGCTGCTGTGTTTGTGCATTCCATTAAACAGAAGAATGAGAATAAATGTAGATATTCAAACGCAAATTGGAAAAAAAAGGGCAACTTTTGAGCAAATAATTGTATATTAATACAATGGCACCACAGTTTAACGTGCTACGGACATGTTTTACATATTTGATCAAATTATGCAGCAAAAATTAACAAGCAATGCAAACATTTCTCAAAAACTTTAGATTTAATACCAGTTGGAGCTCCATTTAATTATTTTAATTATATTAACAATTAATTTAATTAATGCTAATGCCACACGGACACTCTGGATTGCTGTTATTGTTTATTTCCGCGTTTTTGACCGTATGTTTTGGTGAATGGTGGGCAACTGATTTTTCCAGGCGTAAAGAGCAGTTTATTTTATGACACAGATCTTTTTACAGAAGCAATGCTGTTTGTGAACATTGTTTTAGCCCACCATAGAACTATTATTATCTATTTAATACATTTACGTTGCCCTCGAGAGCCTCGGACGCGACACCGATCCTCCTCATAATAAAGTAATCTAACGCTAAATAATTAAACTCTCAAGTTACCAGGTATCAGCATACACAAGTTAGTACTGAGTAAATTACGTCTGTCAACACATTATAAGATACGATACGCACCTGACACAAAGTGCTCCGAGCATATTCTTGCGTGTTTTGAGGGAGTTTCTTGCCTGTTTATCTTCGCAAGCCATAACCTCCGTGGTTGTTCTGACAAAAGCTTAGTCTTCTCACATTCATGAAGTCTAATGATGGGTATACTGTAAAATCCAAGTTTAACGGAACCTCCGGCACGATTTGAACATCCATTGACCCAGCAGGAGATGACCATTTTCAACTTTATCACGACATTAACACGTTTCAGCTTCTTTTTCTATTGTTTTGCCCACAGAATGCCAACACAAATGTCGCCGGGTCGGCAAATCCCCGTATGTAGTGACGTCATGTGGGAACTATGTATACAGGTGTACAATGCTAACAAAGATTATATAGATGGACAATGCTAACATAGACTGTATACAGGCAGACAATGCTAACACAGACTGTATACAGGTAGACATTACTAATATGGATTGTTTGTTAGCATTGTTTGCCATAGAGATAGTGCATGACTTCAATCAATAACAGAATTACACAGAAGACAATGATGTGAATAAAAAGAGGGAGATGTGTGTGAGAAGCCGCTGTATGTCGTGGCTACGGATGATCCAAGATGGCGCCCTATTCAAATTAATGGCTTGTGCTCAGTAGCGCATGGGACTTCACGGAGGCCGGGAGATTAGCAGAACTCGCCTATATTTGGGCATCATCTGGTCCTCCCGGTTCTACGCAGTGGACGAGCTCCCATGATGCGTTGCGCCAAATATGCGTGTGTGGCTTTCATGCATGTGCACAGAGGGGCTCGGCTGCGCTTTGACCAATCAGAGCAGCAGCAGAGTGGAGTCAGAGCGGGAAGGAAAGGAGCAGAGTTTGTGGCACTAAAGTGTGGATTTAAAGAAAACCGAAGGATTTAAGAAGAAAAAAAGTTCAGGATGAATAGGGACACTAAAATCCTCACAAAATCCGATATTTCTGAAAACTGTAGGTTCTCTGTCAGCTGAGGTCGAGCTGTTTTAGTTTAAATTGAGTTCTATTGGACTATTTTCTGGGTAGCCCACGTGACGTTAGTCTGTAGTACCACGGCGCCTCCTGTGCCCATGGGTGGGACAGCTGTAAGCTAGTAATACCCTATCCAGTTATTGTTATAGATCCATGGGGTCTCCGCTGCACAGACTCTGGGTCCGCCGGTTGAATCAGGCCTTCTACTGCTAACACAAAGTAAACTCAAGTTCAGTGTCATCCAGCCAACTTCAGTGCTGCTTCAGTGATACTGTACTGTGTGAGCAGCTCAGAACCTCTTGAAATCAGCTGTTTGTAGAAGTACTTTGTTTTTGACACATAATTAAATATTTATGATCCAAATGGTGGTGGTGATGAGAGAGTAAACTTGTGAATGAATGTAGAAATTTCAAACCCATTTTAAAGCTCAGGTCATCGGCCCTTGGACCAGTCTCTACATTACAAACAGACATACATGTCTGTACATTACACGGTCACACACACACACGTCTGCCTCTGGACCGGTCTGCTAATCAGAATCATGTTTATTACCATGTAAGTAACAGGAAGTCACAGACTAGGAAGTTGCTAAGAACTCTCAGTGCAAACAAGTCAAAAGTAGAGAATTGAGTAAGGCATAGTAAGAATCAGCATACATTTAAAAGATATAAAACTATATACAATATACTTGTGCACTCAGTTCACACAATATACATTATGCAGTACAGTAGGGGGACAGCAGAAGTGACGTTATGGGCAGTGATGGGAATAACGTTATTGAAATAAACGGCGTTACTTTTTTCAGTAACGAGTAATCTAACTAATTACTTTGACTGTCACTATAACGCCGTTATTTTTTTTTAACTTCATGATAGGACTCGTGCGCTTGTTGTCATGAGAGAAGGAGGATGAGAAAACCTCTCAGCAATTATTGGCTGATGTGTAGTAAGAAAACGTCTTCAGCCAAACAAAAAAGTTGGGTAGGTGGGTGTTTCCGTATTCACAGTGGAGGGTGTTTAGTGCTTACAGCACACAGAGAGAGATGGAGAGTGAGGAGGACTCCAGAAGCAAAACAGCATTCTCACTGAGATTAAAGGTAAAAATTTGCACGTCGAGTGCACATCATGTCCCAGACACATTAGTCCACGTCTTGTGTTGGCATATGCATACATGCTAGCTTATGAAACATGCTCTGAGAATGTGGGGCCAGGGGATAGTTACCTTTATAGTTGAGTAACTCAGTAAATTTTTGGGAGAAGTAACTAGTAACTATAACTATAATTAAAGTCCGCCCCTACTTCAGCCACTTCCGGCGGGCGCCACCGCAGCCCAGGACTTCTGGTCTGAAGACCCCTGCATCTGAAAATTAGAAGATGTGCGTCTGGTGCGCGAGGCGTCAGCGGTCTGAACGTGCTATAAGAAGATTCAGCAGTGATACAACCAGCCCCGGCCTCGAGCTCGCGGCTGTACAGGTCTGTGCAGCGATGGGAGGCTACGGCCGATCACCTTCTTTGCAGAGCGCACAATGCGCTGTAGTCTCTGCTTGTCCCTGATAGTGGCTCCAGCGAACCACACGTTGATAGAGGAGGTGAGAATGAACTCGATGATGGCCGTGTAGAACTTGCCCCATGGATCTACAGCATATTAATATTTGAGAACCACACGTGTGTATCTGGCGCAAAGCATCATGGGAGCTCGTCCACTGCACAGAACCGGGAGGACCAGAGGATGCCCAAATACGTGTGTATGGCTTTCATGCACATGCACAGAGGGGCTCGGAGCGGAGTTATGGGGCATTCAGACCGCCAACGCTTGAATGCAGCTTCCATGCTCACTGGAAGCATATTCTCTAAATTTCAGATGCTAGGCGCGTTCACACCAGAGGTCCTGGCCTGCGGCGGCGCCCGGCGGAACGGCTATGATGCTAACGGAGTTTAGCTAGCCGCTTTGTTGTATCCGAAACGGCAAACGTGTTAGTAGCACTTGTTACAGTCACTGTAGATAACTGTGATCTTCCTGAAGTCCACAATCATCTCCACTGTCTTCTGGGCGTTCACCTCCAGGTTGTTACCACTGCACCAGGACACCAGCCGGTCCACCTCCCTCCTGTAGGCGGACTCATCGTTGTTGGAGATGAGTCCAACGAGCGTGGTGTCGTCGGTGAACTTGATGAGCTGTGACTAATTCAACCACAGCATTAAGAAATATCACAGTAACAATATACAGTAGTTCACAATATAGCGCTGGGAAAACCTTCAAAACTTTGTTCAAAAAAAATAATGTAGTAAACCTGTGTGGATCACAGTTTGCTACTAATACCTTTCCACGGGTTTGTTGACTTGTGATTCTACTTTGCCACAAATGTTGTAATAAAACATTTTACCAAATGTAAACATTTTTACATTTTAATTGAATAAAATGCCTTATAGGACACCTCCCTGGGGAGGTGTTCCGGGCACGTCCCACTGAGAGGAGGCCCCGGGGAAGACCTAGGACACGCTGGAGGGACTATGTCTCTCAGCTGGCCTGGGAACGCCTTGGGGTCCCCCCGGACGAGCTGGAGGAAGTGTGTGTGGATAGGGAAGTCTGGGCGTCTCTGCTTAGACTGCTGCCCCCGCGACCCGGCAACGGATGAAGCGGAGGAAAACGGACGGACGGAAAATGCCTTATAATAACTTAACCTTATTTCATGAGAAATATGTTAGAGCTGGGGCACCTACGTTCAGCTGGTACATCTACCAGAAAGTTTAATACAGATGTGAAACCCAACGCTTCAAGAACAGAAACACACAATGCTTCAGACTGAGGACTAGCTTGGTCTTAGCCAGCCATACACTCTGGCCAAGCCAGAGTGTATGGCTCTAGTCCCAGTGTCTGCAATTACATCGGTTGATCCCAACTGACTAATCAGCGAGCGCGTGTTGTAGTTAGTTGTGGGTGACGTCAAGAGTTTGCACCGAACGGGAAGGTTGTAGTTTGGCAATGGTAAAGAATGTGACAGTAAAATAATCCGGTCTGGTTCTATCAAGAAATGGAAGTAGGAGCAAGAGGAATGTTTAGCAAATGTAATTTCTGGCAAAGATTGTGGCGCTACTCCCTGAGGGTTCCGTTAGTGGCAAATGAAATGGCAAGGCTAAATGCTAACGACTCACTCGGGCGCATGACAGATAGATACTTTATTGATCCCCGTAGGAGAAATTCCGGTGTCCAGTCGCAGCAAAAATAAAAAATTAAATTGATCACTATAAAAAGCTAACAATAGCAATAATCAGTATCAGCCTCAGGTCACAGCAGCACAGATGGAGAAGCCTCTGGGTGGAGCAGGACAGGTCACAGCAGCACAGATGGAGAAGCCTCTGGGTGGAGCAGGACAGGTCACAGCAGCACAGATGGAGAAGCCTCTGGGTGGAGCAGGACAGGTCACAGCAGCACAGATGGAGAAGCCTCTGGGTGGAGCAGGACAGGTCACAGCAGCACAGATGGAGAAGCCTCTGGGTGGAGCAGGACAGGTCAAAAGGTGGAGTACCCGCTTGGTTCGGACCATTTTCTCTGCTGTAGTCCAAAGTAAAATGCTAAATGCTTCATTAGCATTTTTCAAAAAGTCAGCATTCCTCCAGTGGATTTTCACCTGATCCACATGGTTCGTACCATGAATCCCCTCCGCTCTGGTCTGGACCAGTGCAAAACCATGAACACTGTACTGCAGCAACATTTCAGGCAGAAAAAAGCATTAAAAATAAAAATTGTAAAGCACAAAACAACAATTGTTTCAGAGCACATACTGTACATACGTCACTAATAACTCAGATCCAATCGTTTCAATCTGCAAAAGGCATTAACCCCTCCCAGCTGTTAACAGGAGCAAATCCAGACCTTAGTATGAAATGTCATTTGTACTATGGTGTGGTACGACCAGGCTAACCGAGGACAAAAACACACGTACACAATGCTTTAGACCTGTTGTGTGTGTGTGGGGGGGAATTGCAATAGACAAGTTTTAAAACCCATTTTTGCCTTTTAATGCATAACGATCAAATGATGAATATAAAAACAAACCTGTTTCACTGAACATAATAACACAGTTAAGGTGCTTGACTACTGTTTTTACAATCTGCAGTTTATGGCAATTCACTTTTATCTATAAAAAAAAAAAAAAAACAAGGTTTAGGTTTGACACAATACAATCTGCAGTTAGGGCCGAGGTTTATATTAATTACAATGTAGGAAATAAACTGCTATGGACTCTGAAAAACAAAATGTGTTTGGGGGGGGGGGGGACCTTTTCTGTCATTCTACTTGTGAAACTAAAGCCCTGTTCCCACCAGCTGTACTTTACTCTACTCACTACGCTTTAAACCCTGTGTATACTTGGGTGGCGCTGAGCTTGCGGTGGCCCTCGAGACGTCACCATAATAACATAAGGATCAATGCTAGAGCCTTGCGCGATAACCTGTGCGCCCTTGAATTTTTCTCACTACGCGGCCGGCAGCGCGGAGAAGGTTGGTGTGTGTGATTACGTTTTGGATGGAAGCATGGAACGACTGCGGGATAAAATGGACGAGGCACTTTGGAGCAGAGAGCTTGGTTCACCATTGTTTTTGTTTTGAAGAGGAGAAAGCAGCTAGCATAATTTTGGTGTCCCAGGCAACTCCTGTGAGATCGCCATCATGTGGTAGTGGTGTGGGATTACAACATTCTCTTCCGAAATACGCAGGGGGGTACGCCCGAGTATGCAAACAACTGTGGCTGCGTAATCAACCACGGGTCCAGTGCAAACGCCAACACAACCAGTGACGCCCCACAGACCTTAAGTATCTGGAACCGTATCCTAGCGGCTTCCAGCTGCTCTCTGGCCAATCACTGTCAGTTTTACTACTTTAGTACCAGCTCGGCTTGGATAGAACCAGGTTACAGAGGACCAGAGGAAACACTCCCGATCAGGGTAGAGTAGAATAGTGTAGGGTAGGGTAGAGTGAGGCAAAGTATGACTGGTGGAAACAGGCATAGGGCCCGTTCCAATTCTCACCCTTGCCCTAGATTTTGCGCGTTCCCGCACGGGTTGTAGGGTGTCCCAATACTTAGAGAGAAGAGACAAGGGCCCTCACACCCTTAAAAACCACCCTCGCACGCAAGTAAGCTCCGGAGCTCAATTGCGCACAAGGGTGATCCCATGATGCATTAGGATAGTATGTATAGCAGCTGTTGGGCAAAGCCGCGCCACAATGAAAGTAAACAACACACATGAAACTCAAGTTTGTGCGGAACGGGAGGAAGCTTCGAGGCATGCGCAATTAATTTAGAGGGTTGTTTTAAGCGTGTTTTGTCGCTGTATGTGGCGATACTCGCTCGTTAAGCGGCCGCAGCGTGTGGCGTTCACTTAGGCTTCAGAGACGTGGATCCATGTTATTATTATAGATCCATGATGTAGTTCAAAGACTTTGACAGAAGCGTTGTGATCCGCGGCTGTACTCATCTGTCTCTGTGTCCATACGCGTGTGTACGTCTCTCTGTGTGAGTGTGTCTGTCTGTGTTTGTGTGTGTGTATGAGCTACGTGTGTGTGTGTGTGATATAGAGCAGTCCTGTACCTAATTATAGCTAATTTTCTTCATAAGAAATACAATTAAAAGTTTAAAACATAATAAAATACTTTGTTTCATGACGTCATATGTGTTCATATCTTTTCTGTGGTGAAATCAGACACGTTGATGTTGTGGGTGACGTGGAACACGTTTGCTGTGTCTATTAGCATGTTGTTAATAATAATAATGCATCGGTTTTATATAGCGCTTTTCTGGACACTCAAAGACGCTTTACATGTCATTATTCTTTCACTCCATACACGGTGGTGTCAAACTACTATTGTAGCCATAGCTGCCCTGGGGCACACTGACAGAAGTGAGGCAACCAGTATGCGCCATCGGCCCCTCCGATCACCACCAACCATTCATACAAACCAGACTCATTCTAGGCAATGGGGGTGAAATGTCTTGCCTAAGGACACAACGGCAGTTTGGCACTTTACAGCCGCAGCCGCCCCACTGTGGCTGGTGTTCCCAGAGGTTAAGTGTCTTGCCAAGGACACAACAATAGCAGACAGTGGGAGTCGATGGTGAAGGTCGGGCTCGAGCCCACGACCCTCTGGCTCAAAGGCCAAAGCTCTACCAACTGAGCTACTGTTGAGGGCACTCACAACTCGAGTGCCCTTTGGATAATGAAAAGGGCCCTTGATCATACGGCAAATTATAACAGAGCTGTAACAGAGCTATCTGTCAAGGTGCATGTAAACAGGTCTTCTGTAGTCCATACCGAAATACATTTGCAAAGTATTCTCCCAAACACAAGTATGATCAGTGCACTTCCACAGAGCCTCCAGCTGGTGTCGCTGTCTGCTCGCAGGCTCTAGATACATGCGTCACATCCCTTCGGTTTTTCCAACATGGCGGCGGTGGAGGATCGTGAGAACTCGTTTACGGACGAAAACAACTGTTCCACAGTCCAGGAGCGACTCTCAAAGCGACACCAGGCCCGGCAAGAGGAGGCGGAGAGGCGCAAAGAGGAGAGGGACAGAGGCTCTCTCACGGAGGAGAAGAGGGACTACTTCATCACGGAGTTTAGCAGAGAGAAGGCGGCTATTGAGGCGTTGCTATCTGCGCAGGAACTGGAGCAAGCTGCTAGTCAAACTGCGCTCTTACAGAAGTTTCTCAACGACAGCATCCTGTTCCTGCCCTCGTACGACCTGCGACAGGCCCAGGCTGCGCTGCAGAAGCTCCACACGGCGATAAACGACGCCAGGGGAGAGGCGAGACCCAAGAAGAAGTTCGCTTTCAAGGCGCGGACCAAAGCGACTGACGTTAAAGATGTGACACACGCAAATGCAGATGCGACGCACGCAAATGCAGATGTGACAGATGCAGTACATGAAAGAATAGAAACGGAACAATGCACGTTTTCCAACTTAAGCGGCGTGACTGTGACCATAACTGCGCAAGGTACGTGTCCTCTTGTCTCTGTGGTCTCTCTCTGTCCCTCTGCATACAGTCTGTGTTAGCACTGACTGGTCCCTGTGTTGTGCGTCTGCAGAGGTGTCCCAGCGGGATGTGTTGCTGTCCCACCTGGAGGACTGCCGTGTGCGCCTGCAGGGGGCGCCGAGCTCTCTGCACCTGAAGCACCTGCAGCGCTGTGAGCTGCTGTGTGGTCCTGTGTCCAGCTCCGTGTTTGTGGACCACTGTGAGCAGAGTGTGTTGGTGTTGGCATGTCAGCAGCTGCGGACACATAACACCAAGGACACACAGGTAGACAACACACACTGTTATGTTAGCATGTCAGTAGCTAAGGACACACACACACAGGTACACAACATTGCCTGCACGGAGTCTGTATTCACCTCCTCCTCTCTCCTGTAGGTGTACCTCCACGTGACCAGCAGAGCCATCATAGAGGATTGCAGTGGGGTCTCTGTGGCTCCATTCACCTGGTCTTACTCTGGTCTGGACCAGGACTGGACCGTCTCTGGTCTGGACCGAAACCGCAACAACTGGAACCATGTGGATGACTTTAACTGGCTCTCTACCACAGAGGCCTCCCCAAACTGGACTGTGATCCCAGAGGAGGAGCGGAGGAGTGAGTGGGAGTAGAAGAGCCGAGGAGGATGGAGCGTCAGTAGAGGAGAAGCCACCTCCAGACAGGGCTTTTGGAATAGAGTTTGCATGTGCTCCCCTGTGTAGGTTTCCTCCAGTTGCTCCGGTTTCCCTTACTATTAAAGGATGAAGGATGGTGACGCTCTGAAGCTTCTGTCAGCGTGTGGAGAGAATAGGAATTACTGGTAACCCACATAGTAAAGTAACGCCACATGTGTGACTTCCGTCTTTGCGCTTTTGTTTGTGACACGCTTTGAAAATGCACTTTTTAATGGAATACTACTATAAAATAAAACTCAGAGAAAACTGTTATCATGGCATTTTCTGTGCTCTGTTTGATTCTCTGATCTGTCAATAACGAATTCACAACTTTGTAAAGTCCCCCGGGACTATCTCTGGCCTCTGATCTCTCTCAGATCTCGCTCTTATCAGCCGTGGGTGTCAAGACCAGGATAGAAACCAGGACCAATCAGATTTAAAAACATGAACTAGACATGGATTTATTCACAGCTCTTCCACATCCTGAAGCAAGTTGAGACCACATCAACAGAACTCTGTGATAAAGCCACGTCTCTAGATCCTGGCTCTAAAAGTGTTTGTCACTGGTTTAGATTAACTTTATTAATCCAGAAAGAAATTAAAGTTTGTGATCCAGGTCATGGTCTAGTTTTCACATGCCTCTGTCACATCTTTAGATCTGTTTTTTTTTTTTTGACAGAAAAGAGACAAAGAGAGGACCACCCTCCCTCAGCCAATCAGCTCTCACAGTCAGATAGTGACTCCCAGGGCTGGTAACACATGCTGAAGCCATGTGGGGCCATGTGCATTTCTTCCCGTGTTAAGTCCTTAAACTCTGATCCAATTTCACTGGTTAATCTGGTTAAGAGCACAGGGTCACAGCAGCTGTTGTAGACTTTATTCACAGTCACACAAACACACACAGATACAGAAATACACAACACAAAACAAAAGGCAAAAGTACGACACAGATAGAAAAGTCCTCTTGTATTTACAGAGTACGCAGCTCGTTTGCACAGCGCTTCCTTCACATTTGGGGAAATTAGCAAGGAATTTGGATTTAATAACATTCAGTTTATACAGTGGTCCGTCTCTACATCTGGTCTCTAGACTTTCTCTGGACTTTCTCTGGTCTCTCTGGTCTACCTCTCTGGTTTCTCTGTTGTCTCTCTCTGTTGTCTCTCTCTGGTCTCATTCTGGTCTCTCTCTGGCCTCTCTCTGGTCTCTCTTATGGTCTCTCATAGTCTCTGGTCTTTCTCTCTATTATTATTATAATCATTCTTTTGAGAACACCCCTGTGATAAACCAGTTGCAAAACAACAGTTGTGATAAACCAGTGTGTAAGTCAGTGTAGAAACAGCAACTATTAATGAGAAAAATATATATTTACAAAAATAGTCTTTCAGCAAAAATAACAGTATTAATTGTACTGTTTTAGAGTATTACTTTTGTACAATATTTACAAAAATAGTGATTTTTTTCTTTTATGTTAAACTGTTAAATTCAAACCTTTTCATTTAATCTTATTAACATCAATAATTTTGAACATTTTAGGTTTTTTACAGAGAAATAGTGCTACATCATCTATTAAAACTTTATTTTTGAATTTTGATCAAATATTTTTTCCTAAATAAATGTGAAATAAAACTGTTGTTTTTGTGATGTTATAGATCATACATTTATGAGTTTTTGAATTATTTACAAAGTGTGAAATGTGTAAATAAAAAGATTAACAGAGAAGCGCTGGTGCAAACAGGACACAGGCGTTAGCTCATGGTTAGCTGCCGCGGCACACGTCAGCCATTTTGTGTCTGGCTCCGCAGTCTCTCATTTTCAGTGGAACAAGTGCATTTTTCAACATTCGCACAAATTAAAACAGAACTTTAAAAGCCACAGTTTTATGTACAAAGTAAATCAGCTTCACCTTTTACTGGCGACAACAAAACAAACTCTCAACAAAGCAGTATCCGGGACATTCCTTGGTTACAGTACCATTGCTTCAGCAGTACTCTGACCAATCACTGTCAGTTAGAAGACCGAGCTTCCTGGTTGGTGTTCGTACCATTGATATTTACTACAGGTGTGTTCTCAGCATAGAATGCAAAAAATAACGGATGTAGTCACGCCTATCTCCGCTGTTGAAACTAATGTGCCATCGCTTTTGCCTTCCGTGGACTTTTTCAAACTGGCCACGGGCAGCCCCTCCCGCAAGAAAAGATGAAAAAACGCGTTTGCGCACGCTTTAGCCAGCACCAGCCCCAGCCCCATTCATCTAATGCAGTGTCTCCCAAAGTGGGGTCCGCGGCCCCCTGGTGGGCCGCGAGGGTACTGCAGAGGGGCCGCGGGAGGTCATAAAAAATAATAAAAAAATAATATAATTATTTGATGTTAAATTTATAATGTTTTGTTTGTAATATTAAAATATTTGTGTTCATTATTTGACTTGAATAATCCACTGTAATCATTTTTGTATTACAATGTTTGTAGCAGAGGCTATTTCCCCAAAATAAAATAACCAGAAGAGCCTATTCTTAATGTTGTCTTCTTGGTTATTATTTTGGGGGGCCACGCAGACCCGTCAGATTTTTAAGGGGGCCTCGGTGTTACTGAGTTTGGGAATGGCTGATCTAATGAGTACATTATAAGGTGTGGACCTTATAATGGTGGATAATATAGTGGCTAAACTAAGCTGGTCCAAAATAAAACACTCCCCTCAGCATTGACAGCATCTGAAATGTAGTGTTGGGCCCAGAGCAACTTTTGGACTATCCTGTAAAGCCATTTTTCGAAGTGAGATTGCAAGCCTATCAGCGAACGTGCTCATAGACCTTTTGGTGGAAAACACCTGTTGTAAATTTGGTTCTATATGTAAAGAAACCATGACATTTCTAAACTTTAAAAATACTGCACTACGCAAAGTTCCCTCTTCCAGCCCCGCCCACTTTACCCACAATCCCCAGTCTCAGATCAAAGTGTCGGTGCAAACCAGAATTGGTCTGTTAGCATCGTTAGTGCGCTTAGCATGCCTAAGCACCAATAGTGTGATTTAGCAACGATAGCATGTGTTAGCGATGTTAGCCTGCCACAGCAACATTAGAGTGCTTTAGTTTTAGTTTACTTTAGCAATGTTAGCATGCGTCAGGATGTTTGCATTGTTTGCCTGCTTAAGCACAGTCAAATCCCTTAGCAACGGTGGCATGCGTGAGCATTAGCATGCTTTAGCAACAGTAGCATGTGTTACAGGCAGCATTAGTTTTAGATGGGGCTTTGGGAAAGTTGCGTAGAACAGCTTCAGAGCAAAGACTCGCACAGCAGCCTCCGCTCACAAACATTCACTGTCCTGTTTACAGATCAACACAACAGAACAGAGCCCAGATCTGAACTCAGAGATTTTAACCTCTCTAATTTCTTTCTCTTGTCTTTCTCTGGTCTCTCTCTGGTCATCCTCTGTTCTCTCACTGTTCTCTCTCTGTTCTCTCTCTGCTCTCTCTCTGTGCTCTCTCTGTTCTCTCTCTGTTCTCTCTCTGTTCTCTCTCTGTTCTCTCTCTGTTCTCTCTCTGTTCTCTCTCTGTTTTCTCTCTGCTCTCTCTCTGTTCTCTCTCTGCTCTCTCTCTGTTCTCTCTCTGTTCTCTCTCTGCTCTCTCTCTCTGTTCTCTCTCTGTTCTCTCTCTGTTCTCTCTCTGTTCTCTCTCTGCTCTCTCTCTGTTCTCTCTCTGCTCTCTCTCTGTTCTCTCTCTGTTCTCTCTCTGCTCTCTCTGTTCTCTCTCTGTTCTCTCTCTGTTCTCTCTCTGTTCTCTCTCTGTTCTCTCTCTGCTCTCTCTCTGTTCTCTCTCTGTTCTCTCTCTGCTCTCTCTGTTCTCTCTCTGTTCTCTCTCTGTTCTCTCTCTGTTCTCTCTCTGCTCTCTCTGTTCTCTCTCTGTTTTCTCTCTGCTCTCTCTCTGTTCTCTCTCTGCTCTCTCTCTGTTCTCTCTCTGCTCTCTCTCTGTTCTCTCTCTGTTCTCTCTCTGCTCTCTCTGTTCTCTCTCTGTTCTCTTTCTGCTCTCTCTCTGTTCTCTCTCTGTTCTCTCTCTGCTCTCTCTCTGTTCTCTTTCTGTTCTCTCTCTGTTCTCTCTCTGCTCTCTCTTGTCTCTCTCTAGATTCTAGACTCATAGATCCTAATCTTGTATCTCGGAGTGTCTGTGACAGTCCTGGTCTCCTGCAGGAGGCTCAGCTGCAGGAGGCGCAGAAGCAGGAGGCTCAGCTGTCAGCAGGAGGTGCTCCTCCTTCCTCCACTTTGGCTCCTTTGGTGATGCCCCTCATCTTGGTCATGATGTCAGTGAACGTCTCTGTCACGCTCTTCTCCAGGAGCCAGCCCTCGCTCTCGCTCTCCGGGTCATCAGGGTTAGAGAGGGAGGAGAGGGAGGACTGTACGTACTGGAGGCCCACAGTGACTCCCACCTGAGGAAGAGGAGGACGAGGAGGAGTTAATGTGAGGAGAGAGAGGAGAGCTCTCTCTCTGATCTCTCTCTGCTCTCTCTCTAATTTCTCTCAGCTCTCTCTCTAATCTCTCTCAGCTCTCTCTGGTCTCTCTGGTCTCTCTCACTGGGCTCCCTCTCTGGTCTCTGGTCTCTCTCTGGTCTCTCTCTAGTCTCTCTCTATTCTCTCTCTGGTCTCTCACTGGTCTCACCTCCAGCAGAGTGACCAGGAAGAGCAGGGCTCCTATGGTGTTCATGAGGCCTCCATAGTATGAGAGGAGGGCCTGGGAGCAGCCACGCCTCCACACGTTCAGCTCCTCGGTGTAGTGGTCGTAGCTGTAGTGAGCCGAGTTGTTGGTCATCTGCCCCAGGATGCAAGGCCGAGGGGAGGACGGGTTACAGCAGCTGAAGGGGACCCCATCCATCAGATACTGTCCATCCACATTACTGTTTATCCGACTGAGGAGAAAGAGGAGGGGGAGGTAAGGAGTGAGTCGGAGACCAAAGAGAGGCGAACATGACATGAAATTGTCAGCTCTGTTAAGTAAATAATTGATGAGATCATATAAAATCAGTCTGCTGTCGTCTCAAAACAGTTGAGACTGCTGCTAGTGTTGCTATGGTAACAGCCCTAAGCAGAAACAAAAGGCTTGTAAACTGGACTCAGACCTCTGACTAGACTATGACTAGACCTCAGACCTCTGGAGTATTCTCAGAAACAGATATATTTAACCTCAGCAAAAGAGACTGAAATAAAGCTCTCAGAAAACAGATTAAAGCCACGACACGAGAACAACCACTGACCTGCAACTGAAGGTAAAGCTGGGGGACGTAACTTTATTACCAACAACAGAACTATGTGGCACTATGTGTGTAAATGTCACCATAGTGTCACTAGTTCCTGGCGAGAGACCAACGGGAGAGACCAAAGATATACCAGAGTGAGAGACCAGGGAGAGACCAGAGAGATACCAGAGAGAAGAACCAGAGAGAGACAAGAGAATCCATTCTAACAAAGAGGACACGGTTTACTTTTACAAGACTCTTTCCGTTCAAACTACAGGTTTGTGTTATGAGACAAAAGTTACAGATCCCAGCTTTAAACATATGTTATCTATGAGACTAAAGTTACAGTCAATTTGAAGCTTAAATCTTTTCTTTAGCATCGACCATTTGAATCAAGTGCATAATATTAAGTGAATTGAAAGTCCTCCTCTGGGTCTGCAGCTAGTGAGGGTTCGGTCCAGACGGTCTTAGCCTGGTCTGGACCGGGGCCAGTTTCCTCTCAGGTCTGACGTGGATGCAGAAAGTAATCCACAGATCAACACTTTGTCGCGGGATGCAATCCAACAGGACTACAGACAGAAGGACTACAAAGATGGAGAAATATGGACTACAAATACAGAGGGCTACAAACAGAAGGACTACAAACGTGGAGGAACACAAACAAAAAGACTACAAATAGGGATGACTGAAGAAAGCTGAAGGAAGTCAACAAACAGGACTACAAAGATCGAGGACTACAAAGATCGAGGACTACAAAGATCGAGGACTACAAAGATCGAGGACAACAAACAGAAGGACTACAAAGATGGAGGATTATGAACAGTGAGGGATTATGATCAAGGTGAGTGCAACTAAAGCACTACATACAGAAAGACTTCAAACATGGAGGTGATCGTGTTTTGGTTCAATGCAGAGAGTGTTGAAATGGGACAACAGCAGGAAAGGTTGGCTTGTTGATTGGACCTGTGTCGGTTTTTGACAAAAGGAAAGATAGGAATGGTTCCAAATAAAAAACTTTAAATACTTAGAAGACTTAATAATTTTGTTTTAATATCACAGTGTGCAGCGGACCAGAGAGAGACTAGAAAGAGACCAGACAGAACCCAGACAGAAGCCAGAGAGACCAGAGAGGGAATAGAAAGAGACCAGAGAGAGAGATCAGAGAGAATAGAAAGAGACCAGAGAGAGAGATCAGAGAGAATAGAAAGAGACCAGAGAGAGAGATCAGAGAGAACCCAGGCAGAGACCAGAGAGACAGTGATTTTAAGGTTACAGCTCTACACTATCAGCCTCATTGGGGTCAGTTACACACATGTGTTGCAATCAGGCTGCATTTAAACACGTGGTTTCTGCTTCTGACAGCTTAAGCTCGTGCTACAGCCCTCCTCCTCCTTACATTCTCTCGCTTGTGAGCTGTAGCTAGAAATGGTGAGTGTGAATGAAAGGGGTTTACTTTACACGTGAGTCACCACAAACCATTGGCACGGCTTCTAATTGAAATATCTCATCGGGTATGGAAACTATGGTAACTCTGGTAACTTTTGTAACTATGGTAACTATATTTACTATGGTATCTATTATAACTACGGTAACTATTGTAACTGTGTTAACTCTAGTATCTATGGTAACTATGGTATCTATGGTAACTACGGTAACTATTGTAACTATGTTAACTATAGTATCTATGGTAACTACGGTAACTATTATTACTATAGTAACTATGGTAAGTGTCAGAACTCAGATTCTTGTCTGAGTTTGTTGTAGGGCTGGGGGCGATATGGCTGAAAACTATATCTCAATATAAGTGTTTCATATCAGTCAATTTCGATAATTATTGTTTTTTTTAAACCTAAATTAAATACAACATTAAATGTTGTATTCTCAGACTTGGCAGTGTTCCCCATTTCACGCACAAAGGGCAGAGTGCAGATCTGATGAACCTCTGAAACTGAGAGCCACACTGTAAAAATCAACATTGTTTGGATAATTGGATAAATAAGATAATATTGATAATAATGGTAAGGTTTATTGCTGTGTGAATTGTACTTCACACAAAAAACTTGTTTAATAAATATAATAATATTTAATTTTCCCCATGTGGAACTATCTGTGTTTGATGAGATTTTTGGTTTTGCCTCATATTGTTTTAGATTAGATTAGAAATGTGTTTTAGCAGTGTTACAAGCTAGTCCGAGCACAGAGGCTTCGACACATATGAGACAGTCTGGCAGGAGATCCTCAGTGTGTTACGGGCTTCATCTGCATGTTCTTAGAACTGTATTTGAAGACAAACAGTTACTGATTAAAGGCTCTAAAGGGAAAAGAGGAAAGAGACGCATTAGCTGGCCCAGTACCTTGTCAGCAGCCGCTGATTCCCAAAATACCTAGGATAGGCATTGATAGGTCGAGAAGCCTCTGCCGACTTCCCCCAGAATGCAGTGCGCCTCTGGCTCATTTTTTTTCCCTGTTTCTTTTTCTCACGGATTATTCTATTTTCTATTGATGACATGTCTATCGTGATATATATTGTTATCGTTTGATCACACAGCACCAGTTTGTCGCTAATTTCACTTCAATTCCTGGATCAATCTACATGAATCAAAAACACATAGAGTTCCAAATCATATTTTTCAGCAGATTCCATCTATGGTCTCATTATTTTCTCTCTCTGGTCTCTGTCACAACCTCTCTGAGTGTAAGTGCATATGTCCTGGATAATCTCTGGTCTTCATAGTCTTCCGGCTTTAGTCCATAGAGAACTGGGTCAATAGTTCAGACCAGAGGGACACCGAACCATGACTTTGAACTTTCACTGAACAAAACAGGACCCAAAGAGTCAAATAGTGACTCACAGGGATCAGTCTTACACCACAATGTAATGTTTTCTACTAAGATGAATACAGAGAGAGACCAGAGAGAGACACCAGAGAGAGACCAGGGAGAGACCAGAGAGAGACCAGAGAGAGACCAGAGAGAGACCAGAGAGAGACCAGAGAGAGACCAGGGAGAGACCAGAGAGAGACCAGAGAGAGACCAGAGAGAGACCAGAGAGAGACCAGAGAGAGACCAGAGAGAGACCAGAGAGAGACCAGAGAGAGACCAGGGAGAGACCAGACAGAAAAGGGAAAAGGGAGTACGGTCGCTCGTCGGCTCTCAGGTCTGATTGGTTCACAACAATAGGACCATAATGACAGGGGGAAAGCAGTGTGAGTTTATACACAGAGGACGACAGCTTCAGACAATCCTTCTGTGAACCAGTTTACTTACGTAACCCAGACTTTATAGGGCAGAACCAGGATTGAACCAGGTCTGAATCAGGTGTGAACCAGAACTGAGGCAGGACTGAACCAGATCTAAGTTGATTGGTTGGTTTCAAAGTAACATTTTGTCATAATTAAAGGTGGTGTTTGTAACTTTTGAGACAGAGATTGTTTATAGACCTTTCTCCACTTTCAGACATGAGCAAACACGAGATGCTAACACGAGCTAGCCTCTATACAATTACTTACATACAGTAATGTCAACAAATCTTGGACAATACTAATACAAGGTACGGAAAAAAGTAAAGAGAGATATCAGAGAGAGACCAGGGAGAGATACAGTACCAGAGAAAGACCAGAGAGAGAGACCAGAGAGAGACCAGAGAAAGACCAGAGAGAGACCAAAGAGACACTAGAGAGCAGAGAAATATTGGAGAGAGACCAGAGTAACCAGACAGAGCATATATAGAATAATCCTGACACTCACTCCTTCACTTCCTTAGCGCTGAAGTCCAGGTAGCGGTTGCTAATCCACTGGATCTCGAACCAGTCTCTGTATCCGTTGGCGCCGCAGCACCTAAACTCCATCTGCATGAGATCCAGCGTGCGCTTCATGTAGCAGCGGCCGGGCGTGTCTGTGTCCTTGTAGAACTTCATCCCGTTCTTCAGCCCCTCCGCCAGCGTGAACTGCAGCGGGATCCTCATCAGGAAGCACAACACAGCCGTTAACAATAGCACGCCGTTGAAGACCATGCAGATGCTCAGGAAGGCGTTCAGCATGGGTTTCCATCCCAAGAACTTGGACGGGTCGAGCGAGTCGTAGCAGATCTTTCCACCTAGAGCGTTGATGGCGCACACGGCGAGGCCCAGGATGATCAGGAGGTTCGGCAGGAAGTGGCTCTCATTGTTGTCCATGAGTTCGGAGCGTTTGCGGAGCTCGATCTTGAAGAACAGCCCCATGCTGAAGACCATGATCCCGGCCATCACCGCAAACCAGTACAGGAACCATACGGACTGCGCTAGCTTCACGCGCTTCTTCAGGTCGAATTTCACCACCATCAACGCCATTTTAGCAACGTTCAGCAATCCCCAGTTATCAAATATAAAGAATGTTCCACTCCTTACTATGAAGTTATGCACAAAAATCCTTGTTTTCGCCCTCCTCGCTGTAAAACAAACGTAAAATAACCTTGTGTGTGATTACTTTTGCACTCCTCACTGTCAAAGTAACTAGTAAAAAAACTTGCGTGTCAAGATTTCCGCAATCCGTGATCTCTAATGACCTACAAAAAGCTCCCTGTACAGAAATAGCACCACCAACTGTTGGTTGTGCTAACCCAACCCGAGTTTCCCGCCAAAATACCTGATGCTAACAGCTGCTATAATCCATCGCTCGCAGTAAATTCCAATAGTTTTCCATTTTGCAGTTGTTTCTGTGTTTTTTTGCCGAGCGGACCTGCTGTGGCTTCCTCCCGAGCGCAGAGATTGCATGGGATCCTCCGATTAGCGCAGAAGTCAGCCTACGTCACGCAAAGCTCCGGTAAGTAGCTGGAGCCAATTAGCTTAAGCCGGTTTGACGAGCTATGAGCCGCGCTAAATCCATGGAGCGAGGAGTGATTGGGCGGTGGGCGGAGAGAGTGGGTTTAGGCGGGAGCAGAGTTCACACCAGAGTTATGTCCCGTTAGCCTCAGGGTTAGCCTTCGTTAGCATGACCTCAGCGGCGCGGTCACAGTTTGCACGCAACACACTCAGAGATGGTTTGAAAGTTTACACTCTTTTGTCCGAGTTTCAGAAATGATTCATGTTTCTTCATTATTTCGCTGTAGAGATCCTTGTCCTCTGCATTTGACAATCTCCAGTTTGTTTATTTAGGACAAACTGTTTAAGAGTCAGCACTAGAGACAGGGTCAGACACCAGTAACAAATGCTGGATAACTGGAAAGATAATAATAATAATAATCATAACAATAATGATAATTGTTATTATTACCATTATTATAATTATATATTGTGTGTACTTTACACATAAAATGTCTTGTTTATATAATAGATACAGGAATATATTATTTATCTGTGTTCGATGTTTGAAGAAGTGAAACAAGTTTGAACATTGTCAATAAGTGAGATCTGTGTAAAAACGTATATAATTCATTGTGATTCTGCAGATCACTTCTTCATCAGCTTCACACTGTTTACTAAACAATAATAATACAATAATCCCGGAGAAACATTTACAGGCTGCAAGAACACCACATTCACATCACCACATCAGCGCGTTCCCGATCCGTGCGCGGATATGCGCGTTCCTGATCCTGAGAGAACGCGCATTCTGCCAAAACACTGAAACACGTGTCTGTTCAAGAGGAGAGGACACCAGCTGCAGAAACATGAAGGAATCTCATTTTACACTTTCTCCTAAATATTTACAAACACAGCAGCAGTTATCGCTGAAGTTGTGGATTCACCAACAACAGATCAGAGAATCAGTTCAAACTCAGTCTATGGTTCAAACACAGGAGCTGTTACAAAAAAACACATATGAGCCATTGACTGACTGTAGACCCAGGACTCAGGCTGTAGACCCAGGACTGAGGCTGTAGACCCTGGACTGAGGCTGTAGACCCAGGACTGAGGCTGTAGACCCAGGACTGAGGCTGTAGACCCAGGACTGAGGCTGTAGACCCTGGACTGAGGCTGTAGACCCAGGACTGAGGCTGTAGACCCAGGACTGAGGCTGTAGACCCAGGACTGAGGCTGTAGACCCAGGACTGAGGCTGTAGACCCAGGACTCAGGCTGTAGACCCAGGACTGAGGCTGTAGACCCAGGACTGAGGCTGTAGACCCAGGACTGAGGCTGTAGACCCAGGACTGAGGCTGTAGACCCAGGACTCAGGCTGTAGACCCACTGAGGCTGGAGACCCAGGACTGAGACTGTAGACCCAGGACTCAGGCTGTAGACCCAGGACTGAGGCTGTAGACCCTGGACTGAGGCTGTAGACCCAGGACTGAGGCTGTAGACCCAGGACTCAGGCTGGAGACCCAGGACTGAGGCTGTAGACCCAGGACTCAGGCTGTAGACCCACTGAGGCTGTAGACCCAGGACTGAGGCTGTAGACCCAGGACTCAGGCTGGAGACCCAGGACTGAGGCTGTAGACCCAGGACTCAGGCTGTAGACCCACTGAGGCTGGAGACCCAGGACTGAGGCTGGAGACCCAGGACTGAGGCTGTAGACCCAGGACTCAGGCTGTAGACCCACTGAGGCTGTAGACCCAGGACTGAGGCTGTAGACCCAGGACTCAGGCTGGAGACCCAGGACTGAGGCTGTAGACCCAGGACTCAGGCTGTAGACCCATGAGGCTGACCAGGACTGAGCTGTAGACCCAGGACTGAGACTGTAGACCCAGGACTGAGGCTGTAGACCCAGGACTGAGGCTGTAGACCCTGGACTGAGGCTGTAGACCCATGGACTGAGGCTGTAGACCCAGGACTGAGGCTGTAGACCCACTGAGGCTGTAGACCCAGGACTGAGGCTGTAGACCCAGGACTGAGGCTGTAGACCCAGGACTCAGGCTGTAGACCCAGGACTGAGGCTGTAGACCCAGGACTGAGGCTGTAGACCCAGGACTGAGGCTGTAGACCCAGGACTCAGGCTGTAGACCCAGGACTGAGGCTGTAGACCCTGGACTGAGGCTGTAAACCCAGGACTGAGAATGTAGCTCCAGGACTGAGGCTGTAGACTCAGGACTGAGGCTGTAGACCCACTGAGGCTGTAGACCCAGGACTGAGGCTGTAGACCCAGGACTCAGGCTGTAGACCCAGGACTGAGGCTGTAGACCCACTGAGGCTGTAGACCCTGGACTGAGGCTGTAAACCCAGGACTGAGGATGTAGCTCCAGGACTGAGGCTGTAGACCCAGGACTGAGGCTGTAGACCCACTGAGGCTGTAGACCCAGGACTGAGGCTGTAGACCCAGGACTCAGGCTGTAGACCCAGGACTGAGGCTGTAGACCCAGGACTGAGGCTGTAGACCCAGGACTGAGGCTGTAGACCCAGGACTGAGGATGTAGCTCCAGGACTGAGGCTGTAGACCCAGGACTCAGGCTGTAGACCCAGGACTCAGGCTGTAGACCCAGGACTCAGGCTGTAGATTCAGGACTGAGGCTGTAGACCCAGGACTGAGTATGCTGGACGCCCAGACAGAGCGAAATACTGCCGCCTGGCGGTGACACGCTGGTTTGTGCAGAGGTGCAGTTCCTCCCTCCGCCTGCAGAGGTCAGTGCGGGACCATTAACACCTGCTCCTGCTGTGGTTCTGTCATAGTGTAGAGTTTGTGACGTCACTTTAGACCGTGTTCCACGATGAGAAGACTTTGATGAACTGATCACACGGAAACATTTCACTGGGAAAGAAACGTTTATTTGAAAACTTCTCCAGGAAGTCTGATAATCCACTTACACCCATTCCAAGACCAAGGCCTGGTTCCAACCTGGTTCAGTCCTGGTCCAGTCCTGGTTCAGTCAGAGTTGAGAGGGGAAAGTGATTAAAAAGTCGTATATTTGAAAAAAAAAAAAATAGTTAAATGTATTATTGTAAAAGTATCCATCCCCCACACATTTCATCACAATCAGGTTTTCTGGTCTCTCACCTGGTCTCTCTCTGGTCCCTCTTTCTCCTGGTCCCTTTCTCTCTCTGGTTTCTCTCTTTGTCCCTTTCCTGGTCTCTCTCCTGGTTACTTTCCGGGTCTCTCTCTTGCGCCCTCTCTCTCTCTGGTCTCTCTCCTGGTCCCTTCCCTGGTCTCTTTCTGGTCTCTCTCTTGGTCCCTCTCTCTCTCTGGTCTCTCTCCTGGTCCCTTCCCTGGTCTCTTTCTGGTCTCTCTCTTGGTCCCTCTCTCTCTCTGGTCTCTCTCCTGGTCCCTTCCCTGGTCTCTTTCTGGTCTCTCTCCTGGTCCCTTTCCTGATCTCTCTACTGGTCTCTTTGCAGGTCTCTCTCTTGGTCCCTCTCTCTCTCTGGTCTCTCTCCTGGTTCATTAGTGGCAGAAGCACAGAGGAGCTCAGAGTTAGTGACAAACTTTTTAATTCAAACACATTTTTCCAGATGTTTAAACAGAAAAGGTTAATGTTCCAGAGATGTTAACGCTCAGAGAAACAAGTTAAATCACACACAAGAAGAAGCAGAAGAAAAAGAAGAACGCTGCCATCTTGGAAACCACACCATTTTATATTAGCATTAGAATCATTAGCATCACATCTGCTAACATGTGTTCAATTCTCCTGTCTCCACATACAGCATCCCAATGACATCTGTTCTGTACCAGAGAGAGACCAGAAAGACCGGAGAGGGACCAGAGAGAGACCAAAGAGTGACCAGAAAGACCAGAGAGACCAGCAGAGGGACCAGTGAGACTAGAAAGAGACCAGAGAGAGACGAGATACCTCACAGATAAATAATCCCATATTAAACCTTTATCATATCACATGGTTCTTTCCAAGATGGCGGCTCCAGTCACAAACCAACGTCTTGTTCAGCTCAAAATGTAATGTTATTTTCTCTACATAAAAACACAGATTTATATATTTTTTAAAAACATGTTATGAACACAGTGTTATAGTCGTCAAGGCAACGCGTGGTTTTTTCCAGTTTGTGCTGATACTGTTACATGAATACACATTATTTATGTAGCACAGGGGTCTGCAACCTCACTGTACGCCCAACAGCTTTGTTCAGACCATGCCAGCGATCAGAGGATTTTTTTTTTTCAGATTCAGAAAAAATAAAAAAATTATACCTAAGGGAGAAACCAGAAAGACCAAAGAGAGAGAGCAGTGAGAGAGACCAGTGATTGAGACCAGAGACACACCAGGAGAAGGGAGGGGGGCTGTGATCGCTGACTCTACAATCTTCTAAAATCAGATAGTTCAAAGTGGTTGCAGACCCCTGGTCACAATCCAGTTATGGTAAAAAAATAAGTTTAAAGCTGGGGTACGTAACTTTAGTCTCATAAATAACATGTAGTTTGAAAGAGTCTTAAAACGGGTCTCTCTCAGCTCTGTCTGGTCTCTCCGGTCGCTCCCTCCCTGGTCTCTCTCTGGTCTCTCTCTGAAAGTGGCGTACCCCAGCTTTAAAATCCCATCGATTTCCATAGATAAATGTTTCTAACAGACTTTCTTCAGTTCAAACACATTTACAAAGACGTCAGAGAGGAGCGAGGTCTCACTCAGATCCATAATGTTGACGATGGCACCGAGACAGAGGCTCTTTGTGGCACAGGGGGTTGTTGTGCGACAGTCACAGTTTGTGCGACTGAATGTGCGATTGTGTGTTCTTCAAACACAGAGAGAGAAATGTGAGAGAGGGGGAGTGAGTGGGAGGCAGGGGGCGCTACAGGCCTCGTCTGAGCCATCACAAAGACCTGCTGTGAAAGATCGGCATGTTGTTTGGACCAGTGTCTGCGTCTTAAGACAGGAATGTGTGAATAAAAACGTTCACAATAATCTTATAGGAACAGATAGAGACCAAAGGGAGACCAGAGAGAGACCAGAATGGAAACTGTTTCTCCGTTATCGCAGACTTGACCTTGAGAAAAACAGAAATTAAAAGAGTGAGATAAAACCTGGACAAGAGTGATGTCATTTACAGACAACACAAGGAGCACTGAGAGTCACATGTGAGTCAGGTCTCTCTCTGGTCTCTCTCTGGTCTCTCTCTGGTCTCTCTCTGGTCCCTCTCTGGTCTCTCTCTGGTCCCTCTCTGGTCTCTCTCTGGTCCCTCTCTGGTCTCTCTCTGGTCTCTCTCTGGTCCCTCTCTGGTCCCTCTCTGGTCTCTCTCTGGTCTCTCTCTGGTCTCTCTCTGGTCTCTCTCTGGTCTCTCTCTGGTCTCTCTCTGGTCCCTCTCTGGTCTCTCGCTGGTGTCTCCCTGATCTCTCTCTGGTCCCTCTCTGGTCTCTCTCTGGTCCCTCTCTGGTCTCTCGCTGGTGTCTCCCTGGTCTCTCTCTGGTCTCTCTCTGGTCCCTCTCTGGTCTCTCTCTGGTCTCTCTCTGGTCTCTCTCTGGTCTCTCTCTGGTCCCTCTCTGGTCCCTCTCTGGTCTCTCTCTGGTCCCTCTCTGGTCTCTCGCTGGTGTCTCCCTGATCTCTCTCTGGTTTCTCACTGATCTCTCTCTGGTCTCCCCAAACACACCTGTCTTTCCCACTTTTGTACTTGTCTAAAAACATTTTTAGTGCAAAATACTGTAGTTTTTAGCTGGGGCAAAAGAGGCACTTGTGGCTCAAACTCAGGAGGAGAACTATTTGGAACATTAACTCTAAAATATGAAAATCTCTTTGTCGTTGCACACATGGTGTTTAAGGCACTAACTCTACTGTTGGGAATCACAGTCTTCATAAAGGCACGATGGTGGAGGCTTCTGCCCCCAATGCAAGACCAGAGAAACAGCCTCCTTCACTTTTCTTCCTTCATGCTAACACTCTTTAACAATTTGCTAAATTTTAGGTTTTTGTTTCGCTCTAGGTTCAAAGCTACAACAGAACATCTCTAACTTCTAAGTTCTGTGTATTGTGTTTGTAAATCCAGATATGAGCCGTGTAAGGATTGACCAATCAGACGGCTTCATTCACGGGGAAAACTTGCCTTAGATAAGATAGACTTTAGCAATCGAACAAATGCCTATATCAGGAAACTGCTAATGTTCAAATCTTCCGTCTTCCCCAATAAGGCTAACAATGAAGTGATGTCACAATGTGAATTTACAGAGTAGGCGTTGACAGTGCTTAAGCGTTGACTAAGCGCGTAACAGAGTGTGCACAGGTACACGGCTGCTGATGCGGTCCCTGTGTCGTCTTTGGAGAAGTGTAGAGGACAGTACGGGCCGAAGGACTGATGTAGAGCTACAAAAATCACATGTATGTGTCTTCATGGTCTCTGTGAGCTGGTCTGGCACAAGACTTTATGAAAGAAAAATAAACGATGTCCAGAATCACTGTAAAACCTGCCAGTCTTCCTCCTAATGTTTAGATTCAAGTCCTGATGTGATCTAGAGCCAAGGACCGCTAGAAAAATCATGTTTGTGTTTTGACTGGGAGGCGCGTTACTGCGCACGCAAAATTAGAAATCCATTTTATCAATTTAGGCGCAGCTTCGTGTCAATACGTCCGTCACAACTGAGTACAACACAAGAGTAAATATCACCATAGGTTAATGTTACGCGCGTAGTCTGCGGGTACAACACTCAGGTGCTGCAACGCCTCCTGTGTAAATTAGCAGTTAGAGCCGGGGGATGTTTTATAAGTATCAGTCGCTTTTGCCGCCTCCAGGGCCAAAAGAAAGACCTGGTACCTGTTGGTACCGACTGGTACCGGTGGGTACTAGTTGGTACCTGTTGGAGCCTGAACATTCATGGTCGTGCTGATGGTTCAGACACACTGCTGGTGTCTCAGTGTGAATAAAGTGTTGGATGTTCTCAAGCACAGCTGGTGTTGACTTCACTGTGTTTTCTGTAAAACTTTAAACCTTTGCTCTGACCTTCATTTCTACGTTTGGCACATTTCCTGCTCAAACAAATCCTTCACAAGGATCTGTTCGGAATCAATCAACAGCTCTGCAAAAGACAAGTTAGCTAATTTTGGGCTCTACATAAATAAATTGATTATTGCTGTAAATCCATAGACCTTTCATAAATTGGGGTTACTATCATTACTGTGTTTAGATGTAAATACATGAATATATTGCTGAGATGTAGCTTGTCTTCCGTGGAGTCTTTTAAATTCTGAAGGCGGCCATTTTGGGGTCCGTTATAGCGGCCATTTTGGGAGTAAAAAATTCTGAAATCTTTTTTTTGAAACAGTTGTAGAAACTTGTGGACAATCCGTCGGCGCACGGTTGTTAACTCATGGCTGTGGTTTAGTTCCTGGTTAGAAGCACTTCCTGGTGAGTCGCCCCGAACGCCGCTCTCCGGTTGGCCACGGTGGCGTGGAGGGGGCGGGGTCATGGGTTAGTTGCCGTGGCAGCTAGAGTTAGACAGACACGACAAGGGATCAAGGAAAGGAAACGAGGAAACAAAACAGAGGAGAGAGGAGAGAAAGAGATTAGTGTCAGCGAGTGGATTTAAGGATGGTACAAGAACTGGAACGGCACAGCGGCTCCCTGCGGCTATTTTGGGGTCACTTATGGCGGCCATTATGGGGCCAGTGGAGTAAGGAAATATCGCTAGGATTGTTTGGAATTAGTTTCTTTAGTTATACTTTCTGGTTAGTGGTTGTGTGAAGCTATTTCTTTTCAAATAAAGGTGTTTTCTTTGTTTAAATGATAATGCTGCAGTATAGTCTGTATACTGCTCCCTGTATTATCGTGGGGGTGATGTGTCCTAAAAATACTCTCTCTCTGGTCTCTCCCTGGTCTCCGTCTCCCTCTCCCTAGTGTCTCTCTGCTCTCTCCCTGCTCTCTTTCGGCTTTCCTTGGTCTCTCTCTGATGGTAAAGCTGGCCATTCTTCTTGGCAGTTCCTCCAGTTCCTGGTAATTCCCGGGCTGCCTTGTATGAACCGCCTGTGTGAGATCTCCTCAGAGCAAAATCATGTTTATTTGACAAAAAATGGCTTCACACAATCTCTGGCGATGGCTGTTATTGTTCATAATCTCTAACCTACTCTTCACTGGTCCTGAGTAACCAGTACCAGGTCCTTCTTTAGTCCCTCTTGGTCCTGGTTCTATCCAGGCAGAGCTGGTGCTGAGGTGTTCTAACTGACAGTGATTGGCCAGAGTGCTGCTGGAAGATATTTGTTGTGGGTAGATTGATAGTGGGATAATGTAGGACATTCCGGACACTTGAAACTAGTTCAAATCAAGAGTAAGTTGGGTCTTAGTACAGTACCAGTAGTACTCGAGTACATTATTAGCCAAAGAACATCCCTCTCTCTTGCTACAAACGTCCTATAAAAGCGACTTTCTCACTCCACTCTTTGCTTGTTGTTAGCAGTTAGCTCGTGGCTAACGTTGCAGTGTTACGTCTATGGGAGCGCGTGCCGTGCCGCTAACTCTACACATGCTAACAGGAACTAGGAACCATGAGACTAGAGCATGGTTCGGGAGTTTACACCCGGAGACACATAAAGTCTGCGCAGGTTTGGATGAGTTTGCATCGAGAAAACAACAAGAACAGAATCAGACGCAAGAAACTGAAACATTTATAAGCACCGTATTCTGGTAGTAATATTGTAAGTCCTCAGTCCGGACTGTTTTTTGTTATTGCACTTCCTGTGTTTGAAGTTTGATTCTCTGATCTGATCTATTGCACTTCCTGTGTTTGAAGATGATTCTCTGATCTGATCTATTGCACTTCCTGTGTTTGAAGATGATTCTCTGATCTGTTGTTGGTGAATCCACAACTTTGTAAAGTCTTGATTAAAGGCAATACACAAATAAACTGATTCACAAATAAACCAAATATTTTTCCATCTTTCTCTTGATGCAAACTTATTCAAACACAAACGCCGTCACCAAATCCGGGCGTAAAATCCGAGACACAAAACCTACAGATGATTACTGATTATGATTATTACTCATTAAGCAAAAAGAGACAGCGATGAGTGGTTAGGAAGGAGGTGCTGTTCACATAAACATCTACAAACTACAAGAATTTGGTCCGAAACATTTGCAAATTCATTTCAATAATCATCTTTATTGCCTGTAGTGTTCTCTCCCACACACATAATATAATATTTGTATAGATAAATGCATAAACACAATATAAGCCACGCCTCCAAATTCACTTAAATATCTTCGCGGCTTCGAAACAGTAGCTACACACTTTTGAATAAACAATTCTATAAAAACACATACAAATAAAATGTACAAACTATAAGCGAATACAAAAATGGGGGACGCTTTAAGACGGCGAGCGCTAATTTGCATAACAATCAGATAATTTGCAGATTATGTTAATGAACGTATCATATTTAGTTTTGGTGTAACTCAGCGAAGTCTGAAGGTTCATAATAAATGAACAATAATAATAATAATAATCTGATACATTTCAGATTCTGTCACTTCAATGGAACCATTGCTAATTTGGTTAAAGTTAAAATCCAACAAATTATTATTTTTTATGATTGTGTTTTCAAAGGAGTTTAGAGATTTTCATTTGATGATAATCATTTATTTAATTCAATCTTGATCGTCAACAGCTAATTACTGCAGCACATTTTAAAAGGAGGTGGTGCTGCTTTTATACAGGTGCCTAACAGTCCAGAGAGTACGGTAGATACAATTAGTATCATTTAGATTCATTTGAATATTTGTCCAGTGACATTTATCCTGAAGATAAGAAAATTAATTAAATTAGCATCCGTGCAGATTAGCATCTGGTGCAGATTAGCATCTGGTGCAGATTAGCATCTGGTGCAGAATAGCATCTGGTGCAGATTAGCATCCGTGCAGATTAGCATCTGTGCAGATTAGCATCAATGCAGATTACCATCTGGTGCAGATTAGCATCCGTGCAGATTAGCATCTGGTGCAGATTATCATCTGTGCAGATTAGCATCTGGTGCAGATTATCATCTGTGCAGATTAGCATCTGGTGCAGATTATCATCCGTGCAGATTAGCATCTGGTGCCTATTAGCATCTGGTGCATATTAACATCTGGTGCAGATTAGCATCAATGCAGATTAGCATCTGTGCAGATCAGCGCGCGCAGCTAAAGCGTCCCCCTGACTCAGCGTCTCGTTGAAAGCGGCGTTTCCGTTCAGAGCAGTAAGAGGTTCCTGATCCGCAGCAGACAGACTCTGGTCACATAAACATGGCTGGATTAACTTTAGCTTTAGCTCCAAAGGTGAATGCCCTTTTCTCATGTTACACATGATGATCATCGTCATTTTAAGTGTGGTTCATACTGACACGCTGTGTTTCTAAAGAACTAATAAGCATCAGTAATTATCATTGTTAAGAATCATTTGTAAAACTGTAAAACAAACAAAATGTAAACGTTTTTACAGTTTACTTTTAGAATTTAATTTATATAAATATATGTTTTTCTTTTTCTACAATTAATAATGAATAATAATAATACATTTATTCATAAATCTTTTAGTTTAATAATAACATGTTTTAATCTCAGACTTTTCTGTGGATTTAATTAATTTAATATTTAGAGTCGTCCAGATTCTGAATCAAAAACTGCTCTAAATATAATAAGTCAGTTTTTTGGTTAAAAGATTAAATTCAAAGGTTTGAATAAATAGAGAATGTTCAAAGTGAAAAGAGGAAGAACAAATAAATAAATATGAGTAAAGAATAAAGTGAATCCAGCCATGGAGCAAAGTGCTGCGGCTGCTGCGGCTGCTGCAGTCACATGATCAGGATTTATATCATCAACAATCGTGAATCAATGGAATAATAGAAATAAAACCTATGGAATGTTTGGAGGAGGTTAAAGTTTGGGCTGCGGTGCGTTTGTCGTTAACAGGAAGAAAATCAACGGTCATAAAGATCCACGAGAACGGCCTCAAACTCTGGTCCATTTGACACGACATTAAAAGAATGATGTTTAAGAAACGAGGAGCGGAGGAGGCGGAGACAGAGGTTTACAGCTCAGAGAAAGTGCTTTTGTACAAAACATTTATTAATCTATTATTATTATTTATATAAGTGCCAAAAATGTGAATCTTTAGCCGCTGCCAGCGACGGACACAATACAGAATAAAGTTTATAAAATAAAAATTCAGATGATTCATTTCTAAAGATAAAAACAGAGATTTAGTTTATTGTTTCATTTCTTTAAGTCGTGCTGTTCTTAATATTCATTCTCTTGGGTTGTGTGCCGTTCTGTTACTTGCGAGACAACACTGGAATTTTCCCACTGTGCGACATATACAGATCTCTAAACTATTAAAACAGATTAAAGTAAGAATCTATTTAATGTTTTAACTAAAATATGAACTAATAAGAACGTAGACGTTTGGAGCAGTGGGACTCCAGAGACTGAAGAAAAAACTATTCAATCAATTCTAATTATTATTATATTATTATTATTAATAATGAAACAGTGAAAAACAAACTTATATTTATCCAGTTTATCTTTTATGTTTATCCACTTCCTGTTTACACAGTTTTAAACAAACTGATGATAAAATGTAGATTCTTGAGGAAAGTTAAATAAACAAATTAAAAATGTTTAGCTTTAACAGAACAATACTTTCTCCTGTGTTTCCCAGACGTGAATTCACCCGTGGAATCAACACTATATAACTTAATAAAACTTTTATTTACATTTTATATATGTTTAAGATTCGATTTTAAATTAAGATGAAAATTATTCATATTTTGAGCTCATTTGGTTTTGTCTCAGACCGACGCAAACTTCGACCAAACTCTGTAGTTTTCTCTAAAAACAAAATGTCCGCCTCCTCTGCCTCTGCGTTCACATAAAGAGCTGGGACCGGGACTGGAGAGAGCGGAGGCCTGGGGCAGCTGTGGCAGCTGTGGCAGCTGTGGTAGCTGTGGTAGCTGTGGCGGCTGGGGCAGCGAGGAAATCCTGGGGTCTGAATTGTGAACGTAAATATGTTATAAAAGTGTCATTAGTAGAATATATGAGAACCATACGGACACAATGGCGTATTAAATCTATCTCATGAACACAAACTAGATTTAATTCTAATATAATTATTTTAAATGTTTTTTTGGACAATAAGCTGTAATTTAAAACAGACAATAAAATAAATATAGTTTTTTACATTCTGTGCTTTTGGTCACATGATCCAGCTGCTACTTTGTTATTACATTTTTATTCAGACCTTTTTAACGTCTTGATCCTCACACTTCTCCAGCTCATCTGGGGGAATCCTGAAATGTTCCTGGTCTCCTCCCAGTGGGACATGCCCAGAACACCTCCTCAGAGAGGAGACCAGGTGGAAGAGCAGTGGCTCTACTCTGAGCTCCTCCTGTGACTGAGCTCCTCTCTCTCTAAGGGAGCAGTGGCTCTACTCTGAGCTCCTCCTGTGACTGAGCTCCTCTCTCTCTAAGGGAGCAGTGGCTCTACTCTAAGCTCCTCCTGTGACTGAGCTCCTCTCTCTCTAAGGGAGCAGTGGCTCTACTCTGAGCTCCTCCTGTGACTGAGCTCCTCTCTCTCTAAGGGAGCAGTGGCTCTACTCTGAGCTCCTCCTGTGACTGAGCTCCTCTCTCTCTAAGGGAGCAGTGGCTCTACTCTGAGCTCCTCCTGTGACTGAGCTCCTCTCTCTCTAAGGGAGCAGTGAATAAGTAAGTAAGTAAGCTTTATTTATATACCGCCTTTCACAGACCAGAGTCACAAAGCGGTTTACAATTGTTATTTTTTGGGCACTTGTCCTCTCACTCCTCACAGAGATGGGAGCGGGGTCGCCGAGCAGGAGGCGCATGCCAGACCTATTGTACATAATAAGGATCTAGACGTTATGTCTCTTAAATAAATCTATTTAAAGATAAACATGTGTAAAAGATACAAAATCATCTCTGTGTGTGTAGTTCTCTCTGCTGCCACCAGGGGATTTTATATTTTATTTTTCAAAATCAAATATTAAAAGCTGTCAATTCACTGTAGAAATCATTAAAACTAAGTTAGGGGCAACTCTTTTGTTTTAGAAACAGAAAGAGACCAGAGAGACCAGAGACACACCAGCGAGAGACCAGAGAGACACCAGAGAGAGTCCAAAAAGAGACCAAAGAGAGACCAGAGAGAGACCAAAGAGAGACCAAAGAGAGACCAGAGAGAGACCAAAGAGAGACCAAAGAGAGACCAAAGAGAGACCAGGGAGAGACCAGAGAGAGACCAGAGAGAGACCAGAGAGAGACCAGAGAGAGACCAGAATGTTTATTGTTTCTAGTTTTGCTTCCAGTTTGATATTGTTATTTATGTGTGATTTTGGATGCTTTTAGCCGCCATAGTCCCCTGAGAGGCCCCTGGAGCTCTCCACAGTCCCGAACACAGCTCCACGGCTCGTGTGGCATGCACATCTCACACAGCGCTAACTGACCTCTGTCCGCCACCCTTTGGTACGGGTGCAGTCTCTTCTCCTGACGACGCACTTTAGCGCTAATGGATCCTGCTCACCACGCCAAAACATCAAAGTAAAACAAAAACATTGAGAAAAACAGTTACTTCAACAACAGATGAACGAGGTACAACAGTAGCACAGGGACACAGTGCAGTAAGACTGGAGCAGTGCAAGCTTCAGGGTCAGTGGGAAAATACAAATGTAAGTCGTTCAGAGATGGCTTCAGGTTCTGTGTTGTTGTGTTCCAAGGCTCACTGTGGTCTCAGATGCTCTGATTGGTTGTTGTGGACTTACTATGTCTGACAAGGAGAGAGACCTGAGAGAGACCAGAGAGAGACTAGAGAGAGACCAAGGAGAGACCAGAGAGAGACTAGAGACAGGAGAGAGACTAAGGAGAGACCATAGCGAGACCAGTGAGAGTCTAGAGAAATACCAGAGAGAGACCAAGGAGAGACCAGAGAGAGACCAGAGAGAGACCAAGGAGAGACCAGATAGAGACCAGAGAGAGACCAGAAAGACACCAGAGAGTGACCAGAGAGAGACCAGAGAGAGACCAAGGAGAGACCAGAGAGATAGACCAGAGAGATAGACCAGAGAGAGAGATCAGAGAGAGACCAAGGAGAGACCAGAGAAAGTGGTGATGTCACACGCTTCAGTCCTCTACGACACATGGTATTGAGCTTACAGTCAACACAGCAGACCAAACAAAAATTGAAGTGAGATTTAAGTGCGATAGGAGTTGATGGAACCAGTGTGAAGCCTTAAAACATAAAAACACATAAATAAATCCAGTGTGCTGCGTTTGTGAACGACGCTGGAGCTTGCACCAAAATGTTCCCACGTTCACATCCAGAGTTTTCCAGGAATCACATCAAAAGACTATTTCAAATAAAATAAAATATATATACATAAAATCTCATAGTTCTGTGGTCCTCATCTCTTCAAAACGTACACGGTTAGCCTCGCTAGCTTTAGCTTTAGCTTTAAGTCACTCTAGTTAAGCTCTGTGATCAAAACAAGCGATCTATCGTAAACAATTTTTAAGGCTACACACTACAACGGCGTTAAAATTGTAGAGGAAGAAAGAAAGAAGCTAAAAACGTTAAAAGTGTCACACCAAACGCTAGGTCTGCTAGTACAAAATGTGCGGGAAAAAGTAGCTAAGAGGAGCTGGAGTGGTTCAGTCTGTGTGTGTGTGTCTGTGTGCGTCTGTTTGTGTGTGTGTAATAGTCTTTAGCCTTAGCTTAGCCTTTGGTGGGAAAAGCCATACCTGCAACGACAAAGGGAGAGGGGACTGTTAGAACAAAATGAGCATCGGGACGAAGAGAAAGACGACAAAGATGTGTGACGAGAACTGGGGAGAGAGACCTGAGACCAGAGAGAGACCAGAGAGAGACCAGAGAGAGACCAGAGAGAGACCAGAGAGAGACCAGAGAGAGACCAGAGAGAGACCAGAGAGAGACCAGAGAGAGACCAGAGAGAGACCAGAGAGAGACCAGAGAGAGACCAGAGAGAGATCAGAGAGAGACCAGAGAGAGACCAGAGAGAGACCAGAGAGAGATCAGAGAGAGACCAGAGAGAGACCAGAGAGAGACCAGAGAGAGACCAGAGAGAGACCAGAGAGAGATCAGAGAGAGACCAGAGAGAGACCAGAGTGAGGCCTCCCTTCCTCCCAGCCTCGTCACACACTGGTGCCCCCGTAGCGCCTCCCCTCTCTCCCTCCTCGTACCTAGTACCCCGTTGGAGTCGATGGGGTATTCCAGGATGGAGGGGGTGAGGGTGTAGGGGTAGTCGTAGGGGGCGTAGATGATCCCAGACTCAGGCGCCTGCTGGACCAGGTGGGGGCTGCCTCCAGGGACCAGGGCTGAGCTCTGGATCTGTCGGATCAGGGGCATGATGGGACCAGTGACCGGGGCGGGAGTCCGGAGGGGAGGCAGGACCTGACCGGGACCTGTGAGGATCCGAGGAGCCTGAGGGCCCAGAGGAAAGCCTGTTGCTGTTGGAAAGGGAGGAGGGAGGTTAGACACACACTGGACACAAAATGCATCAAAATACTTTTTACATCACACATGACTCTTCACTCTGGAAAGTCTCTGTCCTGAAGTCCTCTCACATTAGTCCTGGTCTCAGGTCTCTGTCCTGAAGTCCTCTCACATTAGTCCTGGTCTCAGGTCTCTGTCCTGAAGTCCTCTCACATTAGTCCTGGTCTCAGGTCTCTGTCCTGAAATCCTCTCACATTCCCACTAAACATCCGACGTCCACTCAACCTCCAGATCACGTCAATATCGCGTCGGTCGGTCGTGACCTTTTATTTACGTCCAAACGACGTCTGTGCAAGGTGCGCATCTGGACGTAAAACAATGACCTCCCATATACGTGGATATGACGTTCAATCCCGACCTCCCCTAGACGTCGAAAACAGGTCATCGGCCGACCGACGCAGTACGTCTTGATCTAGCAATACAATATATAGGCTGTGAAGCAATGTAAGTGTACCTGACGGTAGTGTAGTGGTTAAGTAAATGTGTGCAGCCTTGGTTACGTGAGTTTGAGCCCACGTGTGTGTATTATTATCTTTACATATTTGTTTTGATTTTTAACGAACAATTTTTTTCTGTTTGGTTAAAGACTAATAAACACTCAACATAGGATTACGTAGTGGCTAATAATAAAACTTGTGAATGTATGCATTTGTTGTGCTAACAATCTCAAGTTTGCAAATAAGGGGTGAGCACTTGAGATTTTATGCAAATGCATGGGTTCACAAGTTTTATTATTAGCCACTACATAATCTTATGTTGAGTGTTTATTCGTTTTTAACCAAACAGAAAAATTGTTTGCTAACAAGTGAAAAGTCAAAAGTTTTCCGACGGGGATTTGAACCCGTGTCGGTGCGACTGAAGTCTCATTACGCAACCGCTACACCACCGCCAGGCATGTTTTCTGACTACTGTGAAAAAATAATAGATAACACCCTAAACAACCGACGCACACTTATGCGAGGTTACAGCCTACACGTGAGTCGCTCGGTCGCGGACCTGTTTTCCACGTCTAAACGACGTAAGGTGTGCATCTGGACGTAAAGCAATGTCTTCCCAGACGTTGATATGACGTTGAATCTGTACCTCTGTCGCTGCCCTGCTTTATTTACTTGGAATCACCCTCTCTACTAAGTACACAGTCTGCACAGTTTTTAGATATAGATGTATCATTTCCACATTGAAAAGAGTTGGAGACAGAAACTCAGTTGTTTTCTCACGTATACGTGGATTTTGTTAAGTATATTTTGTATATTATCTGTATTTTGAATTGCCAGTGCATGAATCTATAATAATAACGGCTGGCACTGCTCAGCTGAAAGGGAGACACCTTTTTTTAGTTTTTAAGTTAAAGTTTAAAATACGATATTGTTTTTCATATTTCAAACTATTTTTAACACATTAAAATTCTTAGGTTAGACTGTCCAACAAAGTATGTGTTAAAAAAGGTTAAGATTCTTGAGTTTTAAAATAATAATTCAATTCTAAAATGTAAAGTTACTGTATATTTCACAAAGGTTTATAAACTGCAAAAAGACAACAGTACTTAGTAAACTAAGTTTAAAAACAGGGAGATCAGCTTTACTATTTGGGACACTCCCATCATTTAGACACCTGTGATGTCATCAGTTGGAGTTGAGTTCAGGTGTGGGACCATGTGGGACCATAGGAGCACACAGATGTTACCTGCTGCAGAAAGAGAGTTTAATGTTCATGTATTGCTTTGTTTAATAAATGGATTTAATGTCTTCCCAGGTCTTCAATGTCAGAGACTTTCACTTCTTCTCACTGTGGCTGTTTAAATGAGCCACTACAGTTGTTATTTTCGTTATTGTTAGCTGCAAATATTAAATATCCATTCATCTGATGGTAGCAAGCTAACTAGCGCTTGCAACTCTATTCAATTTCTTACTTTTTCTTATAAACTTTAAAACCAGCCATATGTTAATTAACATACATTTACCTTTGCTAATGCAGTCAATTATTGTGAAATCCATAGAGTATAATTTCATGATTGTTGCAATAACTAATGTTCTGTGTGTATTCCTAATGTGTCATGTGTGTTTCAGTCTTACAGGTGTCAGACTGTGTTGAAGGTGTTCAAAGGTAAGAATCACACTCTCACACATTGATTGTTCTTCTGTATTAATATGTTGTTTTTAGAATAAACCATTATTTGGTGTATTCTCTTTGAAAACATCTATCTTTTTCTCAGATTGTTCAGCAACTCACTCATGATGAGGGAAAAGAGCAACAAGGGGAAAATGCCCCCTCGGAAATGCAACATGTGTAGAGTAATACAGGGTACGTAGCTTTCAGGGCTCATTTGTCCAAGTGCAAAACAAATGCACATTTGCAATTGTTTTTTACATGGAATTACTCCAATGACCAAAGCCTTATCCCAAGTTTCTCAGACGGAGTGTCTTCCAGTGTCTCGAGCTAGTGCAGTGCCAAGGTTTGTATCACATGGTGATGGATCGAGTGGTTTGAAGCATTAATAGAAAGTTATGTGTTGTTATATCACTTTGCCACATTATGTTGAAACTAAACATGTTCCACATTTTCAGGTGCTGTGCTTGGACCTTGTGATGAGAGACTGAAGACCAAGAGAGGACACATGTTGGAACATCAACATTCAATAAATGCATTCTTCTGCCTTTCAGATTGTGTTTTTACATCTGGGGAACCTAGAGTGTAGCTTGTGCCTGTTTTAATACTGATCCAAACATAGGCGCTACAATCATGTTTTTTTACTTTGGCATGAACTGTTCAGTACAGTAGTGTTCATAACACTGTGCCCTGTGTGCTTTAACTTGTACTTTGATGTAGAGAAACATTATTTTTAATGCAGCTCCATTTGCAGTAATGACTGATATCCTTCTACTACAGTTGTTCTAATGATTTTTGAATGCTGTGTTTATCGTTTATTGGCCAGAGTCAGAACTAAACATGATAAAGCTGCATTTCAGATTCACAAGGCTAAAATCTGGAACGGTCTTCCTGGAAATGTGAGACAGGCTTCTTCTTTGACAATGTTAAAATCCAGGTTTAAAACACTTCTGTTTCTGCTTCAACTGAGAGATTTTATGAGAGATTTTATTTGTATCTTTTTAATTTACTGTCAATATTTATAATTGTAATGCCTTGTTTGATTGTTTCTATCTTTTGTTCAGTGCTTTGAGTTTCCTTTTGTTTTGACTGTGCTATACAAATAAACTTGCCTTGCCTATTGCAAAAAGTATGTCTCGACCAGTGAGTGATTCTGCAGAGGTTAAGTAGGTCAATAGGACTGTAAATGGACGTCATATAAACGTCAATATTTTGGTCATATAAGACGTCAAGAGGACGTCGGACCCGACCGGTTCTGTACCACATTGCAACCTTGAATGAAGTGGCCGCGACGTCATTTTAACGTCCAGATAACGTCCAGATGACGTTGAAATGACATAGTTTTGACATCTGCTTGCTTAGTTGGAACAACGGAAAACGAACGTCATATGAAGGCAATATTTTGGTCATATAAGACGTTGATAGGACGTCGGACCCGACCGGTTCTGTACCACATTGCAACCTTGAATGAACGTCCAGATGACGTTGAAATTACGTTGTTTTGACATCTGCTTGCTTAGTGGGAACGACTGAAAACGAACGTCATATAAACGTCAATATTTTGGTCATATGAGACGTTGATAGGACGTCAGACCCGACCGGTTCCGTACCACATTCAAACCTTGAATTTACGTGCCATCAACGTAACATTTGGAGGTTGAGGTGACGTCGGGAAACGACGTCGAGAAAACTTTCATTCTGCACCCACCAGTGACCTATATTCTACGTCGGACAACGACGTTCAAATTACGTTGATTCAACGTCGGCTTGCTTAGTGGGTTAGTCCTGGTCTCAGGTCTCTGTCCTGAAGTCCTCTCACATTAGTCCTGGTCTCAGGTCTCTGTCCTGAAGTCCTCTCTCATTAGTCCTGGTCTCAGTCTCTCCATGGTCTTGCACCAAAGTACATCTATGAGATGTTAGTGCCATATGAACCAACTATGAGGAGCACAGGGTCTGGTCTTGTGTAGGAACTGTGCTACACAATTAGAAGAAGAGTACATTAGATGTGTGTTGTTCGGGACAGAGGCTGTGAGCCTGGATGGACCCAAACACAGCTGCAGGTCACAGTCACAAAGGCGTCTTTAACACACGGCGCCAGGACGCACCAGCACAATACACAGACGCACATTGTACTGAGACAAACACCACATTTACACACACACACACACACACACACCACACAGAAACACACACCACACAAATACAAACACATAGCTATTGTGAGTACAGCGCCCCCTTTCTGTGCTACACCCACAAATTACTGGCATCCAGAGAGAGGAGAATGAGAGGAGTGAGAGGAGAGAGAGGGGAGAGGAGTGAGAGAGGAGAGAAAGAGAAGAGGTAGAGTCTGGTGAACTCACGTGTTTTGAGGTTGGCGTCGCGATACGTTCCGTTCAGAATGGCCAGCTCCATCAACTGCATCTTCTTCAGGTTGTCCTCTCCCTCAGCCTGAAGGAGCAAGAGAGGAGAAGTGAGGAGGGGGAGAGAGAAGAGAGCGGTGAGGAGGGGGAGAGAGAGGAGAGAGGGGAGGAGAGGGGAAAGGAGAGGGGAAAGGAGGGGGGGGGGGACCAGGACCAGGACCTCAGCTTTAATCCCAGATGGACAAACACTGATGGACTCGGTTTGACGAGGACCAACATATTTCTGTTACGGTTTGACTTTAGAAACAAAAGACCAGCAGGAGACTAAGAGACAAGAGACCAGAGAGAGACCAGAGACCAGAGAGAGACCAGAGAGAGACCAGAGACCAGAGAGAGACCAGAGACCATGAACGTTCCCAGGTCTTTTTTGCCGAGGCAGGATCAGTGAGAACATACAGTACCTGGGCAAAAAATCTAGATTATGTACAGTATGGCAGAGGTCATCTACTTTATTTGTCAGAGAGCCAGAGTTTTACCAGACAGTCTCCTCGGGGGTGGACCCCCAAAGAGAAAATTAAATCAGATTCAGATTAATTTTTTGCCATTTGCAGTAAAACCACATATGAATTCATCCGCTGAAGTCCCTAGTGTGCACCAGACAAGTGCATAAATAAAACAAGGTTAAAAGTACAGAAATAAATACTAACAATAATAATGAATAATAATGCCTTGTTTTCATATCGCTTTTCAGGACACTCAAAAGACGCTTCACATTCTCTCCAAACACGGTGGTGATAAACTACTACTGTAGCCACAGCTGCCCTGGGGCACACTGATAGAAGTGAGGCAACCAGTATGTGCCATCGGCCCCTCCGATCACCACCAACCATTCACACACCAGACTCATTCTAATGTGGAGGAAGTGTCTTGCCAAAGGACACAACGTCAGTTTGGCACTTTACAGCCGCAGCCGCCCCACTGTGGCACCGGGTGTTACCAGAGGTCTCCCATCACAGTACTGACCAGGACCTGCCCTGCACAGTTTCAGAGGTCTGACAGGATGCAGGTATGGCCACCAAAACAAAAAACACAGGAAAGTACAAAAATAAATAACATAAAAAAAAAAGCAGGTCCAAAGCAGGTCTAAAGCAGGACTAAAGTAGGACTGAAGCAGGACTAAAGCAGGACAGGACCAGGCCTGAACCAGGACTTGAACTTTCCCAGCTCTCGCGGTGGGATGACATCATGTTTACAAAGCAGGGCCTGTCCCGTGCCTGGATTTAAACTGGTTTTGAGTGGGACTTGTTTTGGGGCTGGGGTCTCGCTCTGGTCTCGGCAGGAGGAGGAGGAGAATGTGAGAAATGTGTGAAGAGGAGAAGGGGAGAGAGAGAGGCGGCGGGCGAGCGAGGGGCGAGCGAGCACACAGGCAGCACATAGGGAGAGAGAGAGGGAACAGATCCTCCATTCATCCACTGCTCCTTTCACAGCAGTCGCCATGGAGAGGCTTTATACCCCACAACTAATTACCCTAAAGCAGAGCGGACAAAGAGGACCACCAGAGGAAGGACCAAGACCAGACCAGAGAACAGAGAGACCAGGACCAGACCAGAGACCAGAGAGACCAGGACCAAACCAGAGTTCAGAGGAAGGACCAGGACTAGACCAGAGAGAGACTAGAGACCGACCAAAGAGAGACCAGACAGAGAGAGCAGAAAGAGACCAAAGAGAGACCAGAGAGAGACCAAAGAGAGACCAGAGAGACACCAGAGAGAGACCAGAGAGAGACTAAAGAGAGACCAGAGAGAGACCAAAGAGAGACTAGCAAAGGAAAAACAGACCATACTCCAGACCAAAGAACGAAGGGGCTACGGACAAGACCAGAGACCAGAGAGACCAGAAAGACACCACACCAGTAGCAGTCTCACCGCAGGCACCAGCAGCTTCTGGACCTCTGTGATCGCTCTCTGGAGTTTGATCTTCGCTCGGTTGTGTGTGTCTTCCACTGTGATCAAGACGTGCAGGTCTTCACTCAGGTGCTCCCAGTTAGGCTTCCCACGGTTCATCTCCTCCTGGTACACACCATCAACACAACATTACACACCAGAGAGAGACTGGAAGAGACCAGAGAGAGAGACCAGGGAGACCAGAGAGACAAGAAAGATACCAGAGAGAGACCAGAGAGAGACCAGAGAGAGACCAGAGAGAGAGACCAGAGAAGGCTACTGTAGTACAAAAGTTACAAGTAAGTATTTGAAAGTTACATTGCCCAGCTTTAAACTGTTGTAATTTTATAATATCCCCTGAGACCCCAGGATGGGTCAAACGCAGAGGACAAATTTCCCAACGGGGAAAATAAAGTGCACATTTACATTCACTCTCCCCCTGGTCTCCCCTACTCTCTCCCTGGTCTCCCAGACTCCTTGGTGTACTCCTGGTGTCCCCCCGCTCTCCCCCTGGTCTCCCCCTGGTCTCCCCCTGGTCTCCCCCTGGTCTCCCCCTGGTCTCCCCCTGGTGTCCCACTGCTCTCCCCCTGGTCTCCTCCTGGTGTCCCACTGCTCTCCCCCTGGTCTCCTCCTGGTGTCCCCCTGCTCTCCCCCTGGTCTCCTCCTGGTGTCCCCCTGCTCTCCCCCTGGTGTCCCCCTGCTCTCCCCCTGGTCTCCTCCTGGTGTCCCCCTGCTCTCCCCCTGGTCTCCCCCTGGTGTCCCCCTGCTCTCCCCCTGGTCTCCTCCTGGTGTCCCCCTGCTCTCCCCCTGGTCTCCTCCTGGTGTCCCCCTGCTCTCCCCCTGGTCTCCTCCTGGTGTCCCCCTGCTCTCCCCCTGGTCTCCTCCTGGTGTCCCCCTGCTCTCCCCCTGGTCTCCTCCTGGTGTCCCCCTGCTCTCCCCCTGGTCTCCTCCTGGTGTCCCCCTGCTCTCCCCCTGGTGTCCCCCTGCTCTCCCCCTGGTCTCCTCCTGGTGTCCCCCTGCTCTCCCCCTGGTCTCCTCCTGGTGTCCCCCTGCTCTCCCCCTGGTCTCCTCCTGGTGTCCCCCCTGCTCTCCCCCTGGTCTCCTCCTGGTGTCCCCCGCTCTCCCCCTGGTGTCCCCCTGCTCTCCCCCTGGTCTCCTCCTGGTGTCCCCCTGGTCTCCCTCTCGGTCGCACATACTTCCCTGGTCTCCTCTCCTCTCCCGGCAGCCCCCTCCCCCTTGGTAGCACATACTTGCGTGCTGGCCTCCCCTCTCCCGGCAGCAGACCTCTCTCTCTGGGCTTTGGCCTCAGACTCAGGAGATGGTGAATAAACTGAATATTCATGAGTTTTGGTGCGTTTCCGAATCCACTTTTGTTCTTTTAACTTTGACTTTAAGGTTCCCACGGGTTTTTAAAGAGAAGATCCAAAAGGGAGGAACCAGGGGGAAACCAGGGGAGAACCAGGCGGGACAAAAGCTGAGGTGGATACACTGTCACATGTTTGCGCTTTTAATGTCGTCAATATGATAATTACTGTTTACAAGAATGTAGAAGGATCACAGCATACAGATCTCATGAAGCTGCTGTTTTATCTTAGTCTCTCTCTGGTCTCTCTCTGGTCTCTCTTTAGTCTTTCTCTCTCTGGTCTCTCTCTCTCTGGTGTCTCTCTCTGGTCTCTCCCTGGTCTCTCTCTCTCTGGTCTCTCCCTGGTCTCTCTCTCTCTGGTCTCTCTCTCTGGTCTCTCTCTCTCTCTGGTCTCTCTCTCTGGTCTCTCTCTGGTGTCTCTCTGGTCTCTCCTTGGTGTCTCAATGAGTTCTTGCTGGTCTCTCGAGCTCGAGGAGTGTACTTAAACATGGAAGTCAATACGAGCCAGAGTGAGTTGGAGCCAAACTTCACCATGAGCACTTCCCTATTGGGCTTTGCTGAGATAGCGGATGAGCATTGTCCATCTATAAACAGTCTGTGGTAAGAAAACAGAGATGTGAACTGTGTGGCCATCAGCAAACCTGGTCATGATATTGAACAAGGCAAAATGCTTCTTCTGGCTTGGGCTGGGCCTAACCAGACCAAACCAGGCCAGGTCTGGTCTGCGGGCTCAGGAGGATCAGACCAGGCCGGACCGGGTCTGGTCTCTGGCCCCTGACTCCATAAACATGTTTGTAAGGAATCTCCTCAATGATCTGTTTGTCTTTGGAAACCTCACCGCAAACGTAACATCTGCTGCAGACCTCCTGTAGACCAGTCCTGGACCCCTGACCTCCTTTAGACCTGCTTTAGTCCTGCTTTAGACCTGCTTTAGTCCTGCTTTAGACCTGCTTTAGTCCTGCTTTAGACCTGCTTTAGTCCTGCTTTAGACCTGATTTAGACCTGATTTAGTCCTGCTTTAGTCCTGCTTTAGTCCTGCTTTAGTCCTGCTTTAGTCCTGCTTTAGTCCTGCTTTAGACCTGCTTTAGTCCTGCTTTATTCCTGCTTTAGAACTGCTTTGGACCTGCTTTAGACCTGCTTTAGATCTGGTTCAGGCATGTGAAAATTAGTGATAAAACCCAACTGTTTGAGAGCCAGGAACTAGTGAGGTCTATTGTTGTGGTCTGTTAGGTCCCTAAGCTTTAGTCTTGTGCGGGGTTCCACCTGTCCTCTCTCTGGTATCTTTCTTGTCCCTCTCCTTTCTCTCTCTGGTCTGTCTCTGGTCTCTCTGGTCTCTCTCTGGTCTCTCTTTGGTCTCTCTTTGTCTCTGATCGCTCTCTGGTCTCTCTCTGGTCTCTTTCTGGTCTCTGTCTGGTCTCTCTCTGGTCTCTCTCTGGTCTCTGAGGTCAGCCCTGTCCTGCTGTGTCCTGTTTGTCTTCCTCAGAGTCTCCACGGGGATCTGCTTTGGGAATGTGCACTTTCTACACACAACAAACTTCAAACTCAAAGATGGGAACGGAACTCTGTATACGCCCTGGACCAGAGAGAGACCAAAGACCACAGAAAGACCAGAGACCACGGAGAAACCAGAGATCAGAGAGAGACTAGAGCAAACTAGAGAGAGACCAAAGAGAGGGCGTTCAGAGACCAGAAAGACCAGACAACATAGAGACACCAGAAACCAGAGAGAGACCGGAGACCACGGAGAAACCAGAGAAAACCTGTAGACCAAAGAGAGACCAGGTAGAGACCAGAGAGAGATCAGACACCAGAGACCAGAGAGAGACCAGAGACCACAGAGACCAGAGAGAGACCGGAGACAAAAGAGAGACCAGAGACAAAAGAGAGACCAGAGAGAGACCACAGAGAGACCAGAGAGACCAGAGAGAGACCAGAGAGAGATTCTGAGTTTCTTACCTTCTTCTTGTCTCTCATGGAGCCTTTTCCTCGCACCATGATCTTGCAGCCCGTCTCGGCCTCCAGCTGTTTTGCCGTGAGTCCGCGAGGCCCCAGGATCCTGCCCACGAAGTTAAACTGCAACAGAAATCCATCCACTTTATTAGTATAGCACATTTTTTTACAAGCAAACCCCTTTCCAAAGTGCTGCACAAAGACACTACACACGTCTCAGAAAGTACACTGACAAATCAGAATAAAATACAGTATGAGAAGCAGTGAATGAATGAAATAGTCTTGGTCCTGGTTCTTGTATTTCTGTCACATCTTTAGATCAGATTTTTCAAACAGAAAGGGAAATAGAGAGCTCAGTGACTCACAAGGCTCTTTCTGTTGATGAACACACTATGTTCGTTCACATTATTACACAAGACTCTTTCTACATGTACAGTATTATAATAAAAGGACAAAGTTTACCCCAGTCTTTATACTGACCATACAGCAGTCTCCCATCACAACCCTAACCAGGCCCTGCCCTGCTTAGCCACTGACATCTGCGCCATCTTTGACATTCAGAATATAACTCGAGGCAGAAATGTAAATATTCTGTCCTGTATTGAATTGATAAGGGACGCCTTTAGTCTCGTATTTTCAGAGTCGCCTCAAATCCAACCAACTGCACTTCACACGCACACACTCACTGTCATTTGGTTTAATTCATTTGATTGGTTTAAGAGTCCACCTTTCGGCCAATCAGAGTCAAAAGGGTGCGTAGGCTTGATCACATGGGCTTTATGTTGAGAAGCGTCCACAGCACGACCGTTAGAACGTTTGACAGACTCTGAATCAGAAAGATCATCTCCACTCAGAAAGCTTCAGGAAAGATACGAAAGCGACTGCAGAAGTACAGACGGGAGTGGGAGTACGCACGGTTAAAGAGTGTAAACCGTACTTTTTGCCGCGTCTAAAAACTGTGAATATGAAATTCCATGATTCCTGTGAGGATTGAAAATTATAAAAGCTAAAACGTGCTCAACCGGATCCACCTAAATGATGTGTCTTATTATGTTCTCAAGTTGGCAACCCTAGTCCACACGTCTTTACACGTTATTGCTATGCTAATGTTTATACTTAGCCTATTGTTTGGATTGTTGGTCTGTAGCTAGCTTCACTTAGCGCTGAGGAGAAAATAAAAATACCTGAAGAATGTGTGGTTTAAAAACAGCTCAGCTCAAAGACAAACATTTGTGGAGCCGCGTCGTCCGTTTGTCACCGCGACACCAAAATAGATTTTATGAGTTTAACCTTGAGGAGCAGCTGTTAGGCTGGGTTAGCACCTGTTAGCTTGGGTTAGCAGCTCTGTAAGTCTGTTTTAGCCAAGCCCCGGCGATTCAAGATGGCGCCCTATTCAAATGAATGGTCGTGCTCAGTGGCGCTTTGTGACGGCATGGGGGCTGAAAGTTTAGCGGAAGTTGCCTGAAACTCGCAAAGATCTATGGGAAACTCGCCTGTATTTGGGCATCGTCTGGTCCTCCCGGTTCTGTGCAGTGGATGATCTTCCATAATGCGTTGCGCCAAACACGCGTGTGTGGCTCTCACACCGGGTCTCACGCACGTGCACAGAGGGGCTCGGCCGCGCTCTGACCAATCAGAGCAGTTCATCAGAGCGGGAGTTAGAGCGAGAGCCAGACGAGCAGAGTTTGTGGCATTAAAGTGTGGATTTAAACAAAACCGAAGGATTTAAGAAGAAAAAAAGTTCAGGATGACAAGGGACACTAAAATCCCCACAAAATACGACCTTTATGAAAGCTGTAGGTTCTCTGTCAGCTGAGGTTGAGCTGTTTTAATATACATTGAGTTCTATGGGGAAAATTTCTGGGTAGCCCACGTGAATTTAGTCTGGTTTAGTCTGCAGTACCGCGAGAATCCCCTGAGCACATGGGTTCTTCAGCGCAAAGCTAGTAATACCCTATCCAGTTATTATAATAGATCCATGGTTTTAGCGGTTGTTAGCTTATGTTAGAAGCTGTTAGCACTTGTTGCTAAGTAAGTAATCTTTATTTGTAAACAAAGTGCTTTACAACATGGTCATTTTTCATTCATTAGCAGCTGTGAGAGAAGAGAGGAGAGAAGGGGAGAGGGGAGAGGAGGGGAGGGGAGAGAGAGGGGAGAGGGAGAGAGGGGAGAGGAGAGAGAGGGAGAGAGAGAGGGAGAGGGAGAGAGAGAGAGAGGGAGAGGGAGAGAGGGGAGGAGAGAGAGGGGAGAGGAGAGAGGGGAGAGGGAGAGAGAGGGGAGAGGGAGAGAGGGGAGAGGGAGAGAGAGGGGAGAGGGAGAGAGAGGAGAGGAGAGAGAGGGGAGAGAGAGAGAGAGGGGAGAGGGAGAGAGAGGGGAGGAGGGAGGAGGGAGAGGGAGAGAGGGAGAGGGGAGAGAGAGGGAGAGAGGAGGGGAGAGAGGAGAGGGGAGAGGGAGAGAGAGGGGAGAGAGAGGGGAGAGGGAGAGAGAGGGGAGAGGGAGAGAGAGGGAGAGAGAGAGGAGAGAGAGGGAGAGAGAGAGAGAGAGAGGAGAGGAGGGGAGAGAGGGAGAGAGGGGAGAGAGAGAGAGAGAGAGAGAGAGGGGGAGAGAGGGAGAGAGGGGAGAGAGAGGGGAGAGAGAGAGGAGGAGGAGAGGAGAGAGAGGGGGGAGAGAGGGGAGGAGGAGAGGAGAGGGGAGAGAGAGAGGAGAGAGGGGAGAGAGAGGAGAGAGGAGGAGAGAGAGGAGAGAGAGAGAGAGAGGGAGAGAGAGGGGAGAGAGGGAGAGAGAGGAGGAGAGAGAGAGGAGGGAGAGAGAGGGAGGGGAGAGAGGAGATAGAGGGGAGAGGGAGAGAGAGGGAGGGTAAAGAGGAGAGAGGGGGAGAGAAAGAGTAAAAGAGGGAGGGGAGAGAGAAGGGGGAGAGGAGACAACAAGAACATAATCAACTGACTGGCTTGAGAAAGAAAATATTTTCAAAATGCTAAACATGTTAGCATAGCCAATTAGCCATCTATATTAAGTGATCAAACCAACACATACATACAGCAACCTCATTCAATTCTTGATTTGCCTAAAGCTGATTAGAAAGACACACAAAGCTGGTAAAGCAAGAGTTGGAGTGAGGTTGTTAGCACTCGTTAGCATCTCTGTTAGCATCTTTTAGCATGTTTTAGCTTGTAGCCACCGAGCGTTTTCCCCATAGTTCTGTGGCTGGGGAACAGCACTTTGAGCACTTTTAATTCAAATAAATGTGCGACTCTAGTCTTTCTTAGCCTACACTATTAACAGTCTGAAACTGTGTGGTTCTGAGGGACATTGATTTAAAGTTGGGGTACCAAACTTTTAGTCTCATAATAACACATGAAGGTTGAACAAAACAAGTCAAGTGAACAAATCAGCTTCTCTTCAGTAGAAAACTGCTGTGTCTGTTCAGTCAAAATTAGCCCTGTGAGTCATAATTCGACTCTTTGAGCTGATGTTTGGCTGGCTCTCTGGTCTCTCTCTGGTCTCTCTCTGGTCTCTCTCTGGTCTCTCTCTGGTCTCTCTCTGGTCTCTCTCTGGTCTCTCTCTGGTCTCTCTCTAGTCTCTTTCTCTGGTCTCTCTCTGGTCTCTCTCTGGTCTCTCTCTAGTCTCTTTCTCTGGTCTCTCTCTGGTCTCTCTTTCTGGTCTCTCGCTGGACTCTCTCTGGTGTCTCTCTCTGATCTCTCTCTGGTCTTTCCCTCTGGTCTCTCTCTCTAGTCTCTCTCTGGTCTCTCTCTGATCTCTGTCTCTCTCTGGTCTCTCCCTCTGGTCTCTCTCTCTCTGGTCTCTCTCTCTGGTCTCTCTCTGATCTCTCTCCCTCTGGTCTCTCTCTCTCTTGTCTCTCTCTCTGGTCTTTCTCTCTGGTCTTTCTCTCTGGTCTCTCCTGGTCTCTCTCTGGTCTCTCTCTCTGGTCTCTCTCTGATCTCTCTCTCTCTGATCTCTCTCTCTGGTCTCTCTCTGGTCTCTCTCTCTGGGCTCTCTCTGGTCTCTCTCTGGTCTTTCTCTCTGGGCTCTCTCTGGGCTCTCTCTAGTCTCTCTCTGGTCTCTCTCTCTGGTCTTTCTCTCTAGTCTCTCTCTGGTCTCTCCCTCAGGTCTTTCTCTCTGGTCTCTCTCTCTGGTCTCTCCCTCTGGTCTCTCCCTCTGGTCTCTCCCTCTGGTCTCTCTCTCTCTGGTCTCTCTCTGGTCTCTCTCTGATCTCTCTCTGATCTCTCTTTCTCTGGTCTCTCCCTCTGGTCTCTTTCTCTAGTCTCTCTCTGGTCTCTCTCCGGTCTTTCTCTCTGGTCTCTCCCTCTGGTCTCTCTCTCTCTGGTCTCTCTCTCTGGTCTCTCCCTCTGGTCTCTCCCTCTGGTCTCTCTCTCTCTGGTCTCTTTCTGGTCTCTCTCTGATCTCTCTTTCTCTGGTCTCTCCCTCTGGTCTCTTTCTCTAGTCTCTCTCTGGTCTCTCTCCGGTCTTTCTCTCTGGTCTCTCTCTGGTCTCTCTCTCTGGTCTCTCTCTCTAGTCTCTCTCTCTGGTCTCTCTTTCTGATCTCTCTCTCTGGTCTCTCTCTGGTCTCTCTCTCTGGTCTCTCTCTCTAGTCTCTCTCTCTGGTCTCTCTTTCTGGTCTCTCTTTCTGGTCTCTCTCTCTGGTCTCTCTCTGGTCTCTCTCTCTGGTCTCTGTCTCTGGTCTCTCTCTCTAGTCTCTCTCTGGTCTCTCTTTCTGATCTCTCTTTCTCTGGTCTCTCCCTCTGGTCTCTTTCTCTAGTCTCTCTCTGGTCTCTCTCCGGTCTTTCTCTCTGGTCTTTCTCTCTGGTCTCTCCCTCTGGTCTCTCCCTCTGGTCTCTCTCTCTCTGGTCTCTCTCTCTGGTCTCTCCCTCAGGTCTTTCTCTCTGGTCTCTCCCTCTGGTCTCCTCTGGTCTCTCCCTCTGGTCTCTCTCTCTCTGGTCTCTCTCTGGTCTCTCTTTGATCTCTCTTTCTCTGGTCTCTCCCTCTGGTCTCTTTCTCTAGTCTCTCTCTGGTCTCTCTCCGGTCTTTCTCTCTGGTCTCTCTCTGGTCTCTCTCTCTGGTCTCTCTCTCTAGTCTCTCTCTGGTCTCTCTTTCTGATCTCTCTCTCTGGTCTCTCTCTGGTCTCTCTCTCTGGTCTCTCTCTCTAGTCTCTCTCTCTAGTCTCTCTCTGGTCTCTCTTTCTGATCTCTCTCTCTGGTCTCTCTCTCTGGTCTCTCTCTCTGGTCTCTCTCTGGTCTCTCTCTCTGGTCTCTCTCTCTGGTCTCTCTCTCTGGTCTCTCTCTCTAGTCTCTCTCTGGTCTCTCTTTCTGATCTCTCTCTCTGGTCTCTCTCTGGTCTCTCTCTCTGGTCTCTCTCTCTAGTCTCTCTCTCTAGTCTCTCTCTGGTCTCTCCCTCAGGTCTTTCTCTCTGGTCTCTCCCTCTGGTCTCTCCCTCTGGTCTCTCCCTCTGGTCTCTCTCTCTCTGGTCTCTCTCTGGTCTCTCTTTGATCTCTCTTTCTCTGGTCTCTCCCTCTGGTCTCTTTCTCTAGTCTCTCTCTGGTCTCTCTCTGGTCTCTCTCCGGTCTTTCTCTCTGGTCTCTCTCTGGTCTCTCTCTCTGGTCTCTCTCTCTAGTCTCTCTCTGGTCTCTCTCTCTGGTCTCTCTCTCTGGTCTCTCTCTCTAGTCTCTCTCTCTAGTCTCTCTCTGGTCTCTCTTTCTGATCTCTCTCTCTGGTCTCTCTCTCTGGTCTCTCTCTGGTCTCTCTCTCTGGTCTCTCTCTCTGGTCTCTCTCTCTAGTCTCTCTCTCTAGTCTCTCTCTGGTCTCTCTTTCTGATCTCTCTCTCTAGTCTCTCTCTCTAGTCTCTCTCTGGTCTCTCTTTCTGATCTCTCTCTCTGGTCTCTCTCTCTGGTCTCTCTCTCTGGTCTCTCTCTCTGGTCTCTCTCTGGTCTCTCTCCGGTCTCTCTCTCTGGTCTCTCTCTGGTCTCTCTCTCTGGTCTCTCTCTCTAGTCTCTCTCTGGTCTCTCTTTCTGATCTCTCTCTCTGGTCTCTCTCTGGTCTCTCTCTCTAGTCTCTAGTCTCTCTCTAGTCTCTCTCTGGTCTCTCTTTCTGATCTCTCTCTCTGGTCTCTCTCTCTGGTCTCTCTCTCTGGTCTCTCTCTGGTCTCTCTCTCTGGTCTCTCTCTCTGGTCTCTCTCTCTGGTCTCTCTCTGGTCTCTCTCTCTGGTCTCTCTCTCTAGTCTCTCTCTCTAGTCTCTCTCTGGTCTCTCTTTCTGATCTCTCTCTCTGGTCTCTCTCTCTGGTCTCTCTCTCTGGTCTCTCTGTGTGTATTGTGGTGTGAGAATTGACGCGTTATAAATAGCCTCAGACAGTGTGCGCTAAGTTATGACATCAGCGGTAAATGTGGACTGGGTCTGGACCAAGGCTGGACTGGGTCGAGACTGGGTCTGGACCGGGTTTAGTCCAGGGTCCGGATCAGGTTTCAATCTGTAAATGTGGTGACGCAGAGTTGAGCACAAAGAACCAAACGAACTGTGAGGGACGTGGGAGAAGCAACAGTACTTCATCAGTGTTCTGCTTTGGAAATGACATTAGTTTAAAGCTCGGGGGCGTAACTTTGAAGTTACAACAATGGAACTAAGAGTTCAGTTAGGTTCTATCACTTGTTTTCACCAGAGAGAGACCAGAGAGACTTAAGAGAGACTAGAGAGAGACCAGGGAGAGACCAGAGGAAGAGACAAGAGAGAGACCAGAAAGAGACTAAAGAGGAACCTGGGAAAGAGACCAGAGAGAGACTAAAGAGAGACCTGAGAGAGACCAGAGAGACCTGAGGGACCTGAGAGAGAGACCAGAGAGACCTGAGGGACCTGAGAGAGACTAGAGAGAGACCAGAGAGAGACTAAAGAGAGACCAGAGAGTGAGACCAGAAAGAGATCAGAGAGACCAGAGAGAGAGACCAGAGAGAGAGACCAGAGAGAGAGACCAGAGAGAGAGACCAGAGAGAGAGACCAGAGAGAGAGATCAGAGAGAGACCAGAGAGAGAGACCAGAGAGAGAGACCAGAGAGAGAGATCAGAGAGAGACCAGAGAGAGAGATCAGAGAGAGACCAGAGAGAGAGACCAGAGAGAGAGACCAGAGAGAGAGATCAGAGAGAGACCAGAGAGAGAGATCAGAGAGAGACCAGAGAGAGAGACCAGAGAGAGAGACCAGAGAGAGAGACCAGAGAGAGAGATCAGAGAGAGACCAGAGAGAGAGACCAGAGAGAGAGACCAGAGAGAGAGACCAGAGAGAGAGATCAGAGAGAGACCAGAGAGACTAAAGAGACCTGAGAGGGACTAGAGAGACCAGAGAGACAAAAGAGACCTGAGAGAGACTAGAGAGAGACCAGAGGGTCACTAAATTTCACATGCATGTACATTAGTGAAACAGAAAGGACCACCCTCACTCAGCCAATCAGCTCTCAGCTCAAAGAGTCAAATTGGATCTTTCAGGGATCTCTCTTGAGGCGCTGTACCTCTAGTCTGTTTCACCTGTGGAGCCTGACCCCCACTTTGTCCTGGGTCCCGGGTCCTGAGTCATTAGCCACATTAGCCATATTAGCATGTGTTAGCTTGTGTCATGTGACTGATAGAAGCGGCCATTGTCCTCTCTGATTGGCCGGAGCATGGACAACATCATGTGATTCTCAGGTCACGCTTCTGCACTTCAGACTGAGGAGGACACTGACCACAAGTACTACTACTACTACTACTTCTACTATTGCTACTACTACTACTAACTACACACTACGACTACTACTGCTGCTGCTGCTACTACTACTACTACTACTGCTTTTACTACTGCTACTACTACTACTGCTACTACTACTGCTGACTACTACTTTTTCTTAGTCTTTATTTGAAGGGACAATGTAGAGACATTAAGCTCGAAGACAGTTATGTTCTGCACCAGATTTTAGCTGAAAAGCTAGTTTCCATCTGCAGTCCCTGCACTGCTACTACTGCTACTACTGCTACTGCTACTTCTACTACTGCTACTGCTACTACTGCTACTGCTACTTCTACTACTGCTACTGCTACTACTGCTACTGCTACTACTGCTACTACTGCTACTGCTACTTTTACTACTGCTACTGCTACTACTGCTACTGCTACTACTGCTACTACTGCTACTGCTACTTCTACTACTGCTACTGCTACTGCTACTACTGCTACTGCTACTGCTACTACTGCTACTGCTACTACTGCTACTGCTACTTTTACTACTGCTACTGCTACTACTGCTACTGCTACTACTGCTACTACTGCTACTGCTACTTCTACTACTGCTACTGCTACTACTGCTACTACTGCTACTGCTACTTCTACTACTGCTACTACTACTGCTACTGCTACTACTGCTACTGCTACTACTGCTACTGCTACTACTGCTACTGCTACTACTGCTACTGCTACTACTGCTACTGCTACTACTGCTACTACTGCTACTGCTACTACTGCTACTGCTACTACTGCTACTTCTACTACTGCTACTGCTACTACTGCTACTACTGCTACTGCTGCTACTGCTACTACTACCATTCACTTCAATTCAATGTATTCTTGTATTGCCCTAAATCACAACATTAGTTCAACAAAAAGGTTGAAATCTCCAATCAAACAGTTCAAACACAAACAAGAGGACACTAGGGTATTGGGTCCTCTGTGTGCTCCTCTGTGTGCTCCTCTCTGTGCTCCTCTCTGTGCTCCTCTGTGTGCTCCTCTCTGTGCTCCTCTCTGTGCTCCTCTGTGTGCTCCTCTCTGTGCTCCTCTCTGTGCTCCTCTGTGTGCTCCTCTCTGTGCTCCTCTCTGTGCTCCTCTCTGTGCTCCTCTGTGTGCTCCTCTCTGTGCTCCTCTCTGTGCTCCTCTCTGTACTCCTCTCTGTGCTCCTCTCTGTGCTCCTCTCTGTGCTCCTCTCTGTGCTCCTCTCTGTGCTCCTCTCTGTGCTCCTCTCTGTGCTCCTCTCTGTGCTCCTCTCTGTGGCCCTCTCTGTGGCCCTCTCTGTGGCCCTCTCTGTGGCCCTCTCTGTGGCCCTCTCTGTGGCCCTCTCTGTGGCCCTCTCTGTGCTCCTCTCTGTGCGCCTCTAAGTGTGTTTCTCCTATAGACTGCATATAAACGTCGTAGTCACGCCTATCTCCACCGTTGAAACTATTGTGCCACCACTTTTGCCGTCTATGACCAGTCCACAGCGACTAAACTAGACTGGTCCAAATAAATACACTTCCCTCAGCTTTGAGACACATCTGGAACAGAGCTTTGGGCCAAGAGCCGACTTTTGGACCATCTTGTAAAGACGTTTTTGAGAGGAAAGAAAATGCTATGTTAGCATCGGCTAATTCTTATTCTGGGTCCACCCCCATCGGCCCGGGGTGGTATTGCAAGCATGTCAGCGCACGTCATTTTTGAAATTTTTGAGAGGGACCAAGCCCCGGCGAGAGATGAGGGCGCCTTATTCAAATGAATGAAAGTGCTCAGTAGCTACACGAGAGATTAGGGGAACTCCCGGTTCTGCGCAGTGGATGATCTCCCATGATGTGTTGCGCCAAATACGCGTGTGTGGCCGCGCTTTGACCAATCAGAGCTGCTGATCAGAGCAGAGCTAGAGCGGGAAGGAAAGGAGCAGAGTTTGTGGATTTAAAGAAAACAGAAGGATTAAAGAAGAAAAAAAGTTCAGGATGACAAGGGACATTAAAATCCCCACAAAAACCGACCTTTGTGAGAGCTGTAGGTTCTCTGTCAGCTGAGGTCAGGGGGGTAGCACCAAATTCAGGGCCCCGGGTACAAACAGTCTCAATGGGCCCCCACTACACGTTTCTTATATATATATATATATATATATATATATATATAAATTTAATTAGTTAATACAATTCTGATTCATGTCCTTTGGTTTTATTATCATCAATATTGTTGATGGCTATTAGCGGACTTGGCATACTGGAGATAATTTGGGAATGGTTTGCCCTCCATATCTTTGGGTATGGTATTGCCTGTTTTTGAACCACCATCACTGGCTAGTAGATGAACAATTCTTTTCCTTTGTTTATCGGTGAGATTCTCTGGCCATAATCCTGGGTCCTCTGACAATCCCTCATCATTATTACTCTGTCTCTTGGTGTCGTCTCTTTCCTCCTCAATCCTCTCCACATTCTCATCACTTTCGCTTTCCCTTTCATCACTTAATTCAGTTTCTACATCCTCTTCTAATTCTGCCTCTGCCTCTGCTACATGGACACAATACAGACAAAAATGATATAGAATTAGTGTATACAGTAAAACGTATAAAGTAATAACTTACTAACTTATTGAAAACAGTTCAATCAGTGACTGATAAATGCTCACCATGCCTCACTGTCAAACCCTCACTACTAGTGCCTTCATCTGGCCATGATGCTTCTCTTCCTGAAACTGAAATAAAGTAGCTTTAATGGGTTGCAAACAGATACTATATTCCATCATTACAGTGTATAGCTATTACGTATATGCCTGCATGCCTTTATGTGATATGTGTATATGGCTATTCATATAAAATATATAGTATATCTTATCTTTTGTATGGACCATGAGTAGGTAAGTTACTTATTTGTTATTGTACAAACACACAACAAAATACTTTTTATGGTTCATTATTATCCACCAATTTAGACTTTGTGAAAATTCAATCAATGCAATCTTTTTTGAAATAAGCCTATTCCATTTTCAACTAAACACCTGTGCCTAGCCTTACTCCGCCCACATGAACATTTGAAATTTGTCTGTAAAAATGGCACCAGTGGAGAAGAAGGGGGGCTTACAGTTGGGCATGGTCTGGGCTGTGATTGTCAGTTGTCATTTCTGGCTTAAAAGCAATAGTTTACACACCAGAAAGTCTCATTTCACCCTTTAGACCATTAGACTTATTTACATTATTTTGACCACTAGATGTCACCAGAAACCTCCAAATCGGTGCGGGGGCGTGTGATTTGTATGGTTATAACCAGATGATCCAATGCAGAGGCCAGTGAGTGACCCGTGACTTATGACTGCAAGACTCACGGACGGACAGATTATGACAATAGTGGGAATATAGGGTACAGGGTTACATGAAAATAACTCTTTGCTGCCTGCCTTTGAAGGAGAAGTGGACAGCAGTGTGTGTGAGCTCCCTTTACAGCTGCGCGTCTGTGTGTGTCACTCTGGATAACGTTTTTTTTTTACCACGTACACAGCACACTGTTAGCTCTCCGTGAGTTTAGAATACAGAAACAAATGTCTCTGGGTTTTCTCCTGATGTGGCCTTAACACGTCTCTATATACTCACCTCTCATGTGGAAGAACTGAGTAAGCAATTGCTTGCCCTCATTACACTTTTTCTCCCTGTCTTGTCTTTCTTTTCTTTTCTGAAATCCTAATTTTCCTTTCTTTGGAAAAGACATTTCTATTTTTCCCGCTTCTGCCGCTGCTTGTCAAACAAGTCAACTCTCTGCAGCGGCAGCAACACAGCATCAAGCGCACATGTGGGTCGTACCATTTGATCTTTTGTAAGGGGGTAGCAGGGCCCTGATATAGCATACAAATTTGTTTTTAGAGGAAAACTGAGGTTAAAACGTTGGTTATTTTTATACAGGGCCCCTTTCATTCAAATTGTAATAATATGAATATACCATAATTCCTAATACATATAAATATAAAGACACACTTTAGAGGGCCCCTCCCCGCCTTGGGCCCTGGGTACTCGGTACCCTTTACCCCCCCAGTCCGACGCCCATGGCTGAGGTCGAGCTGTTTTTTCTGGGTAACCCATGTGAATTTAGTCTGCAGTACCAAGGACGCCCCCTGTGTCCATTGGTGGAACAGCTATAAGCTAGTAATACCCTATCCAGTTATTATTATAGATCTATGGCTGGGACCCGCCCCTACTGCTCCGTTGTCCTCTATGTGTGCTGCTCTGTGTGTTGCTCTGTGGTCCTCTCTGTGGTCCTCTCTGTGATCCTCTCTGTGGTCCTCTCTCTGGTCCTCTCTCTGGTCCTCTCTCTGGTCCTCTCTCTGGTCCTCTCTTGCCGTTTTTCCACAGTATCAGTGCGGTACAGTACAGTACGCTTCAGCACGGTTATTTTGCGTTTCCACTAGTGCATGGTATGGGAGATTTGAGTACTTTTCCGTACTGCCTCAGCCGTGGTTCCATCCCCATAGTACCCGTGCCATGACGTCACGTCGGCCCACTGCCTTACACTGGTTGGTCAACGAGTGTCGTCACTGGAAGCGACATCTGACCCTTTGGGAAAAACAACTCAACCGCCATCTGCGAGTGCGTCTGGGGAAGAATGTCTCGGACTCTCGGATTATAAATACAGGAGCCCCACAGGGCTGTGTTCTTTCTCCCCTGCTCTTCTCCCTGTACACCAACCACTGCACCTCCAGCCACGACTCCGTGAAGCTGATCAAGTTCGCTGACGACACCACCCTCATTGGACTCATCTCCAACAACGATGAGTCCGCCTACAGGAGGGAGGTGGACCTGCTGGTGTCCTGGTGCAGTGGTAACAACCTGGAGCTGAACGCCCAGAAGACAGTGCAGATGATTGTGGACTTCAGGAAGAGCACTGTCCCCCCGCCCCCACCCTCCGTGATGGACTCCCCCATCACCTCTGTGGAGTCCTATCGTTTCCTGGGCACCACCATCACCCAGGACCTCAAGTGGGAGCCGACCATCAGCTCCCTCATCAAGAAGGCCCAGCAGAGGATGTACTTCCTGCGGCAGCTCAGGAAAGCCAAGCTGCCTGCACAGATGTTGGTGCAGTTCTACACGGCCATCATCGAGTCCATCCTCACCTCCTCCATCACCGTGTGGTTCGCTGGAGCCACAGTCAGGGACAAACAGAGACTACAGCGCATTGTGTGCTCTGCAGAGGAAGTGATCGGCCGCAGCCTTCCATCGCTGCAGGACCTGTACGTCGCCCGAGCTCGAGGCCGGGCTGGTCGTATCACAGCCGACCCCTCTCACCCTGCACATGGACTATTCCAACCACTCCCCTCAGGCAGGAGGCTGCGGTCCATCAGGACTAGAACCTCCCGCCACAAGAACAGTTTCTTCCCCTCTGCTGTTGGACTCTTGAACACTTCGTAACCTGTCCCCCCGCCCTTTATAAAGTCACTTTACTGCCCATCATACGTCACTTTACTTCACTGTACTGCTGTCACCTTACATTGTGTGCACCATGTGCACTTGTATATTGTAAATAGTAACTGTAACTCTATTTTAAATTTAAATTTATTCTCTAGAAGTGTTTTTTATTCTTATTTTTATTATCTCTTTTTGACTGTTGCACTGAGCCAAAGCAATTTCCAAGTCTGTGACCTCCTGTTACTTACGTGGAAATAAAAATGATTCTGATTCTGATTCTGATTCTGATCTTTAAAACCGGCTGCTCTGCTCGGCTCTGCTTCGGCTACATTACGTCTTCCTCACTCCAGAGAAAGGGAATTGCACAGAAAGCCCCAAAAGTCCTGGTCCTGGTCGGTGGACGAGGTCCACACGTTCCTCTCTTCAGGCCAAAAAAAAGAATTTAAAGGCAGCTCGAGGCTCAACACAGTTTTCAGGGAGATCGCTCTGGATTTGTGACTAGTCTGTGGTAATCCTAGAAATAACTGGTTAGCTACGTTTCCCGTTAAAGCTCTCACTGAAATGTATTTACTGTGTACATGCTCGATTGTCTGTTGTACACAGTGAGCTAGCTACATTTAGCGTCATTTAGCTATCGATAGCAGCTAAGCTAACGTCCTCCCTGTGCTACCGTGCTTTATCTCGTATTATCTGCAGTATTCACGTGTTGTCATTCTGTTTTGTGCTTGTATTTAAGTTGTCGTGTGTATATTTGTATGAGAATCCCTTCCCATAGGTGTGGAGATTACCAAAGAGTAATGAGTGACCGGAGCATTCTCCTCATCTGGACCTGGTCTGGACCTGGTCTGGACCTGGTCTCACCAGTGGGGGCGGGTCCCGGCTCAAAAGTGGCCAAAATGACGTGCGCTGACATGCTTGCAATACCACCCCGGGCCGATGGGGGTGGACCCAGGAGAAGAATTAGCCAATGCTAACATATAGCGTTGACAGACCTCTCGAAAACGTCTTTACAGGATGGACCAAAAGTTGGCTCTTGGCCCAAAGCTCCGTTCCACATGTGTGTCAATGCTGAGGGGGGTGGATTTTTTTGGTCCACTCTAGTTTACTCGCTGTGAATTTTTGAAGTCTCTCGTTCAAATGAATGGAGTTGCGCCGGCTGACGCATGTGCAGATGCGTTTTTTCACAATTTTCTTGTGGGCGGGACCACTCGCGGCCATTTTGGATAGCTCCAGTAGAGCACATTTTTTGGCCCATTAGTTAGAACGCAGGAGATAGGCGTGACTCTGTCCGTTAATATATACAGTCTATGGGTCTCACACATACGTACTTTTGACTTTGTAAACTGTTGGTTTTGCACTTTACTTTTGTTTTCAATAAATCTGTGATTGTATCAAGACTGTGTTTCATTCATTTATTATTATTGTAGCTGAGGTTTGGGTATCGATTGTTTGTCTGGTCTCGGAGTCTGCTGGACTAGCCTAGCTTAGCCTAGCCTAGCTTAGCCTAGCCTAGCCGCTAACTCGCTACCCCTATGGCTGCAGCTGTCTCTCCCTCGGTCCTTTACTGCTCGAGTTGCCACATGACGAGTTTAAACCCTCTATCTACCCCCTCTGGGGGCAGTGAAAGATGTGTTAAGTGTAGTACAGTTGTAGCTTTGGAATCCAGGGTTAGTGAGTGAGCAGAGTCTCGAGCTAGCGCTAGCATTAGCTATAGCCCAGCAGTATCCTCGGACATGCAGCCCTCCTCCTCTGCTACACAGGCTGCTGTTGCTACAGGTATGTCCCATTCAGATTGTACAGAGCAGCACCATTGACTTCACAGTGTCTGAGTCATTCTTTTAAGACATAAGCTTTTTCAAAAACTACTCGTGCTGTGCTGAATTTTCTATTCAACACTTGCTCTGGTATTATAATAAATCCATGCACCGCACCAGTACTAGTTACGCGTCACACGTAAATGACGTGGTCTGACAACACTGAGGACATACTAGGGGGTACTATTTTTGATGGAAAAGCACGCGAACTGGGCCATGGCACGCCGTGTAGAGTCAAAACGTACCGTGCTAGGACTGTGGAAAAGCGGCATCTGTGTGCTGCTCTGTGTAGCTCTGTGTGTTGCTCTGTGGTCCTCTCTGTGTGCTGCTCTGTGTGTTGCTCTGTGTAGCTCTGTGTGTTGCTCTGTGGTCCTCTCTGTGTGCTGCTCTGTGTGTTGCTCTGTGTAGCTCTGTGTGTTGCTCTGTGGTCCTCTCTGTGTGCTGCTCTGTGTGTTGCTCTGTGGTCCTCTCTGTGTGCTGCTCTGTGTAGCTCTGTGTGTTGCTCTGTGGTCCTCTCTGTGGTCCTCTCTGTGTGCTGCTCTGTGTGTTGCTCTGTGTAGCTCTGTGTGTTGCTCTGTGGTCCTCTCTGTGTGCTGCTCTGTGTGTTGCTCTGTGGTCCTCTCTGTGTGCTGCTCTGTGTAGCTCTGTGTGTTGCTCTGTGGTCCTCTCTGTGGTCCTCTCTGTGTGCTGCTCTGTGTAGCTCTGTGTGTTGCTCTGTGGTCCTCTCTGTGTGCTGCTCTGTGTAGCTCTGTGTGTTGCTCTGTGGTACTCACGTCGGGGTACTCTTTGACAGGGACGTAGAGCTTCTCCTGCAGCTGAGCCACTGGTCCCACAGCCTCAGGAAGCTCCTCTTCACGACCAGCGAACATCCCACCGTTCACCGTGTCGTTGTACATGTCTTTACGAACACGACCGATCTCTGAGGACCAGAAATACCATGTGTGAGTACAAGGAGAGGTACTGGGGGACATGGAGACCAGTGACCAGAGATACCGAAGAGACGACAGAGACCAGGTGTATTAAAACCACAGTGTGGGACTTTTCTGCTCTGAACACAGATGCTGGTGAACGCCCCAGAGTCCTGGGACCATGACTCATTCAAGTCAAGTTTAAGGCGGAATGTGGGACCGTGTTCAAGGTCCGCCTTAAATCCATCACTGATTTATGACATAAATGAATTAAACAGATAGAAGCAGATAATCCCTATTTTAAACACACACAGTTGTACATAATAATAAAGCATGACCAGAGAGAGACAAGAGAGAGACCATGAGACAGAACAGAGTGAGAGCAGAGAGAGACCAGAGAGAGAGCAGAGAGAGACCAAAGTGAAAACAGAAAAAGACCAGAGAGAGAAAAAACAGAGACCAAAGTGAGTGACCAGAGAGAGACCAGAGAGAAAAACCAGAGATCAGAGAGACACCAGAGAGAGGGACCAGAGAGAGGGACCAGAGAGAGAGAGACCAGAGAGATCTTTGGTCTCTCTCTCACACACGTCTGGTGCAGGTTCTAATGACAGTTTGTTGCAGAGTCCTGTGTCATTAAGAGCTCAGTCTGGAAACACCTGAAGGAGGAGGTCACTGTGAAGACACGCAAACAGCTCTTCTCCCTCTGGTCTCTATAGTCCCTGTCTCCCCCTCTGGTCTCTCTGGGCTTTCTCTCGCTCCCTCTCTCTCTCTCTCTCTCTCTAGTCCCTGGTCTCTCCCTCTGTCCTCTCTGGTCTCTCTGATCTTTCTTTCTTGTTGTTTCTCTCTCTGGTCTCTCTCTGGTCTCTCTCTGATCTCTTTCTGGTCTCTCTCTGGTCTCTCTCTGATCTCTTTCTGGTCTCTCTCTGGTCTCTCTCTGATCTCTTTCTGGTCTCTCTCTGGTCTCTCTCTGGTCTCTCTCTGGTCTCTCTCTGGTCTCTCTCTGGTCTCTCTCTGGTCTCTCTCTGGTCTCTCTCTGGTTCCTCTCTGGTTCCTCTCTGGTTCCTCTCTGGTCTCTCTCTGGCCTCTCTCTGATCTCTCTCTGGTCTCTCTCTGGTCTCTCTCTGGTCTCTCTCTGGCCTCTCTCTGGCCTCCCTCTGGTCTCTCTCTGGTCTCTCTCTGGTCTCTCTCTGGTCTCTCTCTGGTCTCTCTCTGGTCTCTCTCTGGTCTTTTTCTGGTCTCTCTCTGGCCTCGCTCTGGTCTCTCTCTGGTCTCTCTCTGTCTCTCTCTGATCTCTCTCTGGTCTCTCTCTGGTCTCTTTCTAGTCTCTCTCTGGCCTCTCTCTGGTCTCTCTCTGGTCTCTTTCTGGTCTTTCTCTGGCCTCTCTCTGGCCTCCCTCTGGTCTCTCTCTGGTCTCTCTCTGGTTCCTCTTTGGTCTCACTCTGGTCTCTCTCTGGCCTCTCTCTGGTCTCTCTCTGGTCTCTCTCTGGTCTCTCTCTGGTTCCTCTTTGGTCTCTCTCTGGTCTCTCTCTGGTCTCTCTCTGGTCTCTCTCTGTCTCTCTCTGGTCTTTTTCTGGTCTCTCTCTGGCCTCGCTCTGGTCTCTCTCTGGTCTCTCTCTGGTCTCTCTCTGGTTCCTCTCTGGTTCCTCTCTCTGGTTCCTCTCTCTGGTTCCTCTCCCTGGTTTCTCTCACCCCATGATGAACATTGATGTCTAAGTTAAAGATGACATCATGATGTGAGGTCATTGGGAACCGGTGATGTCACAGTTTTAATGTGAGGCCTGAGGTCTTTACATTCTACAGCTGTGTGTGAGAGACCAGAGAGACTAGATACCAGAGACCAGAGACCAGGCACCAGAGAGACCAGAGAGACTAGATACCAGAGACCAGAGAGACCAGGCACCAGAGAGACCAAGAGACCAGACACCAGAGACCAGAGAGACTAGATACAGAGACCAGAGAGACCAGACACCAGAGACCAGAGAGACTAGATACCAGAGACCAGAGAGACCTGAGACAAGAGAACAGAGAGCAGAGAGACCAGAAACCAGAGAGACCAGGGACCAGAGAGAGACCAGAGAGACAGTTGTATAAAAGATGTATAGTCTCTCTGCTTTCCTTCAGTTTTAGCGTCTTCGATTTCACTTCTGCTTTCATTTCTCTGGGTTTGGACAAAAGTCGCTGACCCTGAATCTCCAGACAACAGCTCATTTCAACACAAATACAACAACAAAGTGAGCGATCAGGGGAGTTTTTGGATTGAAAACTCCTCATATCAGAGCGGATAGAGGTGTTTGAGTGAGGAAGAATGTTGTAGTGATGTAGTCAGTGCTTATCTGCTGCTCTATATATATACACACACACACACATACAGAGACACACACACACCAAAGAAACACACACACACACACACATACAGAGACACACACACCGAGAAACACACACACACACACCCATTAAGAGACACACACACAAAGAAACACACACACACTGAGACATATAGAGATACACAAATACAAAGACACGTACACACCGAGACACACACACACACACAGACATACAGAGACATGTACACAGATACAGAGACACACACACACACACAGAGAGACACACACGTACACACATACAGAGACACAGATACACAGAGACACACACACACACACACAGAGACACACACGTACACACATACAGAGACACACACACACACAGAGAAAGGTTGGTGTGTTGTTTGAAACTGAGTGGCCACAGGAACATGTAACAATAAAAGTTTAAAACATGACTCTCATTTTTTTGAATAAGTCTTTTAAAGCCAAAGCGCCAGTAACAAGGACCAGAGAGAGACCAGAGACAGACCAGAGAGAGGCCAGAGAGAGACCAGAGACAGACCAGAGAACCAGAGAGAGACCAGAGAGAGAGACCAGAGACAGACCAGAGAGCCTCACAAACTCCTTTCTACATATTTTCCTCAAGGTCAACTTTCTAAAGGAAAGAGCAGAACATGCAACAGCCCAAACTCTGAGGCCAGAGCTTCACTCACTCAAACACAGCTCCACGGCTTGTTACGCTGTCATTCTGCAGAGTACTGTCCTCGGTGTGATGTGGATGTACCATGTGTGACCTTTGTGTACCATATGTGATGTGTGTGTACCATGTGTGTCCTTTGTGTGACCTGTTAAACTTGACCTTATTCTAACTATGAACAAACAAACATTTAGTGAACTCCGTCTCATTGACCCTGATTTCAAACATAACTCTTGTGAAAAAAGAGAGCGGGTCTAAAACAGGTCTAAAGCAGGTCTAAAACAGGTCTAAAGCAGGTCTAAAGCAGGTCTAAAACAGGTCTAAAACAGGTCTAAAGCAGGTCTAAAACAGGTCTAAAACAGGTCTAAAGCAGGACTATAGCAGGTCAAGCAGGTCCCCCTACATATCTCCTCGTCTCTCCCCCACTTTCCTCTCTCCCCCACGTCTCTCTCCTCTCTCCCCCACATCTCTCTCCTCTCTCCCCTATATCTCTCCCCTCTCTCTCCCCCACATCTCTCTCCTCTCTCCCCTACATCTCTCCCCTCTCTCCCCCACATCTCTCTCCTCTCTCCCCCACATCTCTCTCCTCTCTCCCCTACATCTCTCTCCTCTCTCCCCCACATCTCTCTCCTCTCTCCCCTACATCTCTCTCCTCTCTCCCCCACATCTCTCTCCTCTCTCCCCCACATCTCTCCCCTCTCTCCCCCACATCTCTCTCCTCTCACCCTCGTCCAGCAGCCGCTCCAGGTGCGTGAAGATGCCGCTGAAGTTCGGCAGAGAGCTCATGACTTTGCGGTCGTTCATCAGCTGCATGAGATAGTCGGGGTTGGACTTGGGCCGCTCCTTCACTTCGCTTTCCCCGACCATGGCGACCCGGGGATCCGTGTTTAACCGACTCGCCGAATAAACCAGCGCTGTAATCGATTCTCCGCCGCGGTGTCGGGTCTGAGGAGTTTGGAGCGCGCTGCAGCCGCTATCGCATCAGAACGGCCCGAAGTGAACTCTTTCTGACGCTTCGGGAGCAGGACGTGCGTGAGAAGTCAGAAGTGCAACAGTTTAGGACGAAAACTCACGCGCAGAGACACCATCCCACACGCACGGAGCGGATTCCTCCACAGCGACGCACCAGCCCCGTGTCCAACGCCCAGCGGCTGCAAACTCAGTGCGAAAGTCTGCGCCTAAAGTTAGGAGCGGATAAGTGTGCAGGTTTTAGCGGGCACAGACCATCCTCAGGCCCGGGAGAGAGCGGGGAGAGAGCGGGGAGAGAGCGGGGAGAGATCTGGGAGAGCTGGGAGAGCGGAGAGAGCTGGTGTCGGAATGCTGCTGTCATATGATTATAGTTCACACACACAAACAGGGAGGAGAGGGAGGAAGCGGGAACGCGCATTTGGAAGAGGCGGGAGCGCGCGTGCATGTGCGGGGACGAGCGCAGAGGGAGGTGGCGCGAGGGGACAGGGGTTAAAGGGGACTTTTCTCTGTGCTGCGCACATGGTACACACATTGTACACACATGGTACACACATGGTACACACAGGTCACACAGTGTACACACACGTCACACCAGGAACAATACTCTGCAGAATGACAGCGTAACGAGCCGTGGAGCACGAACCTCAAAGTTTGGACTGTTACATGTTCTTCTTCTTCCTTTAGACAATTGTCTTTGTGGAAAATGTGTTGGAAAGAGTCTACAAGGCTCTCTCTGGTTTCACTCTGGTATCTCCCTGGTATCTCCCTGGGCTCTCTGAACTAATCATTGATGTAATTTCAGCTTTGAGTAAACCTGTGATAAAGATCTGATGTTTGGACCAAAAACGTCTTACCCACTGTTTTTACTCACAAAAATCCTGCTGGTCGACAGTGGCTCAGTTGGTAGAGCATTGGCCTGGAGATCGTGGGTTCGAGCCCACCACAAGACCTACTTCAAGACTCCCACTGATGTTTGCTGTCGTTGTGTCCTTGGGCAAGACACTTAACCCCACTTTGCCTGAAGCTCCCGCTGGAAGATCAAGGCTCTTGTGGACTCACCACCTGCAGGAGGACCCAGAAATGGCTTAGGTCCTGTTTTAGCGACTTCACTGACTGACGGACAGGAAGCAGCGAGTGTGTCTGGGGAAGAATGTCTCTGATTCTCGGTTTAGTAATACATGAGCCCCACAGGGCTGTGTTCTTTCTCCCCTGCTCTTCTCCCTGTACACCAACCACTGCACCTCCAGCCACGACTCCGTGAAGCTGATCAAGTTCGCTGACGACACCACCCACATTGGACTCATCTCCAACAACGATGAGTCCGCCTACAGGAGGGAGGTGGACCTGCTGGTGTCCTGATGCAGTAGTAACAACCTGGAGCTGAATGCCCAGAAGACAGTGCAGATTGTGGACTTCAGGAAGAGCACAGTTGAGGTTGGGCTGGTCGTATCACAGCCGACCCCTCTCACCCTGCACATGGACTGTTCCCCTCAGGCAGCAGGCTACGGTCCATTCAAACCAGAACCTCCCGTCCAGAACCGTCCGCTGCATCTTCAACCCTACGTTCTAGGCTAGGCTAAAACAGTCCTCTTTAGTTTAGCATATGGCTAGGAAGGTAAGACACAGGGAAGGCTAAACTCCTCAGAGTGTCAGTCAAGCTGTATAGGGAGTCAGTTTGCTGGGAGAAGTATGGTAACTTGAGCACTATCCTCTCCTCCTTTATCTGTTTAGCATTATTAGGATTTTGACTGTAGTTTGTTCATTGCTATTCACCCTTTGTCCCATTGTCTATTCCATGGTACGATGACGGGATCTCTGAACCTGGCCTCCTCCATCTACACCTGCGGACTGCCCTGCTCGACCCGCCTGGGAGTGCTTCAGTCCTGCACTGGACCTGTCCACGTTCAGCGGCCACTGGTCCACGTTCTGTAGCTTAGGTCCTGGATCTATAGCCCGTCCGTCCGGAGGAGCGGATCCCTTTCTCAATATGGGTCTCCCCGAGGTTTCTCACTTTTTCCCACTGGGTTTTCTTATGAGTTTATCCTTGCGGATGCAGGAGGGTCTGTTGGACAGTCAGTCATAATCCAGGACACTTTAACATTCTACAACATGTATGGGCATTTTTCAACATGTGTTCTATATTCTTTATGTGTTTTAACTGTTGATTCTCTGATCTGTGTTGGTGATTTCAATGGTTTTGTTAAGTCCTCTGGGAGGACTTCTGTTGTGACTTAGGGCTATATTGTATATGTACTGCCCCTTATTAACTCACTTTACTGCCCTTTATAAAGTCACTTTACTGCCCTTTATTAACTCACTTTACTGCCCTTTATTAAGTCACTTTACTGCCCTTTATTAACTCACTTTACTGCCCTTTATTAACTCACTTTACTGCCCTTTATTAACTCACTTTACTGCCCTTTATTAACTCACTTTACTGCCCTTTATTAACTCACTTTACTGCTGTCCCCTTATTGCACTGCTTGCTGCATATTTTGTGCACTTGTACAGTATATTGTAAGTAATTGTAATTGTAATAATTTTATTTTAAGTGTATGCAGATCTTTATTATGCCTTACTCTATTTATTACCTCTCTTCTTTGACTGTTGCACTGAGCCAAAGCAATTTCCTAGTCTGTGACTTCCTGTTACGTGGCAATAAAAATTATTCTGATTCTGATGACTTGAACATGTGAGATGTTTAATGGAACTGTCTTCAATCAACCCATAGGGAGTTACAGGGAGCTCTGACTGCAGACATTGCTCACTCTGGAATATCACTGTGCAGTTTCTACAGAAATTCAAAATAAAATCTTTTTGTTTGTGGCTCAAAGTGTATTCATAATTTTGCAAGGCACTTTTTTAACCCAGGTCTAACCCATGTCTAAACCGAATCTAACCCAGGTCTAAACCTGGACTTACCCAAGTCTAACCAGGGTCTAACCAGGTCTAACCCAGCCCTAGGTCTATCCCAGGTCTAACCAGGGTTTAACCAGGTCTAACCCAGGTCTACCCCAGGTCAAACCAAGGTAACCCAGGTCTAACCCAAGTCTAACCCAGGTTGAATTGGATCTAACCAGGTCTAACTCAAGTCAAACCCAGGTCTAAACTTGGTCTAACCCAGGTCTAGCCCAGGTCTAACCCGGGTCTTACCAAGTCTAACCCGGATCTAAACTCAGCCTCTCTCTCCTGTTGTTTTAGTTCAGATGTGGAATGGAGAGCATTCAGCCGCTGTCCCAACAATAGCACACACACACACAGACACACACAGATACACACAGACACACACAGACACACACAGGCCCACTCACACAGACACACACAGGCACACATACACACAGACAGACACACACACAGGCACACAGACACATACACACAGACAGACACACACACAGGCACACACACACATACACACAGACAGACACACACACAGGCACACACACACACAAACACACACACTGGTTTCCTTGCTTCTTGGGGACATGTCATTGTAAATCATTAATAAATTAAGAATCACAGAGACCCCACTCTGCAGCCAGGGTTTCTTCCTGGGTCTGTGATCTGGACTCGCCCAGAACTCGGCTGTACAGGCTCGGCCTGGACTCGGGATGGACTCGGCCTCCTAATTGAAAACATTCTACTAATTGCTGTAGGTTAGGCATGTCCAAACTCAGGCCTGGGGACCAATTGCGGCCCTCATTGTAATTTTATGTGGTCCTCTGCCTTGCTAACCTTAAATAGTCTTTTAGCCTTTTTCCACAGTAACGGTATGGTACGGCACGGTTATTTAGCATTTCCACTAGTGTTTGGTATCGGAGTTTGCGTACTTTTTTTGTACCACCTCGACTGTGGTTCCAGCCGCGCCATACCGATACCATGACGTGACGTCGGCTAACTGCCTTACAATGATTGGTCAACGAGTCTCGTCACTGGAAGCGACGTCCGACCCTTTTGGTAAAAACAACTCAACCGCCATCTTTAAAACCTGGCTTAAAAAGTAACGACTACTCCTCCGCTTCCCTTGCTCCCCCTCCTCCTCTTCTTCTCCTCCTCCTCCCCTCCTCTTTTTCTCCTCCTCCTCTCACCCCTTCCTCCTCCCCTCCTCCTAACCTCCTCCTCCCCTCCTCTCTCCCACTCCACACCCCGCTCTCCTCCTACTCTCCCCCCTCTCTCTTCTCTCCTCCTCCTCTCCTCCTCCCCTCCTCTTCCTCCTCCTCCTCCTCCTCTCCTCCTTCTCAAACTCTCTTTACATTACCAGAGCAGACAAAAGCACACATGGTGTGAGCCCCAGAGGAAGCGTTCTGGGCGTTGTCTCCACTTCCTGTTTATAATGTGTTTTCATTCATAAAATAATGAAAAAAAAACAGGAAATACATTCATTTGGCCTCAGGGAATAAGAACAAACAAGCATGTCCAGACCACGGCCCGGGGGCCAAGTGTGGCCCCAGAACTGTCATCTGTGGTCCCAGTGCGTTCCAGACAACTGCTATTACTTCTACTTCTACTGCTGCTATTACTACTAATACTACTTCTACTGCTGCTACAACTACTGCTACTGCTGCTATTACTACAACTACTATTTCTACTGCTGTTACTACTACTGCTGCTATTACTACTGTTACTGCTGCTGCTATCACTACTACTTCTACTGCTGCAATTACAACTACTACTACTTGTACTGCTGCAACTACTACTACTGCTATTACTACTGCTACTGCTGCTACTACTACTTCTACTGCTACTAGAACTGTTACTACTTCTACTGCTGCTATTACTACTACTAAAACTTCTACTGCTGCTACTACTATTGCTGATATTACTACTGGTACTGCTACTACTCCTCTGTTGTGAGTCCTGATGTAGAGTATGTAAGTAGCAGTAGCAGTAATAGTAATGGCGCTCTAGAGTATGTCCTCTGTTGTGAATCGGCCTTCTCAGCCTCTGTACTGGCTCCTTCTCCCTCGGCTTAAAGGCGCTGGGACGGAGGTTCAGTGCGGGGACAGTATTTAAAGAGTGATTTAAAGGGCCGGTCGTGTCCCCCCAGTCTCCGAGGCAACGCTCCGGTCTGGGGCTCCGGAGCCTTTGTGTCCAGTGTGAGTTCAAATAAAGAAGAGGGAAGAGGAGGGAGGACATTCACGCTCCCATAGACTTCCTCTGGTGGAATGCCACAAGTGTACCACATGTACACTTGTGTGCACATGCAGAATCAGAAATCTTATTTAACCTGTTTTTACATTCACTTATTTATTTATTTAAATTGTTTAAGTATTTATTGAACCCAATTATCTCTTCTGGTGGATCTGAAAGAACAAAATGTGTTCAGGTCTGTTTGGAGTCAACCAAAACTGGATCAAAGAAAAAGGACTGCTTCAGACCTGCTATGGGCCTGATTTAGACTGGTTTAGTCCTGCTTTAGACTTGCTTCAGACTTGGTTTAGAACTGCTTTAGACCTGCTTTAGTCCTGCTTTGGATCATGGAGCTGAGAGTGACCCGAGAGAGACCAGAAAGAGTCTGGAGAAAGAGACCAGAAAGAAAGAGACCAGAGAAAAAGACCAGAGAGAAACCAGAAAGCAGAGAGACTAGTGAGAGACCAGATAGAGAGAGAGATCAGAGAGAGAGACCAGAGAGAGATCAGAGAGAGAGACCAGAGAGAGAGAAAAGCATATGAATAAAACTGGACTGACCGCTAGGGGCGCTCCTAGTGTTAAAGCATTTTTAAGCAAAAGACCACATGGTCAGAGCAGCGAGTGACACGTCTCGCAGGTCTCCGCTAAAGTTTAAAAGTGACATGTGTGTGGAGCTGATGCCAAGGACCAGCAGCACAAACATGTTTCATGTGTTTGACTGAAGCCGCGTATTTGAGAGGATCCTTTGGGCTGCGTGACACAGAGGAGCGCGACAGACCGATATGTGTGTGTGTAAGTGTGTGTGTATGTGTGTGTGTGTAAATATAAGCTCCAATGTAGTTCTGACCTGCACCAGTGTGCGACTAGCAGGCGGTAACAGAGGGGAGAGATGATGCGACTGGATGTTACGTATCAATGGAGGGGGGGAGCGTGCATATGTGGCGCGTGTGTGCGTGAGAGTCGGTGTTCTGTCGAGACGTGCCCCCTTGTCGAAATTTGCCTCCCTTGCGAAATGCGACCGCTCCGCCTATCGAACCGTGCCCCCCTTGTCGAAATGTGCATTCCCACCCCCGAAACCAACTTTTCTTAGCTAAATGATACTTATTTAATAGAAAGGCCGACATATTTATGATGTATTAGAATTAATGAAAGGTTACAAAATGGAAGTTATTTTGATAAATCTACTAAATACAAGGAAACACACCATCACTACTTACTGAATCAATATTTTGAGCTATTAAACGTACAGCGAGTAGCTTAGTATAATATGTATGCTAAATGTATTTTTTTTTTGTCTTACTGCACAAACAGAATAACAATCAATTGCATGTAGAACACTGCACCTGTACAGAATTAACACTAATACTATTCTGAAATTACATTACATATTTAGCGATAGTTCACCTTTTTAAACCCACTAAGGACAATGTCAATCAGCGAATAACATACTATACAGTAGTCCTCCATGTTCCTTGCAATATAACAGATTGAAAATAACCAATGATATGGTTATCACTCATTTACATGGCTGATCTTATTCATACCACATTTACCTAAACTTGTTCATTTTAAGGTTTGAAAATATCTCTTACAAACACGTTTTTTAAATGTGTTCCTTAGAAGTGATTTTTTTTAACTTACGCCTTCTCTATCTACTCTTACCTCTCTCTCTGACTGTTTCACTGAGCCAAAGCAATTTCCAAGTCTGACTTCCTGTTACTTACATGGCAATAAAAATGATTCTGATTTATGTATTATGTGAAAAATTAAGCTAAGATTCATTGAGTTGTTCATGTGTTCTCAAATTCCCTGGGCATTGGTTGGAATACAATCACACCAGAATTCAAAGGAGTAACAATTTATTTATCCGAATTCTGTAGAAGCGTGCAAGCCACAGCAAAACGAGCCTTTTCCATTTCATTTGGAGAGGTTTCGATGTGGCTCAAGACTCTGTTGAGGAGATAGGCTTCAGCAAACTGTAAAATAGAAATATTAAATTCCATATTTTCCGTTATGTGTGTCAAATGGTCTAAATAGATATTTACCATTAAAATCAAAACCCCACAGCTGCAAGAGTCTTGCTGTCTTTTGTGCTCTAGTGTTGCAATTGACCACTTTTCATTTTCCATTTTTTCCACTCTCCTCAAGAAGTTCCTAGATCAAACACAAGTCATTTTTATATTAAAGTTCTTAGATGGATTAATCAGAGATGAAGAACCTCCAGTTTCGGAGAACTTTCCGCTGATATGTTCCCTCATTTGACAGCGGGTCGATCAGCACTAGTTGTCTTTGTGTAATGTGAATGACCTAAGAATGTAAGAGGAATTTTATATTAATCCATTTATTTTTTCCCATAAAGCACTTTGGAAGGCAAGACCATACCAGTAGAATCCAGTGAGCGCCGACATTTAGGGGACACAGCCATGTATCCTCTGTGGGGAATTTCATCTGAGACATAAATGTGATCATATTTAGGAGCCTTAGGATGACTGCATAACAGTAGTGAGAAGAGACAAGTCAAACCTTTCTTAGAGTCTCAAATCTACCATGAACAAACAGTGCAGATGCCACAACAGCATTGATATGATGCACAGGAGTGTTCTGTTAAAAAAAGGTTGTATTACTTGCCTATAGAAAATGATGTATAGCGATATGCAACAAAACATGTACTATCGATGACCAACTTGCCTTCTCTTTCATCACAAGCACTTTGTAATATGCGTCTATAACCTAGAATGCCGCAAAGAGAATGTAACAAATTTGAAACAATGGTGGTTTAATGAGAAAACTCTTACTTCATCTGACAGCCAATTAGTCCCTTCGAGGGTGCGAAAGGAGGTATCATACAGTTTATAAGGGCCAACAACTGCTTGAACGTGGCCCTTATCCTCTGAAGCCCACAGAGTATTAACTGAAAAAAAGCACAGTTAGAATTGAACATACATAAATAATCCACAAAATAAACATGTTTTTGCAACAAAACATGTGGTACTTGATGGAAAAGAGCCGATTTTAAAAAGGAGAGCTTAAAGAATTGCTAGAGCTATTTTTAATTTAGGAAGTGACTGTAACATTTGAATCATGATGTAGTCAAAGTCTTGAATCTTTTTTTTTTAAGTCTTCTTTTGAAAATAGGCTTGTGGAAGAGACTGGTAGATCTGTGTAGAAAACCCCCTTACCACCAACATTTATCAATGCAAATAGAAGACAAAAAAACAGCAGCAAGAACAAACGTAGGTACAACCATGAGAAATGGCCAAACCCTGAACACGAACTTGGGTTGGCTGAACATATGACCTAACAGGTCAGAACCTTGCTACAACAGTCAAACCTCGCTCTTCTATGCTGGCTTTTTTCATGTCAATGCCTGCATCTTGTGGATGCTGCAGGATGTTTTTACACATGCATGGAAAATGTTAGTAACAATTAAGTTATTGTGCATAAAGTCAAATTAAAGAAGCTACAGAAATGATCAAATGGCTAAACAAATAATCATAGACAAAAAGTATCACCATGCTTTTACCATTACCTGGCATGGAGGTGCATAAACTATAACCGAAGGCCTGACAGGCCTCGTTTCGGGTGCCACCTCCTTCTGTGGGCTAAAAGAAACATTCAAATGCAAATTATTATTGTGTATTTTTAGTTGTACATTAACATTCTGATTAATGTTAGTACTTTGTTCCCATTTGAATAAAATACATGTATGAACAGTGATGGGAATAACGGCGTTACTAGTAACGGCGTTACTAACGCCGTTACTTTTTTCAGTAACGAGTAATCTAACTAATTACTTTGACAGTAACTATAACGCCGTTATCATTTCCGACATCCCGTTACTGCGCGTTACTCAAGACGCACAATGAACGTGCGTCATGAGAGAAGGGAGGATGAGAAAACCTCTCAGCAATTATTGGCTGATGTAAATCATATTTCCTTTACAATCCACATGTCTACAGTTGAGAGGATGGCTCATAAATTGTGTTTTTGAAACAAATATTGGTCTTAGTCGCGCTCAACCACAGCTTGTATCACCGTGAGGTCAGCCACAGAGGAGCGCATGTGAGCGCAGAAGTCGGCTGCATACAATTCCATCGATAAGCTCCTTTCTCTTCCTGGTTTATCTGCTAAGGACAGCAACAGGTTTGGCTAACATACATATAACACATTTTTACATAATCTAAAATGCACATAGGGTAATTTTTCAATTACTATAGGAATGATAAGAAAGAGAGGTGAAGTGTAAGACGGTTGATTTTAGAAATTGGATGCACTCGGCTGCCGCTAGCAAAACACAGGAGTTTATGGAGGACACACGCGTTTTGTTTTACTTTTTAAAACTCATTGGACTCATTTCCAAACGGAGGATTACATATCTACGCTCAAACTATTATCTGGACTTAAACATGGAACTGGTCGAACCGAAGTGGCTTGTGCAGGTCATTTATAAGGTAAGACCCATAACTCACAGTTTTGCGTTTTGTATGAACAAACAATGCGGGCATGAAGCATATTTTGCTGTAGCCATCCAAATTGTCCACTTGATTTATATGATATATATGTTCATCTGATTGGGCTGAAGTCAGTGCTTCACCGGTGTTTCCACATTCACAGTGCTGGGTGTTTGTGTTTAGTGCTTACAGCACAGAGAGAGATGAAGAGTGAACAGGACTTCAGCAGCAAAACAGACTTTTCTAGATGGAAATATTGGCACTGTTAAAGGTAAAAATGCGCACGTCGGGTGCACATTATGTTCCAGAACAAAACGAAAAAGTAACGCAATAGTTACTTTTACTGGTAACTAGTTACTTTTATAGTGGAGTAACTCCGTTAGTAACTCAGTTACTTTTTGGGAGAAGTAACTAGTAACTATAACTAATTACTTTTTCAAAGTAACGTGCCCAACACTGATCATGACACACACATCTGATTTTCTACTTTTTGGGAGAAGTAACTAGTAACTATAACTAATTACTTTTTCAAAGTAACGTGCCCAACACTGTGTATGAATAAGCACTCCCTACCTTTTGTTGGTAGAGTCGTCTGATTTTGGCCTTCTTTGTTTATAAGGCTTGAGGTGATCTAAACTGTATTTTGAGTTTAAAGTGACACCTTTCAAATTGGCCAGTGTGGCAAGTTTGCCATTAATTGCCTCAATGGTGTACGGTCCACTGAAGTCTGGCTCAATCCGTCCTGTAAGAAGAAAATTACTTAATGATAAACTATACTACTTCTCACACAAGGGATGTGTATGATTAAATGGTTAATTAATAAATATGCTCAAAAGTGTAGATACCCAGACAATTATTGTCAAACAATGCGTTTACCCTTTTCAAATCAACTGAAAAAAAATTACGTACAAAAAACCCACCAGGGAATGTAAACTTAGGTAATTATCCTTTTTACAAAACTGCAATATAAAATACTGACCCCCCTTTCTTCCCTTCTTCCTCATGTTGAACAGAAGCACTTCCTGTCCAATGCTATACGACACTGCTCTATATTTCTTTAAGGTTTTTTTTGCATAGGCAAGCCTCTGCTTTTCATGTGCCTGAGCCATTTTTTTTTCTGCTTTGGAGTGTGTCGTCTTCATTTCCTCTTCTCTGCCTTCAATACACGCATTGTATGTTGCTTCCTCTGGGAGTGTTATGGACAGCTGACAAAAAAGTAAAAGTTATTTCAAATTGTATTAATGGCATTCACATGACATTATAACGTTCTAAAAATCGTATTTGTTTAAACAAACACAACCAATAGTGATCATCAACCAAATGCTTTGTCATTCCTTGTCCAAAAACCTTCTATGCAAATTTGGTTGATATTTCTAAGCTCATAAATAAAATGGGAATTTACCAGCACATGCACAGGTAGTTCAGCAGGAAAAACGGCCTCCCTTCCATACAGCAGGCGAAAGGGAGTCTGCTTCGTGGATGTGTGGACTTTCGATCGCAACGCGAACAAAACTCCCTTCAAGTACGTGTCCCAATTGTTCTGTCTGTCATTTACAAGCGTTGTGAGCGCCCTGTAAAGACAAACGTATGAGCATCATGGAGAAGGTGCGACAGTAAAAATTATGAATGTATAGGTGCAGTAAACATGTGAGACATAATCTTACTGGTGTAAATTTCTCCATTGTGAGATCAATAAAGTCTATATTATCTAATGAAGATCATTATGCAAATGTCAACTTTAGTTAAAAATGAATTTATTGTCAAATTGTTGATAGTGAGGGTATTAAACTTACTGCTTTATGTTATGATTTGTCTTCTCATCCAGACCATTTGTTTGGGGGTGATATGCAGCTGTGACACTGCGCTCAATATGTAGGAGGGTGCAGAGCTCATTGTTGAGCTGTACATACAACAAAAATTACTGAAATAGTGTTGATTTTTATAATGTATACACAGACACAAAGCTACATACCTCATTTACAAACTCCCATCCCTGATCTGACAGAATGCGCTTTGGGCAGCCGTGTCGATATATGATGGAGCACAGCCGTTGTGCAACCTCTAACGCAGACTTGCTCCTTAAAGGGTATGCTTCAACCCATTTTGAAAAATAGTCAGTGGCCGTCAGAATATACAGGAACCCATCTGGTGTTTTGGGCAATGGCCCTGTAAGGTCTATGCCCACTAGTTCCCAGACAGCTGACACCTGCCAAGGAAAGACATTTAGCTATTAATTTCCCATAGGCTGTTAAAAAGTTAAGAACAAATTTACCTTTATGTTTTCAAGGGGCAAAACAGCTGCCAACGGCTTTCCTTTCCGTTGACACTTGTCACATTCTCCAGCCTTCAATGATAAAATGAATTATGTGCATCTCATGAAGTCCAATTGGTATTTATAATGCTTTAAAACACGTACCCAATTGTCAATGTCAATTGTCATTCCATACCAATAAAATCTGGAACACAAGGCATGTCGCGTTTTAATAATGCCAGTGTGGCCCCCCATTGGCGTAGCATGGAATTGAAGAAATATTTTCCAGGCCTCCTCTTTTCCTTTTATAGCCTTTCTTGTCCCAAAAAACAGTTCCCTATCTGTATAACAGTAATCACCAACAACATTAATCTAAAAATAAATACCATTAAAAAAAGTAGTACTTAAATGCTTACCCTTCACTGTAAATTTCTTGTCATATTTCCTTAAATTTATTTTCAGATTTTTTGTGAAATCAGTAGGGTATTTTTTATGGCCAAGATAATTAAAAACGTTGTCCCAATTACTCTCCATAATTCTCCAATAATATTTATTGGGCTAAAGGCGAGGTCGGGGACAGGCGAGGGTCAAACAGGATCAGAGGTGGTCAGTAGCAGACAGATGGAAGATTAGAGAGGAGAGACAAAGAAAATAGTGAGGTTGGCGATAGTAGTAGGTAGATTTCTGGAACTGGAAAGAAGAACAAAGAAAACATAGTTTAGATTTTACATTTTTATCTTATCTGATCTTATTTGTAATATATTGGGATGTAGGTTTAGGTTATGTGATTATCATACAGCGTGAAGAATATCTAGGGAAGATTTTGGCAACAGTTTCACATGCAGGTCACAAAAGTGTGGTGTTCAAAGTTGCATGTGGTGTGTAAAATTACATTTACAAGGGGGGCATATCTCGATGAATGAATTTAGAATGTCGAAATTTGCTATCCTTGATATGTTTTAACTGGGACGCTAGCTAATGCACATGCACATGAAACTAGCTAATGCACATGTCCCGAGGCTTAAGACTAATGACGTATAACTTCAGCCTATAGCTAAAACTATTAACATTATTGTCAACATCTTTACGTTAATTTGAACTAGTTAATTTGAACTAGTTTGAACTTCGTCACTGCAATGTGTAGTGTACTAGTGTACAGCAAAACATAGCAAAATACACGAATATAATCTTGTTTCTTGTAAAGACAACCACTCACGTGAAGCTGGAGATGCTAAATCCGATGGCTCGGTAAACCTACTTCGACGCATGCGCAGATGCACTAGATAATATGTTTTGACGGGGGGAGCCAAATAAATATTTAATAATAAGGTCAAATGCAATATCTATTACTTGTTTACATTAGTATGAATTAAATGTAGATCATTTCTTATTTTTAACAATAAATACTAAATTGTACTTCAGAACTTATCATGACACAAAGCAATGAGAAATAATTTAGCATGTATTTTTATGAGCTTGTTCACTTCACTCATCATGTTATAATTAATTACAAAAACTACCTATCAAAGTGTATACTATTAATCCGACAAAATCTAATCTTTCAAATGAAAGATTAGGCTCTTAGCTTTAATCTTCAAAAAAACGGCCTGTTTTTACCTTTTGCCGTTCTTGAGCAATCTGTCATAGTTTAATCCAAAACACAGATCTCATACGGATTTGAACCCGGGTCATTGCAGCAAGTGCTGCAACGTAACCACTTGACCACTTTTACATATAATACATAAATGTCTCCAGGCTTTTCAACTGTTAATGAAGAACGTTAATTTTTCATCAGACGAAAAGTTCTTATCCGCCAACTCGTCACTGCAGGTAGCTGTTTTGGCATGTACAAGTCGACCGCTTGGGCCAATCAGTCGGCCCTCGAGGCCCCTTGTTGGTTTGGGGGCACCAGGCAGCTGCCTACCTTGTGTAATGGCGATGGAGGTCAGGGACCATGGAAGGACAAGAAATGGCCATGTCACGGACAGAAATAACTTCATTAGAAATGTCGACAGTGACGTCCATGAGCTTTTTGACCAGTATGTCCAGCAGGACCATGTGCACCTGGTGTCTCTACATGTCTGTGGCTCAAGACCATATGCACCTGAAGTTCTGTAGTATAACTAGTTCTGACTCTCTCACAGAGGACTGAGGGGCGAGTGGCGGCGCTGCAGAACGCTGTGGACGAATTCAACAAAGGAAAGAACGAGTTTAATACAAAGGTACACACACACACACACACACACACACACACACATACACGTTTTTGTTACCTGGTGGGTCCCTTTGACAGGGCCGTTCAGAATGGGACCCATAGACATAATCTTTTTTTACCAAGACTTTAAGTAATACAAAACAGTCAATAGAAACCAAACAACTATTTTAAAGGAATTTTATTTTAGATTTTGTTTTCGAATTGCAGTGATTCTATTTTTGACATAGAATTTAATGCCACTCCATGTCCGATGTCTAAGGTCATCTGGTGAGGCATTAATGCAGGCCAGGCAGTGAGACTTCCTAGGGACCTTTCCAGTCTGTATGAAAGGTGTCATGGTCTTCTCCACAGCCTTCACCTCAGATGCAGACCATGGCTTTCTTACACGTTCTAGGGAGAGAAATAAAAATATATTAGCAATATACACTCCCAGGGTTAGGACCAAGCAGCCTGGCTGTAATCCCCCACCTGGTACACTTACCAGAAGGGGCACTGCCACTACCATGGGGTGCATCTGGATGAATGGTTGAAGGTTCTCCGCTTGAAGTTTCTTTTAGCCCGTCCGTTTGTGAGAGGATCTCTACTGCTCTCCCTGTCGCACAGAAAATAAAAATACAAGTGGCCTTTAGGGGAAAAAAATCATACATATTTTAATAATATCAAGAATTACCTTCAGGCTCAATTTGTATCTGGTCGAGGCTCTTTCCTTCGAATTCCGTCACTCTTCCCTGCTCCATGGCCATCAACACTTTGCTGATTTTGGCCAGCTCCAGTGTCCCCTCTGGTAGTCTGTAATATTGCCTGTGGATGCGAATGTCATGGCCGAGGAAGTTGGCAAGTATGTCCATCTCATTCTCTTTCATATTGAGAACTGTAGACATAGTAGCTATGTGCTTTCTAAGTTTGGTTGAGGATAGCATCTCTGGATGCACCGCACCACATTCTTTGGCTACCTGGCGTAGGGAGTCTGATCCCCTGATGTGGGTGTCTGCGCCCGGGCGGGAAAAGAAGTATGGGTTATGGTCAGAGATGGAACAGGCCCTTCTGTTCTCCACCAGCACCTCCATCGAAGCAATCATTTCAGGAGTCAAAAGAACCGGCACTTTCCGACTTCTTTTCCCTTTAATTTCAATGCGTTGAAAATGCTGACACAGCTTTTTCTCAAGTTGGGACAGTCCCAGAGCAATGTCAGAATGGATCCCAGTCTTACTTCTTAAGGTAAAGGCTGTCAGTGGCATCTTTGAAACCTCACCTTCCCTTCTTCGATTGAAAATGATGACCTCACAAAGAGTCAAAACTGCCAGTTTAGACCAATGCTTAGACGTTGGCTCACTTATTAGGGTTTGCACATATTCAGGTCGACATACCTCAATATGTGCATGCATGGCTCTAACGTCCTCAGTCAGAGGGAGCAGGTCCGGAGTGTTCCACTTGGCTTGCCGGAGGGTCTGTAGGGCAGCAGAAGAAACACAGACGTCCCACCTCTTCTCAAAAAGCAGCCGGCTTCGTTGGAGGTTTTTAATAAATAGTTCATCAACACAATGCTCCATTTTTGAGTCACATTCAAGAATATCTGCTAGCTTTCTGAGGCTATGGCCGAGTTTGAGGGCCAAGGATGGAGTCTTGTATTGATTTGTTTCCTCATCATATCCAGCCACAGACCTGACTGCATCAATCACATGGTTAAAGTTGGAAGGAATAAAGAAATCCTTAATTGTTTTCAGTTTCCCTGCGGTTTTTGCTTCGTTAATTAACCTACCGACTTCTCTCATTTTCTGCCTAATGTAATCATGCTTTGTCTTATCATGCCCGTGTTTTAAGTACAGGTGCTCTCCGAGTCTCAGAATCCCCTTTTCTGCTTTGACAACACCCGTGACCTCATCCTGATGCATTGCCGAAATTAAAGACCACAGCTTTTTGCTGATGCCCTCCGGTACAGGCTGGGCTAGGGAGCAGAGGGACTGGACCCTACTTCTACCTGGTTTAGCCTGGGCATCTTTCTGTGAAAGCCGGCACCTGGCCACATGCCTCCACAGCGACTTTCGCTTAAGCAATGCCCCACAGTCTATACAGTGCAAAAACTCACTGGATTTAACTGGGGAATTTGGCTGTTTAGCTGGGACTAAAGTTCCAATGCCGGCCTTTAAAACCTCAAAATTGTGCTCACGGTTTCCACTATTCCTGATCAAATCAAAATGAAGTTTACGTGCTTTAGATTTCACAGGTAGAGCCAATGCTCTGGCTACGTCACTTTCATTTCCATGTTTTCTAGTCAAATGACGGGACATTTTGTGGCAGGACATTGAACAGTAGAGGCAGAAGTGTCTCTTGCTGTATACTCGCCCCCCATTTTTCTTCTTTTGCAGCTGCATGATAACAATCTTATTTGCCTTTGGTTCGTCACTTTCCGAGTCTTGAAGAAAAGTGTTTTTGATTTTTCTTTTTCCATACTTTTTTACAGGTTTCTTCTTGACAGTTAAATCGTCAGAATCTGAGTCGACTTCATCAATTAGGGACTCTTGACTAAGCTGCACAAACAACAAATAATTTGTAATCATTCTATATAACAATTTGAAGTCATGACTTGTAGTCAGCACTTACCAGTGGTTTGTAAGCGTGCGCTTCAGTGTGCTCCTCCATGATTTCTTGCAGCCTAATGAACCACACACTTGCACCTTTTTCTAGCCTGACACCTGATTTCCTCTGTTGTGCTGCTCCATGATTGGCTCCAGCCTGCTGGACTGAAATTGCCCCAGTGTGCCCCTCCTTGATATCCCGCAACCCACCACCAGGGTTCCGACACATAACACACTTTTTTCAGGAAAGTAAACCTCCAGGGGTCCTTTCCATATTTTTACAGAGACTGCATAAGGACCGTTGGAAAAGCATTACCCATTGATTATTAAGCTTGGACCAGTGGGGTCCGGTGTTCGGGCCCCACCACGTAAAACCAGTCCCCATGACGTGAGTGGAATCTCAGGTTATGGAACCCACCAGGAGTTGAAAACAAGTGCACGCACACGCACACGCACACACACACACACACGCTCTCACACACGCTCTCACACTTCTTGTGTATTTCAGTGGATGAAGAGTTTGAGTTGGTGTCATCTCAAGTTGTGAATAAAACAGAAGTGATGGTCGACAAGTACAGGAGACTCCTGCTGGTGGAGGCTGAGGTGAGAAGGGGGGAGAGAGGGGGGAGACACAGCGAGTTGGAGCCAAACTAGCAGGATAGCAATGTCCACCTGTATACAGTCTGTGTTAGCATTATCCACCTGTATACAGTCTGTGTTAGCATTATCCACCTGTATACAGTCTGTGTTAGCATTATCCACCTGTATACAGTCTGTGTTAGCATTATCCACCTGTATACAGTCTGTGTTAGCATTATCCACCTGTATACAGTCTGTGTTAGCATTATCCACCTGTATACAGTCTGTGTTAGCATTATCCACCTGTATACAGTCTGTGTTAGCATTATCCACCTTTTATACAGTCTGTGTTAGCATTATCCACCTGTATACAGTTTGTGTTAGCATTATCCACCTGTATACAGTCTGTGTTAGCATTATCCACCTGTATACAGTTTGTGTTAGCATTATCCACCTGTATACAGTCTGTGTTAGCATTATCCACCTGTATACAGTTTGTGTTAGCAGTGCACCTGACATGAGCACTTCCTTGTGCCTCCTGCAGAGGGCCAGTCCGTCATCTGAGATCGTGATGATCGACCGAACCTTTAATCAGGAGGAGCGCAGCGCCCTGACGCAGGACAAGCGCACTGTGCTGCTGGACCCAGGTCGGTCCTTATACTTATTTTATATTTGTATACTTTTACGCAGTAGTTATCGTACTTTCTGGACTATACCAACTTCATTTGAAAGGTAAGTAGTTGGTATAGTTTCAAAACTTATTTTGCTTATGATCAAGATGTTTAAGATATTGCAATCTTTACTAAATTTATGTTGGAGCTAATAGGAAGCCTTTACTTTACCTATGTAATGACTGAAGTAATTAAGGGTGTAGGATTAAATAAGTGTCCTTTTCAAGCATCCGTAAGTGTTATGTTAGTATTATTACTCTTTTGTTATTATTATTGCTCTTTTTGTTATATTTTGTAAATGTTCCTAAGTTGCTTGTGATTAATTTGTAGTAATTATTTCTTTGCCCACTTACTTGCTCGAAATAAATAAATATTAATAATATATTATTCACAGTTGGCACCAGTCAGTTTGACTGCTCTGGGAGTTCTGATGGTAACGTGTTTCTTCTTCCAGACGGTTTCCTAGACGACTTCTGCTGCGGCGTCAGGTCCAGTCTGTTCTCACCCCCTCCCCCTCCTCCCCCCCTCTCTCCCCCATCTGGACCCACGTCCTACTTCTCGGACTCGCCGGCGTCGCCCTGCTCCTCTGGCTCGGCGCTCAGGACTGACCCTGTGCAGCCTCCGTACTCTGACCCAGGAGGCGGGGGAGGGGGGGGAGGAGCGGGGGGAGAGCCGCACAGACCCCACAAAAATGAGCTCAAACTCAAATTCCACACGTCGGCGTTTGCAGCAGGACGCTACGTCTCCGCGACACACAGCGATACGGACTCGGCGCTGGAGGCTGCCGTCAACAGCATCTTAGAATGTTAACTGTCAATCACCCAGAGGTCAGAGGTCACCCTGAGTTTAGTCCCACTGCAAAAGATGAGAGATGAGAGAGTTTTGAGGCTCCAATGGAACAAGGACCTCTCCCCTCCTCTTCCTCTTCCCTCTCCTCTCTTCCCCCCTCTCTGACGGCTGCTTCCTATTCCTCATATTTTGCAGTGCATCAGTTTAATTGTATTTATTTATTTGTTGGATCAGTTTTTCAGGTATTAGTTGAAAATTGATCCAAACTGAAAGTTTGAATTGAACAGTTTTCACTTCGTCCTGATTTAAAACTTGGAGATGAATCTTTCTGAATTGAAGTCATTTTCATAACGACTTAAATGATGTGTGAAGTAGAATATGAACTCGGCGACCGGCTGCAGGTCTAATCAACATTATGTTAGTAATCATCCATTAGTGCTTTGTTAGCATACCATTGCTTACAATTCAAGCTATTAATGTTTTCTTAATCTATTTATATCTATTTTAGCACTTTTTTCACTGTTTTAAAACTAAGCTAATTTAATTGCATAACATTCTATTTGAAAGTTTGTTTGTGTTAGCATGGTTAGCAAAACGGCTACATACACTTTTGGCTAATTCCACATAGATATATATAATGATGTCTTGGGTAAACGCTGTTGTCGCTGGTCGCCGACTCTGTTTCGACTCCATGATTCTCCAGTTTCCAGCGTCGCCATTTTCTTTGTAGCTTTGACTTTTGTTATTTTTACCAAAGTGCCACAACTCTGGCACTTAGAGATGGGACCGTGTGCAATGACTGCGGCCATTTTGTGAGTTTCCTTTCTGAACTGCAAGTACTGAAGCCTCAAGCTGCCAACAGTAACTATTAATCATTTAAAAATAATGATACTACTAATGAAGGAGAATATTGGTTTGAAAAAGGAAAAGCAGTTTGAGGCTTGTGTACGTTGTTGAAGTGTGTTAAAGTTGTGGGTTTTACATTTGTTCAGAAGGGAACGTGCCAAGAGGTCAAGCCCCATGAGGCCGTGACTCTATGACATCATCACACACAGGCCATGACCCCATGACATCACACACAGGCCATGACCCTATGACGTCATCACACACAGGCCATGACCCTATGACGTCATCACACACAAGCCATGACCCTATGACGTCATCACACACAGGCCATGACCCTATGACGTCATCACACACAGGCCATGACCCTATGACGTCATCACACACAGGCCATGACCCTATGACGTCATCACACACAAGCCATGACCCTATGACGTCATCACACACAGGCCATGACCCTATGATGTCATCACACACAGGCCATGACCCTATGACGTCATCACACACAGGCCATGACCCTATGACGTCATCACACTCACGCCATGAGCCTATGATGTCATCACACTCACGCCATGAGCCTATGACGTCATCACACACAGGCCATGACCCTATGACGTCATCACACACAGGCCATGACCCTATGACGTCATCACACTCACGCCATGAGCCTATAACATCACCACACGGGCCATGACCTTATGACATCATCACACACGGGTCATGACCGTATGATAACACCTGGTATTCCGAACATTCTCCCATGTTTTTAAAGTCTCTTCATGGTCACAAGACTATAGCCTTACTCGACTCAACTCCTGAAGCTAACGCCGTCAGAACAAATGCCCCCAATAAATAAACTGGCTCCAGCTTATGTTGAAATCGGCTTCTTCCGCATTAATGCTAATACTGTGGTGATGTTACACGGTGGTGCTGCCACACGGTGGTGATGTCGCATTCTGGTGATGTCACGCGGTGGTGATGTCACACTGTGGTGATATCACACTCCTTATATACGTAGTAACTCTGCCTTTTGAAACAAAACTAAAAGGATTCAAAGCTCTTTAATACCTGGTGCCTTCAGCTTGATTGCACTGGTTTGAATGTAATCCCCACTTCTACCACTGCGAAGTCTCTGTCTTCCCGTGTGGCTTGACCTCTGCATAGTTTTTGTTTACATTAAAATATGATTTGATTGTATGTGTTATTTCCCCATGTTGTGTTGACACTAACTCGTCTGATTCTGTCTCCGTGGAAAACTTGCACTAAAATGTGACGATGCCTTCAGAACATATTATTACACAAACGTCAGCTGCCTGCTTCTCACTGACGCTCTGTATACAGTTCCTTTATATTTATTATTATTATTATTATGCCATGGAAGCTCTGAGGAAATACAATCATTTGTTTTTTTACATTTGGTTTGGAATGTGTTCAGCGGATGAAGAAAACTAGAAAAACCTCATTTTAGACACAGTTGTCATTTTATTGTTGGTATTAAATTACAAAACTAGATGAAATGCATACAATAGTGTGTAGTTTCAAAAGTTTAAAGAATTCACTGTGACAAAAAAAGACTAGGCACAATTCAGATCATAAACAACTAAAATCTGGTCTTTTCACTGACGTCCCATATGAAGCTTACAGTTCCAAGATGGCGGCCATAGAATCCCGCCATATTGGGAATGGACATTTTGACTTGTGTATAGGTTTGTGCTCTTAATGAGTTTGTCATTTATGATTTCATCAGACTAGAGAGGGAAACCAGAGATGGAGATCAGAGGGACCAGAGTGAGGGAGACCAGAGAGGCTGCTATGAGTCAGTTATTCAATTGTCCTTTGGTTTAATTATAAGAAATAGTGAATTAAATTGGTTGTATGTCATTTCAAATACATTGGTAAAAAAAACGTTTTCCTTTGAAATAATTTCCTCCATATTTGTTGTTTACAATATTTCTCGACTGGTTTGAGTTCCGTTGTCTTCTAAAACATCTTTTCTGTTGTGAAACGTCCGCTGCCTTCTTCTTGTGTTCAATCCAACCTTTGTAACTGAATTTATGTTTTTGTCACAACTGTTTATAAAGAAATCGACTTTTTCAAAAAAGCCTTTGAGAAATGTATGACTTTCAGTGTTGTGTGGTTTCTAAGAGAGTAAGCGAACGACGCCAGAGGACTTCAAAAAGTAATCGAATCCTCAGCAACAGATCAGAGAATCAAACTGTTTAAACACACATAGAACACACGTACATCCAGGACTGAGGCTGTAGATCCAGGGCTGAGGCTGTAGACCCAGGACTGAGGCTGTAGATCCAGGACTAAGGCTGTAGATCCAGGGCTGAGGCTGTAGACCCAGGACTGAGGCTGTAGATCCAGGACTAAGGCTGTAGATCCAGGACTGAGGCTGTAGACCCAGGGCTGAGGCTGTAGACCCAGGACTGAGGCTGTAGATCCAGGACTAAGGCTGTAGATCCAGGACTGAGGCTGTAGACCCAGGACTGAGGCTGTAGACCCAGGACTGAGGCTGTAGACCCAGGACTGAGGCTGTAGACCCAGGACTGAGGCTGTAGACCCAGGACTGAGGCTGTAGATCCAGGTCTTTGTTCCGGCTGGCGTCTTTAGGTTCAACAGTGATGCGTTTGTGTAGAGCCTGGATCTGAGCCATTTGAGTCTCATTCAAATGCAGCTCCACGAGTTCAACATGTGTAAATGTGACACACACACACACAAGGACGATGTGTGGCCTGTGTATGCAGTACCAGCGTTGGCCACCAGAGAGAGGCATTAAACCGGCTCCAAATCAGCGCTTATTGTTTTGAGAATGATTTCAACAAACTCATTCCACAAAGGCTGTTTATGTGACGTCAGTATGATCCAGAGAGTGATAGTTTCACATCGTGGTGAAGTCAAAAGTCTCTCTGCACATGGTCGCGAGAGATAGAGACCAGAAAGGGTCCAGAGAGAGAGAGAAAGAGAGAAAGAGACGACTAATCGATTGGCACACGCCTCACCCACCCGTGCACGCGCTCCACTCTTTCGCGCACGCGCCTCTCTCTCGTGACCGCGCCTCCTCCTCCTCCACAAGCCTCGATGAAGTTTGCGCGAACATGGCGGACTTCCTGCCGTCCAGATCGGTGTTAAAAGTTTGCCTACCAGTGTGCCTGCTCAACACCGGAGAAGTGGAACAGAACCGTAAGTCCAAGGAGATCGACCGATGCCTGTCCCGGGAGAAGACCTACGTCAAGCGGCTGGTCAAGATCCTGCTGCTGGGCGCGGGCGAAAGCGGAAAATCTACTTTCCTCAAGCAAATGCGAATAATCCACGGGCAGGATTTCGACCAAAGTGCACGAGAAGAGTTCAGAGGAACAATATACAGTAATGTAATTAAAGGTAAATGCGTTATAATCTTCCTAAAAGGTTAAATTTTTACTGTTAGCGGCTTGCATGGGCTTCGGCTGCGTCCGAATACAAACAAGCTACCTCCTTGTTGACCCTTCCGTACGACAGGACAACTCCATGTTATGGCTTGGCATATAACTCATGTTTAATGTATTTTAAAAGTTTTTTTAAGTCAAATTTAATGCCACAAAGTGAATGTAAATAGGAGAAGGAATAAATAAAGAAGGAGGCGTGTGGTGATTTCGGATGCAAAGGCTTGGTTCACTACTTCTGCGTCCTAGAGTTGTTAAGTTAGTTCTCGTTAAACTCGAGAGGTTTTTGATGAATTTTGTTGCTAACGTAATGTCGCTATACATCACTTCTGAGTGTTTTAAGTCCACTATAGTTGTGTATATATGTCTGTTTTGATGAGTTTTAGCTCGGGTTATTTGCTCCCCGCAGGCCTCGCTTTGACTTTCGCTTGAGTTCTGCTTTTAATCGGCATCTTTTCCATTTGTTTCTATAAAGTTGTCCGTGTTTTACTGATGGACACAGTGTTGTGTGTGTGGTGCGTGTGTGTAAAGCGGTGAGACGGTGCTTAAGAGAGTTAAGCCTGAAACAAGGCAAAATGGCGTGTGTTAAAGTTTGCACATCTGTAAACACGGCTAAAGCGGAGTGGCACACCCAAAAGTCTGCTGCGGGAGAAACGCGCAGTCTCAAAGGTTTAGCGCGACTTTAACGCACTTTTAAACCGGGTTGTTAGTTTAAACCGAGTCAAAGTGTGTGTGGACACAGGGGAGCGCTGGAGGTGGAGGGGAAAGTACAGAAAATCATGAAGCTAGGGCTGCTAGCATTGTGTCCGGAGCTACATGAGTCTGAGACCAGAGGGAGGGAGAGAGAGACCAGAGGGAGGGAGAGAGAGACCAGAGGGAGGGAGAGAGAGACCAGAGGGAGGGAGAGAGAGACCAGAGGGAGGGAGAGAGAGACCAGAGGGAGGGAGAGAGAGACCAGAGGGAGGGAGAGAGAGACCAGAGGGAGACCAGAGGGAGGGAGAGAGAGACCAGAGGGAGGGAGAGAGAGACCAGAGGGAGGGAGAGAGAGACCAGAGGGAGGGAGAGAGAGACCAGAGGGAGGGAGAGAGAGACCAGAGGGAGGGAGAGAGAGACCAGAGAGAGACCAGAGGGAGGGAGAGAGAGACCAGAGGGAGGGAGAGAGAGACCAGAGGGAGGGAGAGAGAGACCAGAGGGAGACCAGAGGGAGGGAGAGAGAGACCAGAGGGAGGGAGAGAGAGACCAGAGGGAGGGAGAGAGAGACCAGAGGGAGGGAGAGAGAGACCAGAGGGAGGGAGAGAGAGACCAGAGGGAGGGAGAGAGAGACCAGAGGGAGGGAGAGAGAGACCAGAGGGAGACCAGAGGGAGGGAGAGAGAGACCAGAGGGAGGGAGAGAGAGACCAGAGGGAGGGAGAGAGAGACCAGAGGGAGGGAGAGAGAGACCAGAGGGAGGGAGAGAGAGACCAGAGGGAGGGAGAGGGAGACCAGAGGGAGGGAGAGAGAGACCAGAGGGAGGGAGAGAGAGACCAGAGGGAGGGAGAGAGAGACCAGAGGGAGGGAGAGAGAGACCAGAGGGAGGGAGAGAGAGACCAGAGGGAGGGAGAGAGAGACCAGAGGGAGGGAGAGAGAGACCAGAGGGAGGGAGAGAGAAACCAGAGGGAGAGACCAGAGTGAGAGACCAGAGTGAGAGACCAGAGTGAGAGACCAGAGTGAGAGACCAGAGTGAGAGACCAGAGTGAGAGACCAGAGTGAGAGACCAGAGTGAGAGACCAGAGTGAGAGTATTTTTGTACTAAATGCAAATCATATTTAAATTTTGGTGAGGTGCGTTTCAGAGATTATTCAGACCTCTGAAGCTAAGCAAGGCCGGGCCTGGTTAGTATTGTGATGGGAGACCTCTGGGAGCAGGTGTAAAGTGCATAACTGTGGTTGTGTCCTTAGGCAAGACACTTCACCCACATTAGAACGAGCCTGGTTTGTGTGTGTGTGTGTGTGTGTGTGTGAGAGTGAGTGGTTATTCTTATTATTATGAATGTTGATGAGGTGTGTGACTGCTCTCTCACACACCAGGTTGAAGGACACAACAACACTACAGCTGAAGCCAGAAGGTCTCCCATCACAATACTAACCAGGCCCTGCCCTGCTTATATTCAGGGCAGGGCTCAGTCTTCTCACTGAGGCAACAGCTGCAGATGTTAAAATATAAGAAACCTCTGAATTTAAAATCTAGTCTTATTATTCATTTAAAAATCATCAGGGCCCGAGCTCTAACTACAGCCGCTGCGCCATCTGAGTCCTGGTCACAGTCCTCAGTCCAAGTCTAGTTTTAGTTCTGTTTTTGTGGTTTAGTTTGAAGTTTATTCCAATTTTAGCTTTGTATGAATGTGCGTCTGCGATGCACTGAACACGTATGAAATTAGCTTGAATTAAAGCTGTGGTCTGTAACTTTAAAGCTGAGGACTCAGAGCCCAAGATATGTTAATATTGTAATTATATGTGACAGAACAAACTGTTTAGAGCCTGGGACTAGTGGCATGGATTCAAATTAGAGTCCTATTGTTGTGGTCTGAAAGTTAGACTCCAGCCCTTTCAGACTGTAGTGGTGGGTGTTTTGAGATGTGTTGGACTCGGTCTGGTCACATGTTTCTCATTCTTTCTGAGGGTTTTGCCCCACAGACCTGGTTTGTCTGGTTCACTAAACATCCGGCTGAACTGGAGCACCTGGAGGAAACTTGAGCAGTCACCGGGAGAACATGCAAACTCCACACTAGAACCCTGGTCTCTCTCTGGTCCACAGTTCTCACCTGGTCTCTGGTCCACAGTTCAGATACAGATTCAGTTTATTTGCCATTTGCAGTAAAAAAACCACATTGGAATACATTTGCAAAAGTCTCCAGTGTGCACAGACAAATACAGACATAAAACAACATTAAAAGACAGAAATAAACAAATAAAACAGTAAACAATTGTCACTGAGAAAAACTATTCGACTAAAACAGTTTCAATACAAGTGCAAGAACATTAAAGAACATTAAAGTGCTCTGTTCACACTGATAACAGCTTGTGGGAAGAAGCTGTTAGCATATCGAGATGTCCTGCATCTCAGAGAACAATATCTTCTGCCAGAGGGAAGAAGCTGGAACATGGCTTTCCCAGGGTGGCCAGAAGAGTCATTGACAATCCTAAGAGCTTTGTTTAAAAGTCTGGATTTATAAAGAACCTCCAGAACAGGAAGCTCACAGCCCACAGTCCTCTTTGCAGAGCGGAGCACCTTGTTTAAAGCTCTTTTCTTTATCTGTGATGTTTCCAAACCTCACAGAACCAAGTTCTCACCTGGTCTCTCTCTGGTCCACAGTTCTCACCTGGTCTCTCTCTGGTCCACAGTTCTCACCTGGTCTCTCTCTAGTCCACAGTTCTCACCTGGTGTCTCCTCAGGTATCCGCGTGCTGGTAGACGCCCGGGAGAAGCTGCACATTCCTTGGGGAGACCCGTCGAGGCAGAAACACGGTGAGGTGTTGATGGCGTTCGACACACGGTCGGCGAAGGTGGCGAGCGGGAACCTGGAGACCGCCGTGTTCCTGCAGCACCTGCCGTCCATCCGCGCCCTGTGGGCCGACGCCGGCATCCAGCAGGCCTACGACCGCCGCCGAGAGTTTCAGCTGGTGAGACGGGCAGCTAACCCCGCTGGCGACTTAGACTTGTTCAGTGTTGGATTTATCCCTCTCTGATCTTTCTTTTTCTCTCCTGCCTCTCTGGTTTCTCTCTCTCTGTGGGGTCTCTCTCTGGTCTGGTCTCTCTTTCTTAGGTTTCTCGCTCTCTCTCTGTGGTCTCTCTCTCTCTGTGGTCTCTCTCTCTCTGTGGTCTCTCTCTCTGTGTGGTCTCTCTGGTCTGGTCTCTCTCTGTGGTCTCTCTCTCTGTGTGGTCTCTCTCTTATGTCTTTCTCTGTGTGGTCTCTCTCTCCCTTTGGTCTCTCTCTCTCTCTCTCTCTCGCTCTCTCTGTGGTCTCTCTCGCTCTCTCTGTGGTCTCTCTCGCTCTCTGTGGTCTCTCTCTCTATGGTCTCTCTCTCTGTGGTCTCTCTCTGGTATCTCTCTCTCTCTCTGTGGTCTCTCTCTGTGGTCTCTCACTCTCTCTGGTGTGCAGCTCAGACTTTGCTCTGATCGCTGTAAGAATGTTGATCTGTTAAACTACTTTAGGAACAGCTGAGGGAGGGGCACTGCTGCAGCAGTCTGCCCCAGGGCAGACGAGGAGTGATGAAACCGTTACTACTGTTACTCCTATCTCCTCCTCCTTCTCCTCAGTGTGATCCGTCCATTCCTGTAATAAACACAACTGAAAGTGAAAGTGCAGCGTTAGCATGTCACGGAAGCTGAGGACGAGACTTTAAGACCAGAACAACAGATCTCAGAGACAGGAGCTGGTGATGAGGGTTAGATTAGAGCTGCTGGTCCTGGGAATCTTTACATCCGTTTTTCAGACGGGAAAGTGAAACAGAGAGGACCAATCAGCTCTCAGCCCTAAGAGTCAGATAGTGACTCACAGGGATCTGTCTCGCACAGAAGATGTTTGTTAATGAGAAGAAGACAGTGTGCTGTGGCCCTTTCTGTTGGAAAAACGTGTTATTTAGGAGACTAAAGTTACAGACCCCAGCTTTAAACTATAGGGATGTGAATATTCCAATAGACTAAACCATGTCCTGTATAAGGTTCCTCCCGGGCTACATCCAAAACCCCTCATTCCTTCTTCCTTATCCTTCAATTACACTATTTAAAAACACAAGAAGCTTCTGTTTTGGTTCCGGTACATTTCAGTTAGATGAAGGAATTTTTACTAGAGTTTAATGTGATGTCATCAAGGTCAGGGGAAAGGAGATGGAGGCAAAGTGAGGATGAGGAGGAGGAGGAGGTGGTGTTTGAAATGGGATGCGGCCAACACCAGGTTTTTCAGGTCCGATCAGTTTTCTGAAAAGATCAAAAGGTGAAGACGAGAGTTTACATAGCGATCACAGGGGAACAAAGACCAAGGCCTAGTTTAGACCTGGTCCAGACCCGCTTTAGACCTGCTTTCAACCTCAGTACACAGACATAGACCTCTTGTCTCTGTTCCAATGATAATGACAGAAGCTCTATCTCTTGAGCCTGATGTGGAGTCTCCATCCCCCCGTCACTCGTGTTGCTGTAATATCTCAGTCTGGACTCTTGTTGTTGTGGACTTTGGATCCAGGTTTTTCTGCCGTTGAATTGTTTGGTTTCTTTTCAGGGCGAGTCGGTGAAGTATTTCTTGGATAATCTGGATAAGCTTGGAGAGCCGGTGAGTTGCAACACAGACCAGGACTGGGCCAAGACTGAGGACTGGAGAAGGACCTCTTTCTCTGGTCTCTGTCTCTCTCTCTCGTGTCTCTCTCTCTCTCTCTCTGGTCTCTTGTTGTTGTCTGTGAAACATGATCCTCTTGATGGAAACTGATTAAGCGACTACAGATGAAGGAATAATCGATACTAAGTGCAGGAGAGAAACAACCGCCAGTCCCTCTGCTCTCTCGCTGGTCTTTCTCTGGTCTTTCTCTGGTCTTGCTTTTCTCTTGCTCTGGTACCTCTCTCTCTGGTCCCTGTCCCTCTCTCTCTATTGTCTCTCTATGGCCTCTCTCTCTGAAGAGGGGCAATAGAGAGACGCCGGTCAATCAGATCTTCTGGGGTTCTGAGGACTCCTGGAGCTAAAAATGACGTGATGACGTAATGCTTCCCTCCCCTTAGAGCTACCTACCCAGCCAGCAGGATATTCTCCTGGCGCGTAAGCCCACCAAAGGGATCCACGAGTATGACTTCGAGATCAAGAACGTTCCCTTCAAGATGGTGGACGTGGGCGGGCAGCGGTCGGAGCGGCGCCGCTGGTTTGAGTGCTTCGACTCTGTCACCTCCATCCTCTTCCTGGTATCGTCCTCTGAATACGACCAGGTACCAGCTCTATAGATTTTCCTCTGATCTCTCTCGCTCGTCTCATGGTCCCTTTGGTCCGTCTCCTCTCAGGACCAGGTTGTTTCAGCTGAGATCTCCCTAATGTCTCCTGGTGTCTCTCTGATGTCTCCCTGATGTCTCTCCCTGATGTCTCTCCCTGATGTCTCTCCCTGATGTCTCCCATGTCTCTCTGATGTCTCCCATGTCTCTCTGATGTCTCCCATGTCTCTCCCATGTCTCTCCCATGTCTCTCTGATGTCTCCCTGATGTCTCCCTGATGTCTCTCCCTGATGTCTCTCCCTGATGTCTCCCTCCTCAGGTGCTGATGGAGGACCGACTGACCAACCGCCTCAGAGAGTCTCTAAACATCTTTGAGACGATCGTGAACAACCGTGTGTTTGTGAACGTGTCCATCATCCTGTTCCTGAACAAGACGGACCTCCTGGAGGAAAAGGTGCGGCTGGTGCGTCTCAAAGACTACTTCCCGGAGTACAACGGCCCGGAGCACAGTCTGCCGGAGGTGCAGGTCTTCATGGTGGACTGTTTCAGGGCGAAGCGCCGCGACGCCACCCAGAAACCCCTGTACCATCACTTCACCACCGCCATCAACACCGAGAACATCCGCCTGGTGTTCCGAGACGTCAAGGACACCATTCTGCACGACAACCTCAAGCAACTCATGCTGCAATGACGGAGGGGGCGGGGCCAGGGGCGGGGGCGGGGCCAGGGGAAGGGGTTTCTGGTTTTATGTGCAGAGAAGGTTTGAGGGAGATCTTTAGTGTATCAGACTGGACTCGGGCATTTGGGGGCAGACTGGACCCGGGCCTTTGGGTTCAGACTGGACAGACTGAAGAAGTGGGCGGAGTCTGTGTACTCCTGTTTGGTTAGAGTGAAGACCTGCAGCTACACCGGCTCTTTGAGGAACAGTTTGACGGCCTTATAATCGTCCAATTGGGCATTAAACTTAAGTAAAATTCAGGTCTCTTTCCCTCTAGTCCATCTGGTTTCTCCCTCTGGCCTCTCTAGTCTCTCCCTCTGGCCTCTCTAGTCTCTCCCTCTGGTCCATCTGGTTTCTCCCTCTGGCCTCTCTAGTCTCTCCCTCTGGCCTCTCTAGTCTCCCCCACTGGTCCATCTGGTTTCTCCCTCTGGCCTCTCTAGTCTCTCCCTCTGGCCTCTCTAGTCTCTCCCACTGGTCCATCTGGTTTCTCCCTCTGGCCTTTCTAGTCTCTCCCTCTGGCCTCTCTAGTCTCTCCCACTGGTCCATCTGGTTTCTCCCTCTGTCCTCTCTAGTCTCTCCCTCTGGTCCATCTGGTTTCTCCCTCTGGCCTCTCTAGTCTCTCCCTCTGGTCCATCTAGTCTCTCCCTCTCGTCTCTCTCTTACTAGCATCTGAGTGATCAGATATTGATGAGGGTAAACTTCTGATTCCAAACATGGCGCCCTCTGCCCTCTTCCTCCTCCTCCTCCTTTGGGGTTGTGCCGTTCCTCCTCCTCCTCCTCCTCTGAGGTCGTGCCAATCCTCCTCCTCTGGGGTCGTGCCGTTCCTACAGAAGCCTTATGAGGACAAACCAGGCCCTCTATTAACAGACTTTGAGACCGACAAATAACTCAATGTTTTTAATGTTTTGTTTTTACAGCTTCAACAATAGATTTACAATGTGACTGTAAGGAGCCAGTGCTGCGAGGAGCGAGACATCTGCAAATTATTAAAATAGTGTATAATCTCTGGTCTCTCTCTCTGGTCTCTCACTCTGGTCTCTCTTGCTGGTCTCTCTTGCTGGTCTCTTATCTCTGGTCTCTTCTCTCTGGTCTCTTCTCTCTGGTCTCTTCTCTAGGATCTCTTCTCTAGGATCTCTTCTCTAGGATCTCTCTCTGGTCTCTTCTTGCTGGTCTCTTCTTGCTGGTCTCTTCTTGCTGGTCTCTTCTCTCTGGTCTCTTCTCTCTGGTCTCTTCTCTAGGATCTCTCTCTGGTCTCTTCTCTCTGGTCTCTGTCTCTCTGGTCTCTGTCTCTCTGGTCTCTGTCTCTCTGGTCTCTGTCTCTCTGGTCTCTTTCTCTCTGGTCTCTCTTGCTGGTCTCTTCTCTCTGGTCTCTGTCTCTCTGGTCTCTCTCTGGTCTCTTCTTGCTGGTCTCTGTCTCTCTGGTCTCTCTCTGGTCTCTCTGAGTGATTGTGAGAGAAATGCAAAGTAAAAAATCATGAAAGTGGATTGTGTGGCGAGGTCTGCTGCCGCCATGACCCGGCACCAGATGAAGCGGAAGTTGATGGATAAGAAAAAAGTAAAAACAACATTTAGAGGAAAAAAAGTGGAAGATTTCTTCAAATTAAAAACAATGTCAAATGTTTTCTCTTCAAACGCGTAGCATTTAAACCAGACGTCATCTTCCGCTTTATCCGGTGCCGGGACAGAGGCAGCAGTGAGGATAATAGTTTTCTCTTCTTTGTAAAAGATGCAGATTTCCACTTTTGATTCGTTGTTAAACTAACCTAAATGTGTTAAAACCATGTGGACTGAAACCATGTGGACTTAACCAGCACTGGCTCCTGGTTTATGATCCTGAACATGTATAACCACTAACTGCTTCTGCTCGTCCCTGATGCGGCGGCTGCGGCTCACGCTTCTACAAACGGAAGAGATTTTAAGTTAATAATTGTAGATATCTGAAGAACCATGTGGAGTCCAACCATGTGGAGTCCAACCATGTGCAGAAACACATCCATTTTCTCTGGTATCAAAAGTTACTAAAAATAACCTCAATAGTTAATTTAATTTAATTTCTTTTGGACGTGACTCCTGGACAATGTTCACATAAATTCAGTTGGAATCAGACATATTTGTATTTTTACATTTACAAAAAATTAACTATTGAGGTTGATTTTTAGAAACAAAGAAAACTGACTTAACAAAAAAAATTGCGTTCTGCGGCTGTTTTTTACGTAGTTTTTAACGACAACATAAAATGAAAGTTGAGTGTAAATATTTATAAATCAGATTTTATTTTTCTTGCCTGTTTTTAATTGGTCCATTGAACAAGTTTCGGAAATGCATTAGTTTATGCTCCTGGTTTAAATGGGTTTATAACTGGTTCAAATTGGATTCACACTGGTTCCAAGTCTGGTATAGAGTGTTTTTTTTTTCTTTTTGTCTCCGCAGCCGTCGCTCAAACCTTTGCGTCGTCTGTTGCTGTTTTATTTAACCATCAGATCCACTGCAGTCGCCTTCACTTGGTCCATGTTTCAGTAAATGAGTTTGTTTTTGTAGCGGCTGCTTCTGTCTGAGGAACATTCACCCAAAACTTTGCCCCAAAAATGATCTTGTTTTTTCCTGGTTTTAGCGCCTCTTAAAGGGACACTCCAGTTTTTGCCTTAATGTTTATAGATGTACAGTTGTAGATTGAATGAAAATTACTGTATCAAAGTTTTGGTCCAAATCTGTCATGTTTAAACCAAGCATTAGGCCACGGCCACAGCTGTGTTTGTAACCGAGGTTTCTCAGATTAAAAAATCAAACTCATATTTTTTTACCCAAAACTGATCAAACTAAAGCCGTTAATTCAACAACAGACAAACCTGGAAGTTTGTTTGGTTTGACTTCTCATTTAGACTTTTTAAGAACCTTTTTCAAATCTTTCCATTTGATTTTGTGCAATCGACAAAATATTTCGGATACTAAGACTTAATGTTTTGGCCACAGTGTCTGAGTGGTTAGCAGTAATGCATCTCGGTAAGAAGGTCCAATGTTCGAATCATACTCAGGAAGAGTGGGGCCAATTGAAGCTCGTAGAAACCTTCTATAGTACCTTTGCTCAGTGTTTCTTCCCCGACAAACTGTATCTATTCAATACGTTTTAAAGGCTTTCAAAGTGTGTGGTCCTAAAGTTCAACCAAACAAATGATTGTACTGAACATTTTCAAAGGGTTTTGTGAACGGTAACATGAACTACATTCTCTCTGAGAGAATCTTAAACTATTTCACCACGATTTGGTTGAAGCTGTGACCTTGTGCTTGGTGAGAAAACCAGGGGATTGTGCTCTTGAATACAACAGGTCTTCACTGTATCAGAACCACTGTCTGCTCACAGGATCAGAACAGCTTTGGAACCAATGGGAGCAGCTCATGTTGACTGAACCAGGACTGGACCAGGACTAATGCTGGATTAAAGCAGACACTAGACCAGAGACTAGACCGGGGGCTGCAACAAATGCAAACCAAGAACCAAACAAGGACCAGTCCTGGACCAGTCTGCTGCCGTTTCTCTCTTTGTCCCAAACGTTTGATTTCCTGGACCTCCATGAGAATAAAGTGTTTTATTTAAAATGGTGACGTTGCCCTTCAGAATAAAGCTGTACATACTGACTGTAAATACCAGGGTTTCTCTCGTGTAAATGTTGTAGAAATGGCATTTTATTTTCCACGTTTTTCTTGAATAATTTTTTTCCTTGATGAAAATAATCGCTGTAGATTTTTTGTTTCTGAAAACTCTTATTTTGAAATTCATTCCTGTGTCAAACTCGTGCCACTGTAACCTATCAATAAATACACTTTTCTAATGAGACCCTGTCAGTCCACAGCCACAGAGGGTTATCATTCAACTTAGAAGTACTAATAACCACTACTAACCTGTAAAAATGAGCTTAGAACCACAGCTAACCACTTCTCTCATGAATAAACGAACTTAGAAGCACTGCTAACCACTTCACACATGTATAAATGAATATAGAAGCACAGCTATGTTAATTACCTTAAAAGCACTGCTAGCCACTTTAAACCATCAATAAACAACTTAGAAGTACGGCTAACCAATTCACACCTGTATAACTTTACTTTGAAGCAAGACTAAACCGCTTGAAAATAGTCTTTGGTGTCCGTCGCTGTGGCAACGGCGCCCTCTGCCGTAGACCTACCTTAGCAGGACAGTCCCGAGCAAATCCAAAATAAAAGTAATATATTTCCGTTGATTTAACATGTGAAAAAATGGGTTAAGTTACAAAACATGGGTAGTGGGTTTAGTTAAAGACATTTCAATACACTAGTCTTCGTTATATATGGTATAAATGGATAAAATAGTTAAAGTTTGGACGTATTTTTAATCAGGCTTTGTTCGGGCAAGCCTCAAGCCTCACTGGGCCTTTTCATATTTTCCCCAACGCAGTTCCGCCAGGTAATTCGTTTAACTTCTCAACGCCCTTACTGTAACCAGATGAACTATTTGTAAACTTATTGAAACCGTAGTTAAATATTGCTCCATTTTGTGCTCATCTATTGATATATATTTACTGCAGTAATGAAATAATAAAATATTGTGTGACTTCTTCGGGGGAAAATATTTGACGTTCTCCGCAGCGTGTTCACACTTCACAGTGACCACAGTGACATGCAGCGGACATGAAAACAAAACTCCGCTTTACTCTAATATTTATTCATGCATCTTTCTTTAATACATTAACTGTTAATTTGTCTTTATAGGAACAGTCTGTTTCAGAATGAGCTCTGGTGAGTGTCCTGCTTATGTGGTGCTCATTCAAACTCATACTAATCCACTGTTATTATTGTTTTAATAGTATTTTTATAGTTTTCCTGAAGATAATTCACGTTTGGACTTGTGTCTGGTCATGTGTAGGGTACAGAGATGTAGTTACTGGTTGTAGTGTGACTCGCACCAGTGTTGTCCTTCTTTCAACGACTTTTACTACATTGATTATAACGTAACTTTAAAGCTCCATTATCAACACGTGTTTTTTGTTTTGTATGATTTTCTGACCACGACATGCTGTCTTCATCTGATTAAACATGTTATATTTTGCTTGCTTAGCCCTGTGAGGAACTATTTGACGTTTTGGTCTGTGAGCTGATTGGCTGAGTGAGGGTGGTCCTCTCTTTCACTTTTCTGTCTAAAAAAAAACTGTTCTAAAGACTTGACAGAGACCAGAAATAGATTGTGTGAAAACTATTGCTGGTCTCTCTCTCTCTCTAACCCTAACCTAAAGATGTGACGGAGGCCAAAAACACATGTGAATGGATTTTATTGTTGTGGTCTGAAAGTTTTTGTTACGCAGATTTAATTTTGCCTTTTACTGAAATGTACAGTGTCTGTTTCAAATAAACAATAAACCAACACTGTGTTCTAATGTAAAGTTAACATCACTCTTTCTCTTTTCAGAAGTTTGTCCATTTTGTGGCAAATCGTTCAAACGGTTAAAAAGCCATTTGCCTCATTGTAAATCTGCCCCAAACTCCAACAAAACTCGTGAAGAAGAAGCCAGAACATCTGGGAAAGACGAGGCCCTGGATTCAACCAGATCTGAAATCAGGAAGAGGACCGAGCCCAAAGTCACGGCAAGAGTCAAAATGGCGACTGAAACGTCGTCAGTGGAAGCAACCGTTAGTGCGAGTCCAAAGATTAAAACAACAATTACAAAATCCAAAAGAATGAAGGAACCAAAGAAGAAAGATATATTTACAAATGTAGAAAGTGAGAGAAGTCCTGAATCCAAGTCTGTGGGACTGTCGGAGTTGGAAGCTAAAGTGTTTCATTCAGATGCAGAATTAATGTCAAGTTCTGCACTTTTTGGCGATTTACCAAACTTAAAAAATCAAGAATCAAATGGGAGACGTTTTGAAATGACAAAATCCACATCAAAACAAGTTCAGACTGATGCGAATCCTGAAGCAGAAATACTCATTCCAGCTGGAAAAAAACCGACAAAATCTGCGAAAGAGATGTTTGATAATTCGAAAAAATCAAAAAAGCTAATCTCAAGCAAAAGTGCAGTATCTGTAAATACTCAACATATGAATTTAGATCAAAATGACCTCAAAAATGGGCCAAAAATAGATCCGTGGGGGAAGAGAGAAGCCAGAGTCACACTTGAGGATGTCCGCGCCACTTTGAGACGTGCTAATCAAAATGGCGTCTCTGAAAAGAAGGAAGAATCATCTGCAGCTGACATCAAAAGTGAAAGTAAAGCACAGAAAGGGACGATACAACAATCACCATCCGCTGCGTTGGCTTCAGAACCGAGGGAAGAGGAAGTGAAAAGTCAACAATTCTCTGGTAGATTTTCCAAAATGGTGGATTGCGGCTGGAGCTCGGACAGTGCGGCGTTGGGACTGAGCATGGACCGGTTCTCCATGGGGCAAACCGCGGCGGCTCCAGCTAGCAGCATGTTGGAGGCTGAAGTCTCGACCGAAGCCTTTAGAAAAGATTTAGAGCCGTTTTCACGACAGAGCGTGGAGAAAAACATGGAATTGACGGAAGAGAAGGCGACGAGGGGGCGGGGACAAGATGGCGGACAGAGACAAGATGGCAGACTCACCACGAGAGGTGAGAGAGGTTTCAGAGTCCTCAGCTCAAACTGAATTTGGATTGGACTTATTTTTTCAATGTCTCTCACTGGTCTCTTTCTGGTCTCTTTCTGGTCTCTCTCTTGTTCTGGTGTTCTGTTACCGATTTTGATTCTGATTCTGATTTAAAAACCTTGAATTGTTCCTCTGTAGTGTTGGCGCCGCAGAGCTTCAGTCAGGTGACTCTGAGAGAGCTCCCTGATTGGCTGGTGTCACAGTCTCCACGACGTCCACGAGAAGTGCTCTACCTCGCCCAGAGAGGTGAGCTGTGGGACCAGGGGGAACCTAGGGGGATCTGGTTGGATCTGGTTGGATCTGGTTGGGGGGGGGGGGGGGGGGGGGGGGAGGGGGGACCTGTCTCGGCTGGAGGTTGGATAGATCTCTCTATCTCTGGTCTCTCTCTCTGGTCACTCTCTCTGGTCTCCCTCTCTCTCTGATCTCTCTCTCTTGTCCTTCTCTCTGATCTCTCTCTGATCTCTCTGATCTCTCTCTGGTCTCTCCCTCTGGTCTTTCTCTGGTCTCTCTCTCTCTGGTCTTTCTCTGGTCTCTCTGTCAGGTCTCTTTCTGGTCTCTCTCTCTGGTCTCTTTCTGGTCTCTCTCTCTCTCTGGTCTCTCCCTCTGGTCTTTCTCTGGTCTCTCTCTCTCTGGTCTCTCTCTGGTCTCTCTCTCTGGTCTCTTTCTGGTGTCTCTCTGGTCTCTCCCTCTGGTCTTTCTCTGGTCTCTCTGTCAGGTCTCTCTCTGGTCTCTCTCTCTGGTCTCTTTCTGGTCTCTCTCTGGTCTCTCTCTCTCTGGTCTCTCTCAGGTCTCTCTCTTAACCCCAAATGGTAAGTGTGATGCCAACAGTTACTGAGCTAGAGCAGGTTAGCATTGTCCATCTGTAGACAGTCCGTTGTATTAATTCAGGTTTTCGTGACTGCTCCCCCTGCAGGCTGGCGCTGGTACTACCGTCGCTACATCGACGTGAAAAGGGGCGGAGTCGGGGGCGTGGCCATGCTGCTCGCCGGATACTGTGCCCTGAGTTACGCCTGGGCCTTCCCCCATCTGAGTGAGGCACAGGTTTAATGGAATAAGAGACAACCAGAATGAGCTGCACTCCCCACTCCCCTCTCACTCCTGTTACACGACTCCTTTTACCTGCACAATCCAGTCATACCTTTGTAGCTAAGCAGGGCAGGGCCTGGGTAGTGCTGTGATGGCAGACCTCACAGTGGGTGTTCTTGTTCGAGCTGGTGGTAGACGTTGGGGATCCTATCATATGTTTTCGACTTAAAATAGTTGCACAATATTGCACATGGAATTCCAAAGTCTCAGTTTAAGTTTTTAGAGACAAAAAATACAACTTAATGAATGTTTATTGTGTTTGTTTTTCAGAGCGCGAACGCTGGAGGAAGTATCACTGAAGGAGAAACCTATGGTCTCTCCAAGATGTCTGCCACACTCTGGAGAGACTAGAGAGAGAGAGAGACTAGAAAGAGACCAGGAACATTTTCATTATCCACACAGCTGCTTTTTCTCTGAGCCCAAAGAGGCAGATGATGACTAACAACAGTTCAAAAGCTTTTACCCGGAACTGAAGCTAAAAGAAGTTCAATGAAGTATCAACAATAATTTTTTATATTCTAATGTATGTGTGTGTGTGTGTGTGTGTGTCTGTGTGTGTACGTATCCCTGTTTTGTGTATTTGTATTTTTTGCAGTCCCAGCTGTGGCCACATAATGTCGCACTGTTATTACTCCATCAGTCAAAAATAAACTTTTGTTTTACGTTTTTGTTCATTCTTTCAAATCTTTAAGTCACTTCTATTTAAATGAATCAAAGTTAAAGCCATGGTACGTAACTTTCAGTAATGAGATAGCAGCTCTCCGCTTAAGACTGTAGAGGTTCACAACTTCAATTTTACAAGACCAAAATAAATAAATAAATGAATGAATGTAAAGACTCGGAGGATGTGTGTGTGTAGTCTGTATGTCTGGAGTAAGTGTGTGTTTATGTAGTGTGGGTGTGAATGTGTATGCATGTGTGTACCTGGAGTAGGTGTGTGTGTGTGGAGTAGGTGGACATATTTGGTGACATATAAGAGAAAAATAAGATATCCCCGCTTCGAATGTATAATTTTATTATACAGAGTTAACCCTTGTGCCCCTCGCTTTCTACCCGGTCCTCCGCCTTTTTTCCCCGCCCCCTCCCTCTCCTCCCCCTCTCCTCCCCCCTCTCCTCTCCCTCTCCTCTCCCTCTCCTCTCCCTCTCCCCTCCCTCTCCTCCTCCTCTCCTCTCCCTCCTCCTCTCCCCCTCTCCTCCCCCTCTCCTCCCCCTCTCCTCTCCTCTCCTCTCCCTCTCCTCTCCCTCTCCTCTCCCTCTCCCCTCCCTCTCCTCTCCCTCTCCTCTCCCTCTCCCCTCCCTCTCCTCCTCCTCTCCTCTCCCTCTCCTCTCCCTCTCTCCTCACCCTCTCTCCTCTCCTTCTCACAGCCGCCTCAGAGCTCTCATGCCGCGGACAACATGACGATCCACAACACGCTCCGGGACCATGGACAGCGCTACCGGCCTCGTATGGCGTGTCTGCCCAAGGTACGGCTCCTCCACGCCCGCATCTCACACCCACCACCTCCGCTACACACAATGACACACACAGTGACACACACAGTGACACACACAGTGACAACCACAACACGAAACCCAACAGATATCTCTGCTTTTCCAAACAATTGCGATACAGTATTTATTGGCATGTTACAGCAGTAGTTACACCACTTTGGTCTCTCTCTGGTCTCTCTCTTTGGTCTCATTCTGGTCTCTCTCTGGTCTCTCTCTTTGGTCTCATTCTGGTCTCTCTCTGGTCTCATTCTGGTCTCTCTCTGGTCTCTTTCTGGTCTCTCTCTGGTCTCTTTCTGGTCTCCTTCTGGTCTCACTGGTCTCTCTCTGGTCTTGCTGGTCTCTTTCTGGTCTCTCTCTGGTCTCTCTCTGGTCTCTGTCTGGTCTCTGTCTAGTCTCTGGCTGGTCTCACTGGTCTCTCTCTGGTCTCATTCTGGTCTCTCTCTGGTCTCTTTCTGGTCTCTCTCTGGTCTCTTTCTGGTCTCCTTCTGGTCTCACTGGTCTCTCTCTGGTCTTGCTGGTCTCTTTCTGGTCTCTCTCTGGTCTCTCTCTGGTCTCTCTCTGGTCTCTCTCTGGTCTCTGTCTGGTCTCTGGCTGGTCTCACTGGTCTCTCTCTGGTCTCGCTGGTCTCTTTCTGGTCTCTCTCTGGTGTCTCACTGGTCTCTCTCTGGTCTCTTTCTGGTCCCTCTTTGGTCTCTCTCTGGTCTCTCTCTGGCCTCTCTGGTCTCTCTGGTCTCTCTTTGGTCTCATTCTAGTCTCTCTGGTCTCTCTCTGGTTTAAGTCCTGCAGGTGTAGAGTGACCTCCAGCTTTGATCGGCTTCAGTTTAATCCTGATCATCTCTTGGTGACACCATTAAGAACCACATGGTTCACACAATAACATATCTTTACCATATGGAAAAAAAACGTATTGTTCAGGACTCACACTGAGAGAGAGTGCTCATTATACTCTATATGCTATATTATAATGTGATTCTCTCTTGTCTCTCTCTGGTCTCTCACTGGTCCTTCTCCCTGGTCTCTCTCTGGTCCCTCTCTCTGGTTTCTCTCTGGTCTCTCTCTTTGGTCTCATTCTGGTCTCTCTCTCTGGCCTCTCTCTGGTCCCTCTCTCTGGTCTCTTTCTAGTCTCTCTCATAGTGACCTGAATATGGCAGCACGGACGCAACTGTGTCCTGGAAAAGCAGCTTCATAAATCCAAAAGAACATTGCTGGCGCTGCAGAGAGAAACCAGAGAGAAACCAGAGAGAGACCAGAGAGAGACCAGAGAGAGACCAGAGAGAAACCAGAGAGAGACCAGAGAGACCAGAGAAACCAGAGAGAGACCAGAGAGAGACAAGTGAATCAAAGCAATAGTTCCACATAAACACAGTTGTGATGGGACTGGTTTTGCAGTATGTTCACTGATCTGAGACCTGTTTCTGTTTCAGGCCGAGAGTCTGGTTCTTCAGATGCAGGACCCCAGAACTGGAGTCCAGTCTCAGCCTCAAAGACTTGTCATCACCACCATCCCCCACGCCATCACTGGTACTGGACCTGGACTGGACCTGGACTGGACCTGGACTGGACCAGGACTGAACCAGGACTGATTGCCTCACTCTGGTCTATTTTATCCTCCTGAATCTTCGGTTAATATAATGATAGCACAGGGTAGACAAAATCCAAATACAAACCAGGACTAAACCAAGTCTAAAGCAGATCTAAACCAGGATTAAACGGGGACTAAACCAGAACTAATTCAGGACTAAACCAGGATTAAACCAGGACTAAACCAGGTCTAAATCGGTTCCAAACCGGGTCTAGACTCTGGTGCAGTTGTGTTGTGGAGAGATCCCCCTCGGCTGTGATATAGTGTGTCGCCATGGAAACAAGGAGGCTGTTTTGTCGTGGTAACGGTTTGTAGTTGAGGATGGAGGCGAGACTCACTCAGGAAGAGTTTATGTAACAGTTTACTTTTTCAGGAAGACTGCTCCCACATCCTGCTGTACTGTACTGTACTGTACTGTACTGTACTGTACTGTTCTGTTCTCGACTATACTCTGCTCTAACATTATGGTGCGCTGCAACATTGGAATTTCCCTTCTGTTGTGTCCAGGTGAAGACATAGTAAACTGGCTGAGTGAGAGGCTCAACCTGGACCCAGCAGGTAATACACACGCACACTCGCACGCACACACGCACACACACACGCACACACGCACACACTCTCTCTGTCTCTCTCAATTCCCAGAATCCCTCAGTCTGGGTTCCATGCTGGTTGCCATGGGTTACCTGTACCCGCTTCAGGACCATAAGCACCTGTCAATCAAAGCCGATGCGTCGCTGTTCCGTTTCCAGACGCCGTATTTCTGGCCTTCGCAGCAGTGGACTGTGGACGACACGGACTACGGTGAGGGAGGGAGTGGAGGGGGAGGAGGGGGACTGTGCTATATAAATAAACCCGCCCCCTTTGTTTGCAGCCATTTACCTGGCGAAGAGGAATATTCGCAAGAAGGGGCTCCTACAGCCGCACGAGCAGGTGAGGGAGGGGCAGGTGAAGGAGGGGGAGGTGAGGGAGGGCAGGTGAGGGAGGGCAGGTGAGGGAGGGCAGGTGAGGGAGGGCAGGTGAAGGAGGGGGAGGTGAGGGAGGGCAGGTGAGGGAGGGCAGGTGAGGGAGGGGCAGGTGAGGGAGGGGCAGGTGAGGGAGGGCAGGTGAAGGAGGGCAGGTGGGGGAGTGGTAGGTGAGGGAGGGCAGGTGAGGGAGGGCAGGTGAAGGAGGGGGGAGGTGAGGGAGGGCAGGTGAGGGAGGGCAGGTGAGGGAGGGCAGGTGAGGGAGGGCAGGTGAGGGAGGGGCAGGTGAGGGAAGGGGCAGGTGAGGGAGGGCAGGTGAGGGAGGGCAGGTGAGGGAGGGGCAGGTGAGGGAGGGCAGGTGAGGGAGGGCAGGTGAGGGAGGGGCAGGTGAGGGAGGGCAGGTGAGGGAGGGCAGGTGAAGGAAGGCAGGTGGGGGAGTGGTAGGTGAGGGAGGGCAGGTGAGGGAGGGCAGGTGAAGGAGGGGCAGGTGAGGGAGGGGCAGGTGGGGGAGTGGTAGGGGAGGGGGTGGTATGTGATGAAGGACAGGTGAAGGAGGGGCTGGTGAGGGAGGGGCAGATGAAGGAGGAGCAGATGAAGGAGGGGCAGATGAGGGAGTGGAAGGTGAGGGGCTGACCTCTGACCCCTGAGCAGGAGCAGTACAGTCGGATGCACGTTCGTCTGAACCATAAGTGGGACTTCATCGTGCTGCAGGCGCAGGAGCAGAACAGGTCAGTGCTGCTCCACAGCATCAAAATGACTGCTCACGTTCAAACCAGTGGGCTCTGAAACCAGTTCTCATCTTTAGTTCATTTTCCTCAGAGCTAAAACTGGTGATACTCTCGCAGTATGCATACACACTCCAGGAGGCGCTGTGTGTCTCTGTGCAGAGTTTATTGGTGTAGCACAGAATGTTAAAGGAATAATGAAACAAACTGCATTTAGAAACAGAAGAGGTTACAAAAAGAAAACACAAGCAGTAGCTACACTCTCAGCCTAGTACCTGTGCTTCACTCTCAGCCTAGTACCTGTGCTTCACTCTCAGCCTAGTACCTGTGCTTCACTCTCAGCCTAGTACCTGTGCTTCACTCTCAGCCTAGTACCTGTGCTTCACTCTCAGCCTAGTACCTGTGCTTCACTCTCAGCCTAGTACCTGTGCTTCACTCTCAGCCTAGTACCTGTGCTACACTCTCAGCCTAGTACCTGTGCTACACTCTTAGCTTGGTCCCTGTGTGCAGAGCAGCAAAGGAGCGGAAGAAGCCGGACCGCGTGGTGCTGGAGTACCAGGAGAGGGCGCACTGGGTCGTCCACAGGCCCCCGGTGAGTCCTGAGAGAAACCATAGAGACACCAGAGAGAGAGAGCAGAGAGAGACCAGAGAGCGAGACTGTAGCAGAGACCTAAGCAAGACTACAGCAGTCTCAGCAGGGTCCCCGTCTCCTGCTCCTGCTGGTCTCATTAGTCTCCTGTGGACAGTGAAAGGTTGAACTGTATTAATATTTGAGAGAAACACAAGTGACAGCAGTGTCATCAGAACTGAAGGGTTTATGAGACCTGCTTTGGACCTGCTTTAGACCTGCTTTAGACCTGCTTTAGACCTGCTTTAGACCTGCTTTAGACCTGCTTTAGTCCTGCTTTAGACCTGCTTTAGACCTGCTTTAGACCTACTTTAGACCTACTTTAGATCTGCTTTAGACCTGCTTTAGACCTGCTTTAGACCTGCTTTAGACCTGCTTTAGACCTACTTTAGATCTGCTTTAGACCTGCTTTAGACCTGCTTTAGACCTGCTTTAGTCCTGCTTTAGTCCTGCTTTAGTCCTGCTTTAGTCCTGCTTTAGTCCTGCTTTAGACCTGCTTTAGTCCTGGTTTAGACCTGCTTTAGTCCTGCTTTAGTCCTGCTTTAGACCTGCTTTAGTCCTGCTTTAGTCCTGCTTTAGTCCTGCTTTAGACCTACTTTAGTCCTGCTTTAGACCTGCTTTAGTCCTGCTTTAGACCTGGTTTAGTCCTGCTTTAGACCTGCTTTAGTCCTGCTTTAGACCTGCTTTAGTCCTGCTATAGACCTGCTTTAGTCTCATTACTGTTGTAATAGCTCACCACATGTCTGTCCTGTTATGTCACATGTTTGTCTGTGAAGCCCGGGACGGTGAGTGGGATGGACTACGGACTGGACCGAAGAGCCGACCCCAACGCAGACCAGGTACAAGGTGAGACCAGAGAGAGACCAGAGAGAGACCAGAGAGAGACCAGGGAGAGACCAGAGAGAGAGAGAGACCAGAGAGAGACCAGAGAGAGACCAGAGAGAGACCAGGGAGAGACCAGAGCGAGAGAGAGACCAGAGAGAGAGAGAGACCAGATAGAGAGAGAGACAGAAAATATGAGGCCATGGTTGATATTTGCTAACTTTGTTACAGCTTTTGTTTAATGTGAAGTGTTCCAGGAATCACCAAGAATGTAGTGTCTCTGATCACCCTCTGGGTTATTGACCACAGAGAAGGCCCTGTGCTCTGGGTTAAAGACCACAGAGAAGGCCCTGAATAAAATATCTGATTTCTGCCACTAGGGGGCAGTGTTCACCAGGGTTTTCCTCCCTGTGACTGCTGTATGTTCAGAGGCCTTTGCTCTGACGGGTCGTCAGAGACTGTGACTGACATGAGATAATCTGGATTATAAACAGGGTTAAAATTATCATGCTGTGTTGATGAGAATAATACTAATACTAATAATAATAATAATACAATGTTTTGTTTTGTTTCTGTTTCAGAGCTCCACAATCTGTAAAAGTAGACTTTATTTTCTTTGAAAATACAAATAAGGCAGGTCTAAAGCAGGACTCGAACAGGTCTAAATCAGGACTAGAACAATTCTAAAGCAGGACTCGAACAGGTCTAAAGCAGGACTCGAACAGGTCTAAAGCAGGACTAGAACAGGTCTAAAGCAGGACTAGAACAGTTCTAAAGCAGGACTAAAGCAGGACTAGAGCAGGTCTAAAGCAGGTCTAAAGCAGGTCTACAGCCGGACTAAAGCAGGACTAGAACAGGTCTAAAGCAGGACTAAAGCAGGACTAAAGCAGGACTAGAGCAGGTCTAAAGCAGGTCTAAAGCAGGTCTACAGCCGGACTAAAGCAGGACTAGAACAGGTCTAAAGCAGGACTAAAGCAGGACTAAAGCAGGACTAAAGCAGGTCTAAAGCAGTTTGAAAGCCTCGTCTGTTTCCTTCAGGCCTCGACTCCAGACGTCTTCGAGAGAACAGTGAGTCTTGTATTTATTTCAACACTAAACGTATTTGTCTTGATGGTTTTCCTTGTTCCATGTTTCAGCTGATCTTCACCCAACAGTCCATCATGAGGCCCAGGGTCAAGTCCTCTGTGTCTCTGGGAGCGTGAGTGTCACATACAACCAGAGAGAGACCAGAGAGAGACCAGAGCGAGACCAGAGCGAGACCAGAGAGAGACCAGAGAGAGAGCAGAGAGAGACCAGAGAGAGAGCAGAGAGAGACCAGAGAGAGACCAGAGAGAGACCAAGAGAGAGCAGAGAGAGACCAGAGAGAGAGCAGAGAGAGAGCAGAGAGAGACCAGAGAGAGACCAGAGAGAGACCAAGAGAGAGACCAGAGAGAGACCAGAGAGAGACCAGAGAGAGACTAGAGAGAGACTAGAGAGAGACTAGAGAGAGACCAGAGAGAGACCAGAGAGAGACCAGAGTGAGAGCAGAGAGAGACCAGAGAGAGACCAGAGTGAGACCAGAGTGAGCCAGAGAGAGAGACTAGAGGACAGAGCCCTCACATGACTCTCTGGTATGTTCCATCTGGTTCACAGTTTGGTGAAACACTGCTCCACGTACCAGAGCCATGACCCGTTCCTCTCCGGAGTCCTGCCCTCCAGCCCCTGGATCACAGACGACACCACGTACTGGTCACTCAACATGCCCAGGTGTGTGACATCACCACTGTGTGACATCACCACTGTGTGACGTGACAACCGTGTTAATGTCATAATGTTGAAGAGGCATACTTGAACATAAGATAGAGATAACTTCCTTATATGGGCATTTGTTCTCTCACTTTGTGACTGTGCTCTCTCTCTGGTCTTTCTTTTGTCTCTCTCTGGTCTCTCTCTGGTCTCTCTCTCTGGTCTCTCTCTGGTCTCTCTCTGGTCTCTCTCTGGTCTCTCTGGTCTCTCTCTGGTCTCTCTGGTCTCTCTGGTCTCTCTCTCTGGTCTCTCTGGTCTCTCTAGTGTGGAGGTTCCGACCAGACAGCGTGTGGAGAGATGGACCTTCAGCTTCGGAGACCTGCTCTCAGACCCACGAGGACGAGATGACTTCAGGCTGTTTCTGAAGAAGGAGTTCAGTGGTGAGGACTGGACCAGGACTGGACCAGGACTGGACCAGCTGGTCTAAAGGTCCAAAGCAGGACTAAAGCAGGTCTAAAGCAGGTCCAAAGCAGGACTAAAGCAGGACTAAAGCAGGACTAAAGCAGGACTAAAGCAGGTCTAAAGCAGGTCCAAAGCAGGACTAAAGCAGGTCCAAAGCAGGACTAAAGCAGGACTAAAGCAGGACTAAAGCAGGACTAAAGCAGGTCCAAAGCAGATGTAAAGCAGGACTAAAGCAGGTCTAAAGCAGGTCCAAAGCAGGACTAAAGCAGGTCCAAAGCAGGACTAAAGCAGGACTAAAGCAGGTCCAAAGCAGATGTAAAGCAGGACTAAAGTACATCTACATTTATGTTGTATGTTTCAGGGGAGAACCTGGCGTTCTGGGAGAGCTGTGAGGACCTGAAGTGGGGAGCAGCCGCCACCATGAAGGAAAAGGCAGAACACATCTACAAGTACAACTCTGGTCTCTCTCTGGTCTCTTTCTGGTCTCTCTCTGGTCTCTTTCTGGTCTCTCTCTGGTCTCTCTCTGGTCTCTCTCTGGTCTCTTTCTGGTCTCTTTCTAGTCTCTCTCTGGTCTCTCTCTGGTGTCTCTCTAGTCCCTCTCTGATGAGTCTGTTGGTGTCTGGTCTCAGGACATTCTTGGCTCGTGGAGCTCCTCGTTGGATCAACATTGATGGTAAAACCATGGAGATCACCATCAAGTCCCTGAAGCACCCTCACAGATACGTTCTGGACGCCGCCCAGACTCACATCTACATGCTCATGAAGAAGGTCTCTCTCTCCGAGTTCTGGTCTCTCTCTGGTCTCACACCCTTGTCTCTCTCTGGTCTTTCTCTGGTCTCTCTCTGGTCTCTCTCTGATCTCTAAGGTCCCTTTCTGCTCTCTCTCTGGTTTCTGTCACACACACACACACACTAACCATGTGTGTGTTTCAGGACTCTTATGGTCGATATCTGAAGTCTCCAGTTTTCAAAGAGACGCAGAAAAAAGCCGTGAACCCAGAGGAGCACAAGTTCACGTACGTATTATTTATGTATCACTAATAAATCTGTCTGATCTAATAGTATCTGGTACCGTATAAGAGCCTATCCTTGGTCTCTATCCCTGGTCTCTCTGCTCTCCCTGGTCTCTCCCTCTTTGCTCTCCCTCATATATCTCACTGGTCTCTCTCACTGTGTCTCTCTCTTTGCTCTCCCTGGTATCTCTCACTGGTGTCTCTCTCTGGTCTCTCTCACTGGTCTCTCTCTCTTTGCTCTCCCTGGTATCTCTCACTGGTGTCTCTCTCTGGTCTCTCTCACTGGTCTCTCTCTCTTTGCTCTCCCTGGTATCTCTCACTGGTGTCTCTCTCTGGTCTCTCTCACTGGTCTCTCTCTCTTTGCTCTCCCTGGTATCTCTCACTGGTGTCTCTCTCTGGTCTCTGTCCTCAGTGATTCTCAGCTGGAGCAGAATGCACGCTCTCGCCGCCCCAGTCTCAGCCCAATCGTCCTGAGGCAGCTGGAGCAGGAGAGGAGAGCCAAGATGGCCGCCGCCGCTCCGGTTGACATCACCCAGGTCATGAGCAAACTCAGCCGCAAGCCGCAATGAGGGCACGGACCACAAACTGAGGAGAGACGGGCTTCACTAGAGCTGTCAGGAAACTATAGGTTCAATTCTAGTTATAGCAAGAGAGAGACCAGAGAGAGACCAGAGAGGGACCAGAGAGAGACCAGAGAGAGACCAGAGAGGGACCAGAGAGAGAGAGAGACCAGAGAGGGACCAGAGAGAGACCAGAGAAAAACCAGAGAGAGAGACCAGAGACGGAGTCCAGAGAGAGAGAGACCAGAGAGAGAGACCAGAGAGAAAGAGACCAGGGAGATACCAGAGAGAGAGATCAGAAGACCAGAGAGAGACCAGGAGAGACCAGAGAGAGAGACCAGAGAGAGACCAGAGAGAGACCAGACAGACCCCAGAGAAAAACCAGAGAGAGAGACCAGACAGAGAGACCAGAGAGTCCAGAGAGAGAGAGATCAGAGAGAGAGACCAGAGAGAAAGAGAACAGAGAGAGACCAGGGAGATACCAGAGAGAGAGATCAGAGAGAGACCAGAGGACCAGAGCGAGAGACCAGAGAGACCCCAGAGAAAAAACAGAGAGAGAGACCAGAGAGAGAGACTAGAGAGAGACCACGGAGATAACAAAGAGAGAGAGACCAGGGATGGACCAGAGAGAGAAACTATTTTGGAGACACATGTTATTCTTACATATTTCTGTCCTTTCTCACATTCGACTCCGGCACAAATGTTATCTGTGTCTAAACTCAGCAATCATCAGTTGTTTTCTGCTCACATTTCTGTGTGTGTCTCTGTGTCCATGGTTTGTGTTTGAGTTTAAGTGAATAAAAGTCCAGTGTGTACGTCAGTGTGTGTCATTCATCTCCACATCCGTCCATTTAAACTGTACCAGAGAGAGACCAGAGAGAGACCAGAGAGAGACCAGAGAGAGACCAGAGAGAGACCAGAGAGAGACCAGAGAGAGACCAGAGAGAGACTAGAGGGAGACTAGAGAGACCAGAGAGAGACCAGAGAGAGACTAGAGGGAGACTAGAGAGACCAGAGAGAGACCAGAGAGAACAGAGAGACTAGAGGGAGACTAGAGAGACCAGAGAGAGACCAGAGAGAGACTAGAGGGAGACTAGAGAGACCAGAGAGAGACCAGAGAGAACAGAGAGACCAGAGGGAGAAGAGAGAGACCAGAGATAGAGACCAAAGAGAGACCAGAGAGAGAGCAGGTCTAAAGCAGGTCTTAACCCAGTGCTTTGTTCCTGCAGTTGTGTCGCTTCACCACACCCATCCCTGTGTACTCTGGATACTGCTCCCCATCCCCTCCCTCGCTCTCCTCTCCCTCTCCCCCCTCGCTCTCCCTCCTTTCTGAGACGACTGCATTGACCTCCCCCGTGGAACCCTCCCTCATGGGTCCCTCCCCCATCAGCCTGGCTCTGGACTCTACGGTAAACTTCATCAAATTTGAACATGAAAAGTGATTGACAGTATTTTAGATTGTGATTCTTAAGACCAGAAAGAGAGAGATCAGAGAGAGATTGAGACCAGAGAGAGAAACCAGAGAGAGAAACCAGAGAGATGCAGACCAGAGAGAGATAGAGAGACCAGAGAGAGAGAGCATAAATAGATTGACTGTATTGTAGATTTTGACTCTAATGTTGTGGTGACAGCGGGACACGCCCCGCCTCAGAATTGGCCAATCGCTGCGTAGGATGCTCCGGTGGGGGTGTGGTCAGTCCAGCGCCTTCACTCAGTGCCAATCAACGCCAAGGGGCGGGGCTAACAGCAGAGTGCGGCAGGGACAAGCCCCGCCCAGACGCTTTGGGAAGTAAGTGTGGTTTCTCTCTGCTCTCCCTCTGTTCTCTCTCTCTGGTCTCACTCTGGTTTCTCTGTGGTCTCTCATTGGTCTTTCTCTGGTCTCTCTCTGGTCTGCCTCTGGTCTCCCTTTGGTTTCTTTCTCTGGTCTCTCTCTGGCCTTTCTTTGGTCTCTCACTGGTCTCTCTCTGGTCTCTCTCTCAGTTTTTTTCAGCTCAAAGTGGAGCTCCCTCCAGAGAGCAGGATCTACCCCATCGAGTCTGAGGACGAAGAGGACAGAGGGCCCTCTGGACTGGGGGCCAAAGAGATCATCTGCCCCTGGGAAAACCTCACCTCTCAAACAGCCACCTCGTAACAGAGAAAAAGACTACAAATATGGCTTCACTACAGGTTCCAAACCAGAGAGAGACCAGAGAAACCAGAGAGAGAGACCAGAGAAACGAGAGAGAGAGCCGAGAAACCAGAGAGAGAGACCAGAGAAACGAGAGAGAGACCTGAGAAACCAGAGAGAGACCAGAGAAACCAGAGAGAGAGACCAGAGAAACGAGAGAGAGACCCGAGAAACCAGAGAGCGAGACCAGAGAAACGAGAGAGAGACCCGAGAAACCAGAGAGCGAGACCAGAGAAACGAGAGGGAGAGACCAGAGACAGAGACTTTACTATAAATATGGCTTCTCTACAGAGGGAGGTGTCTCTCTCTGGTCTCTCTCTGGTCTCTTTCTGATCTCTCTCTGATCTCTCTGATCTCGCTTATCTCTCTGGTCTCTCTCTGGTCTCTCTCTGGTCTCACTCAGGTCTCACTCTGGTCTTTCTTATAACAGTGTATAAATATATAAGTAATCATATTTTTCCTGTTTAACTCATCTTTGTACTTTTTAGACTTTTTAAGAAATGTTTACTGTGGCCTTAATGTAACGTTATGATATTGATGTCACACACAGACGTTAAAGGAGACGTGTTCTGATGAACTGACTGTGTCTCTTTTGTCCACGTCACAGACCTGCAGCTGTGTTTAGACCCATCCATGTTTACGCCAGGAAGCATTAACATGTAGCTCCGCCCCAAGATAGACCCGAGAGAGAGAGTAGAGAGACTGGAAAGAGACCAGAGAGAGAGAGAGCAGAGAGACTGTAAAGAGACCAGAGAGAGAGAGAGAGAGAGAGAGTCGAGAGACTGGAAAGAGACCAGAGAGAGAGCAGAGTCCCCGAGGTCCGGCAGTCAGTGCGGGTGATGGGAGTGAGCGAAGGCAGCGGGTCGACCGGTGTTTATGCAGGAGCTCGGTAAGGTTGGGCGGGGCCAGGTTATGGAGGGACTTGTAGGTGAGGAGAAGGAGCATGTAATGGATGCAATATTGAACGTGGAGCCGGTGGAGCTGCTGGAGGAAGGGTTTCAGGCTGCATCCAGTTTCCAAAAGCCCCCATTCCTTATCCTTCCTTGCTTTTCATTCTCTTTATGGTTGACCTCAGTGACCATAGGTATGAATGTAAACGAGAAAGTGAATGGATGGTGGTGTCTCTGTGCTCCTGGCCTCTGTAGAGCCGCTGCTCCTCCTCTGTGTCCCTGTGGTCCTGGACACAGGCAGCAGTGTCCACAGTGAAGAGAGAACGGAGTCTGCAGTAAATCGAAACACACAGGACACAAGAAGAACTTTGTCAGCGCCACCAAAGCTGTTAGCAACACTGAAGTCTGGATTGATTGAGAGCAGAGGGAGGGGCCAGTGTGTGTGTGCGTGTGTGTGTGTGTGTGTGTGTGTGTGTTTGTGTTTGTGTGTGTGTGTGTGTGTGTGTGTGTCATAGATTGGTTTTGTCATAGACGCAGTACCGGACATGGTCACTGGGTGTCAGTACTGGTGCAGAGTAAAGAGCCTGACCTGAAAGTTTGTACCATTACTATGGTTACTATGGTTACCACAAACAGAAGACACTGAAAACTAGTTTATTAGTTAAAGATCAGATCAATGTTTACTGTAGCATGCTTTGTCAGGAACATGTGAGTGTGTGATACACACAGTGATACACAATGTGATACACACTGTGATACACACGGTGATACACACGGTGATACACACAGTGATACACACAGTGATACACAATGTGATACACACAGTGATACACAATGTGATACATACTGTGATACACACGGTGATACACACGGTGATACACACAGTGATACACACAGTGATACACAATGTGATACACACTGTGATACACACGGTGATACACAGAGTGATACACACAGTGATACACACAGTGATACACAATGTGATACACACTGTGATACACACGGTGATACACACAGTGACACACAGTGATACACACAGTTATACACAATGTGATACATACTGTGATACACACGGTGATACACACTGTGATACACACGGTGATACACACAGTGAAACACAGTGATACACACAGTGATACACACAGTGATACACACAGTGATACACAATGTGATACACACTGTGACACACACGGTGATACACATGGTGATACACACAGTGACACACAGTGATACACAGTGATACACACAGTGATACACACAGTGATACACAATGTGATACACACTGTGATACACACGGTTATACACACGGTGATACACACAGTGAAACACAGTGATACACACAGTGATACACACAGTGATACACACAGTGACACACAGTGATTAGGGCTGCCATCTTGAGAACATACAAATAAGGGACACCATGTGGGTGGATCGGGTGGGTTAGGGTTAGCAGTTACTGTAGAAGGTTTTTATAACAAGGGAAGACCCTTCTTTTCCACTGAAGGAGTTTTATTTACGACTGTCAACAGACAACATTATAGAAAATAATAAATCTATTATATACATTATTTTAGGGTTATGCTTGAGCTAAAGAAAGAGCTACTGAAAAATAAGAAATACTGGACAAATTCTTTTACCTAGAAAAGGCTGCAGCATGTTTTGGGCTCCACAGGTTGTAGATGCTGCACTTCTCCCCAGTGCCAGCCGTGTCTGAACATATGTGCATGAAACTGATCCAAGGCTGGTCCTGGCATTTAAGGAAGATCTGATTTGAACGCCTTTTTTGTGTTGAGAAGGGCTGTAAGATCACATTTGAGAGCCTTTATTCATTCCCACAGTGGGGAAATTCAGTTCCTCTTTGAGCCGGCTTGGTCGACACATTTGTGGGGTCCCCTTTGATCCTTGCCAGAAGCGTCACTTTGAGTCCCAAGATCCAGCCTTTCAGCCTCCTGCAATCCGAAAAATATAACAGTAGCCGATGTGTGGCTTTCCGGCCCTTGTCTGTGTTGAGTCAACACTCTTTTAACTTCCAGATCGTGAAGATCCTCCCTGTCAATCACATTGAGTGGCCACTCCTCTGGAACTTCTGACAAGGAACTCAGGGGCCTGAATCCATGGTCGGCACTTGATCATATACGAAATCGGGATGAAACCGGAAGTACACTCGTACTTTTAAATTATTTTTAGACCAATAAGTCCTTAAATGGTGACTAGTTAAGTTTTAGGTGTCTGAGTAAGATGGTTAAGGTGAGGGTTAAGGGTGGGTTGGGGTTATTTTATGGGAATGGCTGGTTAAGTTTAGGCATGAATAGGTAGTTTGTTATATTTACTTCCGCTTCTGTCCTGATTCCGTATATGATCTAGTGCTGACCCTGCATCCATCTTCTGGAAGAATCTGCTTAATTCCTTGTGAGGAAGAATTGGCTGGATGTTTCTGGGAGCCAACATACCTCCACTGTGAGGCAGCTGTGGCGTCCCTTTTCACCGCTATTCTACTGGCCTCCTTGAGATGCAGGCAAAAATGTATCCTTGTTTGTTGTATGTCTTTGTCCAGGAGAAACTGTAGTTTTGAACCAACTTCAACAGTACTCATACCTTTCCCATCAGGAAGCTCACATGCACATCTCCGCTGCAGTCTTGCAACCCGAGGTAAGTGACGGTGCCTTTCACCAGCATCTAAAACATGATGCAGCTGGGCATGACTAAGACTCCCAACTTCTCTGGGCTTAACACTAACCCTGAACTCAGAGAGAAGGTTCAGCCCCTCTAACCGGTGTTCCCATTGATTGATGTCTTGAGGAATTGCCTCATTCCAACCTATGTTCCTTCTACACTGCTCTTGCAGCATCATTTTTGAGGGAATAATCAGGGGTGCGAGAAATCCTAATGGATCATACATGGAACTTGAGAATGACAGCATTCCACGTCTTGCAGTCCGAGGGCCCTTTCAACATGTGGTGTCACCTTGGTTTGGTTGGTTTCAGATAGAACTTCTATCGTATAAGGGCTATTGCTGACCCACTATGTTAACACACAGCTGTGTCTCTTCTTTGTCAGCCATACTGCCAAGAAAGTTGTCTACATAAAAGTTCTCCTTTACAACTTGGACGACCTCTTCAGGGATAATCTGCTTGGTGGTCATCTGCAGTTCTTCAAAGTGCATAACTCGCACGGCTCAGCGACAGTACAGCACCAAAGAGATGGAGCGTCATTCGAAACACTGCCTCCGGCCACCACAGGAAACAAAGAGAGTCTCAATTACACTTAGCTACTATGACCCGATGGAACATTCACTAAACATCGCCCGTGAAGGATGTGGGTTCCTTCAAATTTGGGCCTTGTAACAGAGGCTCATTGAGGGATATTCCTTTGAAAGTTGCACCAAAGTCAAACACGAGAAATGTCTTTAACCTCGGCAAAAGTGCTGCTTTCATTTGTCTGGATCTGACCTGCAGCGATCTCATTCTGGCTCATGAGGCGTCAGCGAGTCCTCTGTAACAGCCCTAACAGCCCCTATACACAACACAAAATGTGCGCCCGTTGTATCAGAGAGGAACATACACACCGCACACAGTGAGAGCTTCAGTCTGTCGGTGTGAAGACCTGCTCTCACTCGCTGCCCTCCCGGTGTGTTCGGGCCGTGAATGTTCATTGTATTTAAACCGAAGATTTAAACTCCACGTTGAGTTGTTTACAGCGACCAAAGTGACACATGCACATCCCGCTTTAAACTTATGGGTAACGTAGTCTCTGATCTTGGTGAGAGAAGACTGAGGCACCCTCAGTGCAAGGAGCAGTGGCTTTATCCCCACCGCTGTCAGACTGTACAAAAAGTCACTTCAAGTCACTAATGCATAAGGACTGAAAAAAACTGCACTGCTATTTGCACAATTTCTTTTATTGCCTCTTTTTATTGTACACACTTGTATCCTGCACAGACTATATTTTAACTTTAACATGTTGCACACTTCTGTCGTTTGCACAATCTGAGTGATTCTATCTGTGCCAAATGAACGTTTGTAAATGTACATTTCTCCGGTGTGAGATCAATAAAGTCTATCTTATATTATCTTG